TAGGAAGTCAATCTGAGAGGACTAAATAGCTCCAAGTCATGTGTGAGAGTGAGCGACACAGGGTGAGTATTTGTGTTTGTGTGTTTCTGGGTTTTCTGTCAAATGATTTTTTGTCAAAACTACACATCAAACAAGTGCCCCTTAAAACTGTCCAATAAAAAAGGACATTGTGAGAACATAAGACTGCTAAAGGCAGGAGATATACTTTACGCATCTGTGCGGGGGCTAACATAGAATACAAAGAGCGGTCGGCTTTCTTCCAAGTTAGTCATCCTAAATTACATAAGGAGGAAATGGTGTGAAGGTTGGACTTTGTCTCAGGGCCGCTGTGGCAAAAAGTGCAAGTCTGTTAGATAGATGTTCACATGTCTAGCACAATATATTCTTACTCCATCCAAAAATGATGAAGAGTAGTAATTGTGGACACGGTGACAAAGTACAAATATATTTTTTATAAAATTCTGAGAGTGTATGGGATTGGGTGAGGAATATTACAACATTTGTATAGAGACTTTTCTCTTCAATATTGTAGATTTTGTGTATTCCTTAGACAACCCTCACATCGCATGGCATCCTTAATGTCATGCAATATGAGGGTTGGTTCCAAAAGGAAATGGCCAATTAATGAAAACCCCATGTCAAATAGTCAGTGGAGGGGAAATGTGCACGAGAAAGACCGCAGCAGATGATAGAGAGAAAAAAAGACCGACAGCAGCACACAAGACACAACCTGTCAAGGCGGAAAAAAACACAACCATTTACTATTTCAATAAACTAGTTGTTAACATTACAGAGGTTGAGAATATACTACTTCTCTACGTAATAGATACAGAGATGGGCAGTATTTCTATTACTTGTATTTGACATGCTGCAGGACAAACTCCCAGCTGCACGTGCCCGACTCCACCTGCAAGTGGATCACAGACTTCCAGTCTGACAGGAAGCAGCACGTGAAGCTGGGGAAACATGTCTCAGCCTCTCGGACCATCAGCACCGGTTCCCCCCAAGGCTGCGTTCTCTCCCCTCTGCTCTTCTCCCTGTACACCAACAGCTGCACCTCCAGCCACCAGTCCGTCAAGCTCCTGAAGTTTGCGGATGACACCACCCTCATTGGACTAATCTCTGGTGGGGACGAGTCCGCCTACAGGTGGGAGTCTGACCATCTGGTGTCGTGGTGCAGCCAGAACAACCTGGAGCTCAACGCTCTAAAGACAGTGGAGATGGTTGTGGATTTCCGGCGGAACAGAGCCCCACCCTCCCCCATCACCCTGTGTGACTCCCCCGTCACTATTGTGGATTCCTTCCGTTTCCTGGGCTCCATCATCACCCAGGACCTCAAGTGGGAGCTGAACATCAGCTCCATCACCAAGAAGGCTCAGCAGAGGTTGTTCTTCCTGAGGCAGCTGAAGAAACTCAACCTGCCAAAGACGATGATGACGATGATTGACATATTTTGGCTAATAAATGTTTCCTGATTCCTGATATACGTACGTATAGTATTTGGAATTTGTATTTGATAAGAATGATAGTAATTTTGTATACTTCCTCCACCAATTTAAAAAATAGTTCACGAGTTCAGTCTTCAGAAGTTCAACTGATTGTCTGTCAAGATAAATATTTATCTCAGTGTGACAGATGTCAATTAGCTTGATGTATAATTTAGGTATGGGTCTGGTTACATAGCCTATCGTACATATACATGTTGATGGTTATAATATCAAACTACGTGGCCTACCATGCCACTCGACAAAGTACCGGAAAAGAGGAGTAAGTTGTTCAGTTACTTGTTCCCTTTTCTTTTCATTTACTATTTACCTGTTATTTTTATTCATTTTTCTGTGCAATACTTAGTATACAGTAAATTATTTAGGATATTTACCTGTGTACAACTGGTTTTAATTCAGTATTTTTCTTTTATAGTGTACTTGGGCCTAATGTGTGATGCTATTCATATGTGATGAATATTTTCTTATTGATTCAAAGCCAAAGTTTATGGGCTGTTATCCTATTGATACAAATATATATAGACATAATCAATCAAGTTTTTGTCTTTAAATCGCTTTGCTGATTTACACATTCTGTTCTTCCTCTGTGTGGGGTTCACCAGAGTTTTGTGTACATATATAGCCCAAATCTGAATGCTCTGCTATACCAAATTATGAGAAAATGGAAAATAAATTTTCAGGCACCAGTATTTTGTATTTTATTTGAAAACATTTACTTGAGGGGTGTTAGGCAAAAATACATCAGAATGTATTTTACCAATCTCTAAGGACTAGAATGTAAAATATTTTGGTACATGTAAATATCCCGCTTTTTTAAGGAGTTTGTTTCCAGTCTGCCTCATTATTAAAGGTGCATAGTCCATTACCTTGGAGCCACTAAGGTGTATCTCACTCCGAAATAAAATAGTCTTCTCTTTACCTTCAGTTATTCTTTATCTGTGTTGCACAAAAAAGGCCCACCAGAGGCTGTACTTCCTAAAGAAGCTGAGGAAATTTGACATGCAAACCAAAATTCTCAATAACTTCTAGAGAGGTAGGTCGAGAGCGTCCTTACAACATCAATAACCATGTGGTATGGCACTGCCCAGAACAGGAAGGCACCACAGCGTGTGATGAAAAAAAACACCTTTCCATCTTGTTAGCGGTCCAAATGCTTTGCAACTCTGAATCCACAACCTATATACCGGAGCTCATTACTTTTTAGTAGAGCACCACCCAGTGTACAAAAAGAAAACAGTGCTGTTGTCACCACCATATTTGGCTCACAGTGATTATTAGTATTGTACATACAACATATTCGTTACTGGCCTTTAAATGACATGGGTTTTAGTCTTTAATCTCACTGAACTCACAAACCCTTTGACGGTAAAAACTTCAAGGACTTGAAGGATCCATGACTACAAAAATATTTCCAATAGCCAACTCCTTTTCCTCTGGTTCCAATTGTCCCTTTCTTAGGGCAAAGGTAAGTACTGTCTAATACCCATCTCCTACCTGCATCCATCTTCCTCTCCCATTCTTCAAGAGCAGTAGATGATCAGGTGTAAGTGGTTCCAGGTCGTTGAGATCATCTGAGAGCTTGGTAATTGGCAGATTATTCAAAATAGCCTCCTCGCTTCAGGAAATAGTCCATCATCAGCCAAAGTCTGTTTGACGTAGAATGGAGCTGAGAACCTTTCTAACCAGAGAGAATAACTGGACTGAAACTACAAAGCATTTCCACCTGTGAGAGGACTCCCTTGAATGTGATTGTGATTAAAACCAGTTAGTGACTCATTTAGTTATCTTTGCTGCCTCAATGCAGTTGGTACCATTGCGGGCGACTGTGGGTGAGCGGGGAGCAGGTCGTCCTCCAATCAGAGGGTTGTCGGTTCGATCCCAGGCTCTGCTAACCTGCATGTCAATGTGTCCTTGGGCAAGACAATTATTCCAACATTGCTCCTGTAGCTGCGACTACAGTGTGTGAATGTTAGGTACAGGTGTCACTGTGTATGGTTCTCCTGTCATCAGTGTGAATGGATGAATGATGTCATGTAGTGTTTCAAGCGCTTTGAGTGGTCGGAAGACTAGAAAAGCGCTAAACAAGTACTGTCCATATACCATTGTCTGACCTTAGGTGCACAAAGTGTTCTCTACTGCTGATAAAACGTAGTAAAGCATTGATTCATGCATCGGTTTCTAACGAAACGGTTACCTCCTAGATGAACAGTCCTGCTCGTCATACAGGTAAATATAACACCGTAAATGGTGAATGGTGGGAGATCAGGAAGGATTCTCGCCTCAGAAGACCTTCCATCTTTTGTTCTAATGCTCTTCCATTATAGCGTCCACAAAAGCTGCATTTAGCCACGATTCTTCTGACTGCTTAATTGGCATTGGTGATCCAAAACCTCTTTCTAACTGTATGGCTCCTTCCACCATGGCCCGGAGTCTGGTGTATGTTAAGCTTGAGAGGGAACTCAATATGTTGATCTTTGCAGAGGATGGGTGGATGTTTGGCTTCTTTAGACATTGCGCCTCTGCTTAACCGCCCTCCAACTCCCAATAGTCAACCCTCAAAAATTGGATCCAAGTTATTTACTATACCCTTTGGTTGCTTTCCCTGAATGATATGGCAAAAATCTCCTCAGGCAGTAGCAGTTGTCAACTGTTTTCCCCAGTCACTCAGTTCAAATAACACCGCCTTTAACCCGAGAAACCAGACAACTGCGGTCTCATCCAGAGAAGTAGAAAATGGCCGCAACGCAAATTTTCCGGTTAACCTTATGTACCCCCGGAAGCGGTCCAGACAGAGTTTCTATAGGAGTCAGTAAAATTCACCGAGCTGTCTACACCTACGGATGCTATTTTGTACCCAAACATGACGGCGTCTGGTCGTCTACGTCAGTAGAACTTCCACATGAAGTACATCTTCCACAATTTAAGCGGAAGAGAAAAGATAGTGGAAAGATTTTTTTTAAGGGTGATAAGCTACGCCCCATCGCCGTTGCATAGAGTGAATGGTGCAATTAATTGAAATTGACATTAAAAACTATGAGGATAATCTTTAATGCTGATGTTTGAGTAACAAGACGACACAGGTAGGCGTGTACGTGGAATGTAGCCCTAGTTTATTGGATTATTTCAATGTAGTAAGACAGCACAGTAGGCACAGGTAGGAAAAGCACAGCACGCCACGGCCACTAACTTGTCTGGACTTTTGGGTAATACTAGGGTATTACCCAAAAGTCATTGCAAGGTGACATTAGAAGAGGAATAACCAGTGGAAGCATGGAGACGTTAAATAGGTTAATCAAAGAGTTCCGACATACATTTTCAGTGTTTCTCCTCCCACCCAATTAAGAAAGTCTTTTTTTTAATGTTTACAATTATCTACTGATCTCTGTGCACGTGGGAGTTCCTTCCCGATGGACACAAACAGACACATGCGCGCACACAGGGGAGCGCGGTCCCAGCAGTGGACACTGGAATTTTGTTTGAAAAACATGATCACAATTCAATTCACAATTCACAATTTATTTCTCTTGCTCACAAGTCGCCAAAAAAATCAAGTTATGGCAGTTTTCTAAAAATTACCCTCGAAGAAACTTGGATTGTGAACGTATCAATGTGAGTTCGCTTTTTTAAAGCTAGCTTTCTTATTTGATATTACCATGTCATAATAATATGGATTTACACATTGTACATCTGATTGGCAACATGTTCAAGTAGATTATATCATTCAAATGTCTTCATAAACTAAGGGAATGCCCTCTTTCGCTGTAAGGGCATTTTCATCAACCGTTTGAATTCACACCTTGCGGTTTATGTGCTGATGGCAACTTCACTTGTAATATGGATTTTATTTTATTAAATAATATGAAATTATTATCAATTTGAAAATTACTAAAAAAATTATAGTTGACATCGAGCAACAAAGTTAAAGTCGAAAGACAAAGCTGTCAATGTTTAACACGGTTAGCGTTAATAATGGACAGTGCTTTACCAAAAGAAAGAAAAAACTGAGGCGGCCAATAGCCAGTTCGAGTGTAAACAAAAAACAAAACCAGAGATTATTTTTCACTCATTACAATATTTTACATGTTTGCCTAAAGACCACCCTTCATACTCAGAAACCTACGTTCTTCAACTCATTACGGATGCAACAAATATTAAAAATAATTGATAGAGATCAAAACAAATGAAATCCTACACTCCTGACTCCACTGGGTTAACAGGTCTAAGAAGAACAACCTTGAGGAAGTGCTGACGAAGACGAGGTCAGCTGGTCAGTCCGCGCAGCAGCCTGAAGAACTTCATCTGGCTCAACTTGGAGTCGTGATGCAGCACTGAGAGGTGAGGATGCTGAACTGATGCAAAGTAAGTCATGTGTCCAACCTTGTATGATTTAAATAAACCCTGGAAAAAGGTACTGCAGGAGGAGAACGACTCCCATCACCACGAGGCCACAGAGAAACAGCACTAGCCAAATGGAAAAGGATCCTAAAGAAAGAAGAAAAACAAAAGGGACAAAGGATACGCTGAAAAGATCTGTAGTTATGATGAATGGCCTGTTCATTTGATGATGATGACGATGGTGGTGGTGCAGGACTTACGTCGGTTGGGGACAGCATGAACCTGACAGCGGCTGTCGACAGCTACACTCAACATAGCGGTTTCATTCTTCCCTTTGAGGTTTTTGCCTTTTAGAGAGTCGGGTAGGAAGGCTAGGTCTGTCACAACAATGCCATGGGACTCCTGTGCGTAATACAGCTTCTACACACACAGAGAGGAAGTGCATGTTATTATCAGACATCAGGGCTCCTCGTTGAGATATGTCCACTCTTTTTACCTGGAGGGAGAAAGCGATGTAGATTGCCACTGAACCTGTCACAGTTCCAAGGCCAAGAAAGGTTCCAGAGTCACTGTCAAAGAAAAGGTTCAAGTTAAAATCTTAGGCCGACACCCTGTGGTCGCTTGGTCCATCGTCCCTCATCCGTCAATCAATTGTTTGAAGAGCAGGTGGAATTTGCTTTACCACAGCAATACTGCAACAACGTCCACTCCCACATAAAACAAACCTTAACGGCCTTTCTCACCTGCGCAATGTTGCAATAGAATTTGGCACTGATCGGAAAATCAATGCACAATGTGTTTGTTCCACCGCTACATTTCTATTTGTTGCATCACAGACGCCAAGTGGTGTAGAATGTCATTGCATTTTCCCCTCCTTTCTTGCCGTATTCATTTGCATCTGACTATTGAGAGGACATGCTGCAGCTACGTTTCACTTTGTTCACACTGTTTGGTAGCTTTTAAAGATCTACGTCCCTAAGTAGCTCTGTATCCACTGTTAGATATCTGCCAAGCTTTTCAGTGCAAGGCAAGAGCACAATAGTGGTTATGTATTTGCTACATTATGGCAATTCCTTACTAATCTAATGCTAATAAAATGGGATTGTGTTCAGTTGTGCGCACTAGACCAGCCTTGCTACCGGAGGTGTGCATGGTAGCCTGCTTGCTCTTATCAACAGCAGTCACTGTATTGCTTTGCTAATGACCTAAGCAAGTGGTGATGGATATTACCTTCCTTCTAACTATAGACTTAGTTTGGACAATTTGCTGGTACCTTTTCGTCAGCCCAAGTGTCATAATCAGCTGGAAACAACGTGTATGTCACGCTGTCAGAGCTGGTGACACCTTCTAGGTAGATGCCCTTTCAGAGAGAGTAGTAGGCTGTCATTAAGGTATTCATTAGAAAAGATATTTATTTAAAATAATATTGGCTTCTGGTTAAAGGTCCGTTGCTTCTTAATCTCTCTAGCTCTCCAAAAAGCTACTGCTTAGCTTATTCAACAAAATGAAAAACTTTGGTTCCCGGGTGCTCATTTTAAAACTTTTAAATCGAACATGGTCACAGCTTTTGTCACAATTGAAATATTTTTATTTCAAAATAGTCTAAAATCATGATTCATGTTTATGTATACAACAAACTATTAAGGCAATTCAATTATTGAACCTGTTTGTGAAAGCTATGTTTTCTTTGTGAGGAGTTGTGTCTGTAAAGGAGTTAGGAAGGTGCGTACCAAACCTGCTGTACTCGAGTCTCAGCATCCACATGGTAGAATATACGATGATGAGTTACCTGACAGCCAGACTGGAGATGACTTCAGTGCCACACGAGGCCGTCAGCATGGGCAGAAAGCTCTGGCCATTCCATTTGGTGAGGTAGCAAGGAGGCGGCTTCCTGTCTCGTTTATGAGGGATCTGAACTGTGTAAAGCCTTGTGGTGTCTTTTTGGTCTTCTACCTTTCCAAACCTGAAGTACGTGGAAATACATCCATTAAAATACACATCACCTCTTTGGTAGATGAGGATGTCTCTTTCTTTTTGGTTTACCTGCAAGCCATATAGCGATAAGACTTCTCAGCTATCTGAGGCATGGTTTCAAGCCAGTTAAGGCCCATAGCCAGCTGGCTGCCACTCCACACACTGCAGGAGAAGTCCCGGCCAGCACTCACCAGGTGCTGCTCGACAACAAGAGATAATTGAATAATGGGACATGGACACAGAATCGAAATATCTACACTAGGAGGTGTCATTGGTTCACCTTGTTCCCTGGACTAATGTCCAAGTCTTCAATCTCCCCTTTGTGTGCTTTGAAGTCAAACTTCTTCTTCATGGATGGAAACTGGAGAAAAATTAAGACATCTATTCAGGACATCGATACATACTAAGGAATAAACAGGAACACAATGGTGTTGTGCACCAGCTGAGCTTAAGGGCCCCCACTACCATTGAACTCTTCAACAAGTCACCAGGAGCAGATGGCCAGCTGGAAGCATCAAACCCCACAGTATCTCCCAGGTGGAGGAGCAGAGGACCAACTTATTACTTTAATAACGTTATGCCTCCACTAATTAAATCCACCCACTACTAGTGAGCTCCACAGAGCATAAAAGCATTAATACTGCGCACCGAGTCCAGCATCCAAAGGTTTACTTCAAGTGAGAAGTGACAGGGAGGCATCATTAGTAAAATGGACTTGAATTTACTCAATGTCCGTTCAAGGTGGAGCTCTCACCAACTCTACTCTGTCTTCTAAATGGAGTACAGCAGCAACAGACAGAGAAACAGCGTGGGAGAAAATTGCTGTAAGTTCCAATATAGTGTTGTCAGTTAATATTGAATTTACACACCATACATTTTACTAATTCCAGGTGGGAAAAATACATTTTGTTAGAATGCACTACACACAGGCTTGAAATACACACCCATGCTCATAATTAATCACAAGAATAATATCGCTGGTAAGAACTGGTACAATGGTATTGCACCTATAGTGTATTTTATTCAGGTGCATCCTGTGGAACTCCCCTTTAACGGCTTCACTGGTTTGTGTCCTGGGAACTAAAATGTTTAAAAGACGTTTCAGAGTGAGGCACACGTTTCTCACGGCTCTGCATACAGCAGCTTTACTAACATTCTCTGGAGACTGGAGAGGAGACTGTGAAAGAAACTCGAGGTTTATTGAAGAAAACCTGCTCCCGACCAGGTTCGGTTCACAGGCTCAGTTACCATGGTGACTGACCCTGAGCTTTAGTTACCTCCCTTTCTGAAACCAACAAGCCAGAGTTCCCCCTCACCTCAGGGTTAACAAACTCTGAGTTTCCAGTAAACCCGCTTCTTGAAACGGACCCCTGAAGAGACTTAATGAAAACAACAACTGGACAATGTTTACCTCCCAGACTCGTATGTGACCGTCTGTGCCTCCTGTCAGTAGAAGACTCAAGTCAGGACTGAACCGGACCACCTTCTGGAGCGGATCCTGGGGGTTCAGATCTGACAGCACCTCAGCCAAAGCAGTCACAGAGATATGGGCCGTCTCATCCTTCAGATCGGACGTATCTCCAGATCCCACAGCTTCATCCTGTCCACCTTTGTCTCCTTTCCCAGCTCGTCGCCTGGCATGGCCCTGCTGCATGCTGCTCCCTGCTGCACACATGACACTCCGGACAGTTCAGCAACAGAACAAAAAGGTACCACTAAGACAGATAATACAGGGCAGTTACACTACGTGTCTGTTAGGGGACGAGATCGTGTGGATTGGTGAAAGGAACAAATCAGGAAGCTTCTCTCATGTGACATTATGCATTAGCATCTTTCTAATACATTTTCATATGCTTTCTCCCAATATAACTGAATAATATTTATGTCTATTGAATTATTCAAATGTGTTGGTATGAGCCGGGTGGGAGGAGACGCTGCGGCGATGCTAATACTTTCCCCCTCTCACTTGAGTAACATCTTGAGCGTAAAACCCATACGTGTAACAAACTTTTTTACACTATGCTCTCAGGAATAATTTAGTCAGAAACACATTGTTGTATAAATATGAATAGCGATGACATGCACTGTTTATTGTGCTGCCATACATGAGGGAATTGATGGGAAACTATGCAGTGCTAAGTAAATGAAGATGTACACATATTGATTCACCATCTTTAGATGCCGCTTTGTCCCCTTCTCGCTGAGGGCAGTGTTTGAAGCTCATCAGGCAGCAGGTCCCGTCCTGTCCTGCAGCGATTACACCGCTGCCTACGGCCATGTTCATGGTTGCGCGGGTCTCGGTATCATGAGAGTGAAGGAGACTGGCACTGTACTGGTGCTCTCCCACCAGCCGCAGATCAAGGAAGTGCTGAAACACAGTCATGAGTCTGCTACGGTTGCTACTCTCATGATGCCTGTGGTCCAGGATTCCTTTCATACATTCAAACTATACATACATTTCTTATATAAATGTATCATAACCTCTTCTGCTGTATTTTCCTTTAGTTCTGAAAACTGAATCATTCTACAACATAAGGAAACCAATGACATTCAAACAGAAACATAAGCAATTAAAGAAAAATACTTCACCATTAATTACATTACATTACAGGTCATTTAGCTGACGCTTTTATCCAAAGCGACTTACATTACACTTTAAACCCATGGCTTTTTCACATTTTGCCCGGGGAGCAATTGGGGGTCAGGTGTCTTGCTCGCAGAGATCATAGCAAACTACAAACACCCAACACAGAGGTTTCTGTACTCTCTTTGTGCCTAACGTTGGTGTCAGTGTGCGGCAGAGACAGGACGAGCACACACTCTGGGAAGTTGTTAGCAGCAAGTATATGGCTGTGAACACAGCAGGACTCTCCTCACTGACTTCCTGATAGAGGGAAGGGGTTCGCCTCAGAGTCAGCAACAACTTTGCTTCACCTATAGTGGACTTGTAATTCAGAGCCTGACAATTTTTCACTTGATTTTCAGTACTTACCACAGCATTCTTTATGCCTGTTTTGGAAGCCCCGCCTCCCCCTGCGGTGATCACCAGCCCTGTCTTAGGGTCCACTTTAATAGAGTACAAGGGAAAAGGGGCTCTATACAGATCTGGCACCCTCCTCTTCCCCATTGTCGTTGTGAACGTAACTCACACTTCTTCATACAATTGCTGCATGTACAACAGAAAAAAACAGAGTTTAGTTTACATATGTTACATACCACCTCTCAAAATAAAATCAAACTAAATTGACTTAATATATATAAATATAAACTTAATTTATGATATTCTATCACGCAACTTTGCAAGACAAAACAGCGTGGAAGAATGATGAATAACACAGCAAACTGCTGTAAATTGATCTGAGCTCACGGCTCCGTGTTCGTGCTGGCTGCTAACAACCATCTGCATGTTTCATTTCAACATTAGCTATATTAATACACTGCAAGATTACTGTGTTATATAACGTTACCTCACTTGCTAAAGTTCAGGTTGCCTTGTTGTGGTGCACAGTGCACCACATCGTTATGATAATATAGATCAATGTGCGGAGTCTTTAATGTAAAACAAATCGCTGTTAAATTGCCTACATGTTGAACCACAAGTTTCCATCAGTTTACAGTCATGTGTTCGCAGTGTTTGAGCTCAGTATATTCATACTTACTGGCTAAATGAGGATATGAATGCATATACACGTCTCACGTGGACACAATATTAATGACGATATATGATACAAAAATAAGACTGAAAACAAGCATTTGAAAAGCATTTATTGACGTGAGGGTTTTGAAATGGCATCGACCACTACTAGCTATTTTGTCTGTCACTCTTGTCCTCTGCATGTTTACCGCAGCCTGACGCGCGTATAGTGAATGGTGATTCGACATGGCTCTCGTAAGGCCACGCCCACGACAGATCTGCCATATGCACGCGGAAATAAACCAGCCGGGTGAACGCAGCAGATTGTTGTTAACGTTAAAGTTCGTTCTCAGCAACTAACATTAGGAGCACGGTGATCACCGGGTAAACACGGAATGTAGCACTAGTGAATATCATCAATTGCAGTCAAACAAACCTTGGCAACGCCAAAAACTAACGACATATGGTTAGTTAATGGTACGTGCGAACGGCGATGTCAACATTGCTTAGCTAACGTTAGCTGAAGCTAACGACTAACGTTACAGTTAGCGGTACAGCATTGTGTGCTAATTTGCTGGTTTAGCTCTTGCCGGTGATTGAATTAAGAGTCACCTACTTGTCCAGGTTCGTTCTGCGTTGTTATTAGGGCACATAAAAATACCAAATCAGACTGGACAGTGGTCTTAGACGGACGATGAATGCTAAGAGTTAGTGGAAACCATGGATGAGACGTTAGCTGCAGCCAACCTTCCCGACCAACACGTCAGCAGCGTGGCATCACGTGACAGACGCTGCCTAGTGACGCTCCGCTGAGTATGGAAGCCCATTATGTCATTGAGATGAAAGTAATTCAGATTAGCGAAGTCATTGTAACGACAAACTTTCTTTCTGACTTACTATCTCATATTACTAAGCATCCCATAATGAAAATGAATATACCATATTGATAACGTACTGTTGTATAATTTGACTTAGTATCAAAAGTATTGCTTTTCTATGTTTAGGCATACAGGGGAGTTCCACACGCCCCAAAACAAAAATAGCAAAGCAACAAAGTTCCGTTTCTTTGTGTATTTATTCTTTAACGTTTGTAACTGTTACTGGACTTATAAAGTTATATTTCAGGGTCTTAACTCGTCTACTTAAGCTCACTTTGATCCATTTCTGTTTATAATATTAAGTATACACTATCTATAAAACGTCTGTAGGACACTCTCCCAACTCATCTTCTACCACCTATCTGGGGTCGGGTCGCTTTTTTTGTTTTTTGGATAGAAACACATATTTTTTGTTTCCTTTCGTTCTCTCTTTTCTATGTCCTCTCATACTACCACTTTTTTTTCATCAGCTTCTCCCCTCGCCCCCTTTTCCATGGTCTGGTTGTGTCTCTCTCTCTAAATTCTCAGAATATTTGTTTGATGTGTCCAAGGTCACGTCTGTCCCTGTAGTGCATTCTCCGCTCTTAGTTTGGGGTCGTGTCGACTCAGTCACCTCTGTAAAGCAGTTTGTTACTCTGCTGGCTGAATGCCTAATTCATATCAATTGGACACATTTTTCTATTTTCTATTTCTTTATTTCTTTTTCTATTGCTTGACGTCATTGAATACTTGAACAAAGGAATCATAACTGATTTAATGAATTTTCACTTTCACTGTACAGTCCCTGTGTACTTAGACTTGCATGGCTTAATCTTTGAGACAAGCATATGCTGGTAGGATCAACCAGGTAGCCCATCGGGCGGGACAATTCGCGGGGCCCGGTCCGAGTACCACGGAACCGGCAGCTGCATCGAGTTGAGGCGATGCTCAAGGATTTAAATATATTTAATACCACAGACCTCCCAATAACTATATTATATATTATTCTCCCACACCACACACTTGCAGGGGCTCTGTTGAATTATTCTAGCCCAGCAAACACCTCCAGTGACTGGATATAATTAGGTATAACACCTCAAACCTCCCAATAACTCTAATAAATTCATCTTTAACACTGTAAATAACCACATTAAATTATTCTTGAATACTACACACTTCCAGGGGCTCTGCCGGCAACCTGGTCTGGTATTTGATGGTTAACAGACTGTACTTGTACTTTTCTAATATTCTAACCACCTTTAATATTTCATTGTCATCACATACTGTATGTACAAAATGAGGCAAATGTGTGTCTCTGTGTTTTAACCATTTGACCTTGGAAGTCAGTGTGGGCCACTGAAATTGGGAGTTTCCGGTCGATGGTAAACAATCTGTCTAATGATCAGAGGTTTGCCGCATGGTTTCAGTGGAATGATCAATATAAGCCCACAAGCAACGTGATGTTATTGAAGGTTGTGAGGTCAGGTTTTGGTGACGGAAGTAGGAGTCAGGCGCAGAACCAACCTTTATATAACTCAAACAATCTTTAATCAAAGAAAAAAAATGATCAGAAAGCCAGTAGGCCCGAGGCCAGGAAAAACACCAATGCACCCCAGTGAAGGTCACAGGGAAATATCTGATCAATTGTTACACTGGCCAGCCGGAAACACCCAGACAAAAGACACACATGGCTTAAACACACTGGGCAGAAGGGAACAATTAGGGACAAGGCAGGCAATAGCTGTGTCTCATTCCATCGGCTGCATCCTCCTCAGGCTGCTCATCATACGCTGACCGCATATGACACTTCAACTCGGATGTCCCGTTCTATCAGCTTCTCAGAATGCAGTTGAAGGAGGCAGGCCTCCAGCCGACAATTTGAAAGACACATCTGATCTATTCTATGCGGCCCAGCATATCCATCATCAGAATCAGAATCAGAAGCCATTTATTGCCATGTTTGTTACACATACGAAAAATTTGTCTTTGTAATTGGTGCAATATAAGAATAAAATGAGAGTAAAATTTGAAATACATGGTACAAGCAAAAATTATCAATATAAACAGATAAGATAAGAACACGTATGTATGTAAATATATTTCCATGGTGAAAAACCACCACGCCAATGTCCTGGGAATGTCAGCGGGGGACACAGACTTGGTGTTTGAGACCAACTGATGAGAGGAAGAAGCTGTTTCTGTGGCTGGAGGTCTTGGTCCTGATGGGAAGGGGCTGAAAAGGTTTGCATTGCGCGTCCTGTTCCACCCAGTGTTGAGGCCTGTACTACGTTCAACATACCCAAGGTATCTCTAATTAATCTGGCTTGACTACCCCTAACAATGTTGAAGAACAAACGCTTCATGACCTTCGATAATTTATCATTTTTGGACCTTGCATATTTGGTTTTATTAGTTAATTTTTACAGTTATGTTATTTTTAGTACATCTTCCAGAAAAGAATGTACAGAGCATTGGCTGTAATTCTAAACACACCCTGTATCAGCCTTTTTTCTGATTTGTATTTTTCTTCTTTATAAAAGATTTATTGTTCTGACAGCGAGGGTCCTTTTAAAAACAAAATATTTATATTTTTGTCGTTAAGAATCTTGGCGTTCTCTTCGACCAGAATGTGTCCTTTAACTATTAGATTAAGCAGACTTCAACGACTGCCTTTTTTCATCTACGTAACATATCAAGAACTTCCTGTCTCAAAGCGATGCAGAAAAATGAGTGCGGTGTTTGTTACTTGTAGTATAGATTACTGCAATTCCTTATTATCAGGCTGTCTCTTAAGCCTCTCCAGTTGATTCAGAATTAAGGAGAACTAAGAAAAGGGATCATATTATTCCTGTATAGCTTCTCTGCACTGGCTCTCTTTGCGCTATGAATAGTATAATATTTTGTGAAATTAAGAGTCTCCTTCCCCACAGTTGATTCCAATCTTAAAGTATGAATCACCGGACACTGTGATTTTCTCTCCTCCGACCAGGTTTGTTCATTATTTTACAGGCTTGTGCTATTGGCTGTACAGCCATCAGTAGCTCAAACCAGTTTGGTCACCGCTGTCGTTCGTCCACGCCTATAGGGTGTTTATCACCTTCTTCTCTGGCTCCATTTTGTAACCAAACCTGGAATCCCTTGCTCTCCTAATCAGTCCATAACCTCATCAATACCACAATACATTCAATAATTACACCTTTGGCCTATAGTTTCTTCATGTAAACCTATGGCATGCATTATATCATCATCATCATCTAATATCCAATACATTCTAAATATGTCCTAGATCATTTTATTTAATAATATCGTACACCTTAAATTTAACTCATGGTATGCAGTATATCATCTACTAATACATTCTAAATATGTTGTACAGCATCTTTCATGACATCGTGAACCTAATTTTATATGGTCCAAAATGAATCCGTTGCCACACAGGGCTTTCCTATCTGTACACCTACGACCTCCCAAACTCGTAGTATTAAATTAATTACAATATATATACACAATATGTTTAATTCATAACAACACATGAAATAGAATTCTACCACTAGCCATGATAACACATTATAATTTCTACTGCTAGGCATGCTTTTCTGCTTGAATTCCTAATAGTTACTTATTGTTCATACTCAAGTCTCTCACTTCTCACAATGTTATTGTCTGTGCCTCATGGCATAAAAACGCACTACAAAATCAAGCAATTAGGCCCACAAAGAGGAAGATATCTTCTTAAGGAAGGTATGCGACAGTTTAAAGGTGTCCTAGGGGTATCGTGTCTGAGTTAATGGGGGTCCCAGGTTTTATCGATGTAAGCAAAATTGAAGTAAATATTGAAATTTAACAGAACAACAACATCAACAGTTTGATGCAGTATTATCACAAGTGGAAAAGAAATATCAGGTAGTTATCCCCGATCAGGTTATGTCTGTCATATGTATTTAATGTGTTGTAACTCTGTTGTTTTTTTATTCTGGAACAATTTGAGGGTCATGTGTAGAGATTGTAAAGCCCTCTGAGTTTCATTTGTTATTTTGGGGATGTATAAAATCAATTTGTCAATCTGTCTCTGTACAATGAATTAAGACTTACCATTTCAGATATTCCTATAAATTGTATTCACTAAACAAAGTGAACTTCCTTCAGTTTTCCATGAGCTTGGGACCAAGTCTGTAGGTGGAGCATCCTGTTCACCAAACGCTTCCTGTTGTGATGCTCCGCGCCACGCGGCTGGCGGGGCGTGGTTTAACGGTTAAGGGGCGGGGACACTGAGGGGAAATGTGGACCTTTAGAGGAGGCGCCGTAAAGCTCGCTAGAAGCTGTGGAGCAGCCTCAATAAAGAAGCTTTGCCACAATTTCTTCAAAGTAAAAGAATGATAGCAACGGCGCTAATGAATATCTGAGTATATTTTGCAAGAAATAGTGTTGGATTCTTTTAAGCTGTCTGCTGGAGTGTTTGAGCATTAACTGTGGCGTTACAGTTTGTAATACACCTTGTGAAACAGACTTAATAAAATATATCAATAAATCCCTTACATCTAGTAATCGGTAGCAAACATGCAGATATGACAGAACAACCCAACCCTGACTCAAGATCAACTATTACCCACATTACATCGCAGCACTGCATGGCGTCTACGAAGGATGCTTAAAGAGAATTTAAAGAGCACATTTGCAAAGAAAAGTTGTATTTTGAAAACGACCGGAAGTGTTGATTTTATGCGCGTAGCCAGAGCATCTGTGGCGGAGCTTCATGGTGATGCTGGTGCTTCTGCGGAAAACATCGAAATAGCAAAGCGGCGTTCGATCTTTTCCATGGCTCGTTCAACTCACGCCGCCCAGGCGAAGGTCTGATGCCCGGTGAGAAGGTTCTGTCTCGGGGGAGCAACGTGCGCACTGAGAGCCACGCAGCGGAGCTCCACACGGTAAGGTGACGCATCCGTGTTCATCATGTCGGGGTTTTCTCAGCATCTGGAAGGAAGGGGACCAGTGATCGGCTCACTGCTCAGCAGGTTAACGGGGCAGGGAGAGCTCAAGTGAAAAATCAAATACACATAAGTACCTGTCAAATATGACATGGATGTCAAGCAACCGTTAAACGCGCTGGTTGGATGACTAACTAAAGTCAGCGGCATTTTCTGTATCAGACGATTGACAGCTAGAGAAAGCTGCCGGTGGGGCTTCGGTGGGAGTGCGTGTGACGGAGCTCGGTAGGCCCTCAGTAGAGCCGTGCTCTCTGAAGCTTTAACCACGCATTTCTGTATTGGGCATACATTGGGCCAGCTGCCAGGGACGTGTGACAGACCCGCTGGGTTCAGGCATGGATGCTGGTGTGACTGATCACCAGGTTGTGTTCAATGTAAACAATACCTGTGTTGCTCATGTGTCCGTCTTCTTCCAGGCCATGTGAGAGAGGACAATGGGAGGACAAGATGCAAAAGACGTTTCAATCCGGAGGACTGATGGACACCGAGGGAGTCTTACAAACGTCAGTTCATTTGATCCAACTCTGATAAGGTCAACAACTGTGACATGGAACACATCTCTGGCACTACGGTGTCCCATTTGAAAAGCTGAAAGAGGAAATGAGGGGCACATTCTTCTGATCACATTGCTGATCACAAAAGAGTAGGCGTGCTCAATCTGTGCAAACAACGCAACACTAGCTGAGTCCAATGACTGCTCTGGATAGCGTGACCACGAACACATCTCTCCCGCATCCAAGTCCTGACCATCAACACACATATGTGGCACGAGTCAGTCGCGAGTTCTCAGGGGGAAAAGGTGCTTACTCAACAGAAGAGAAACGAGCAGATGATGTATACCTAAGAGTTCCCTCAGCGTTTGTTCTACTCCTCTAGGACGACAAGCTAGGTTCTATTTTTTTTTTCAAAGAAGGCAGGAAGCAGAAGCCCTGAGTTGTCATCATGCCTCGGAACCGGGCCTTTTCTGAGCCAGAGTACTCAGCAGAGTACTCGGCGGACTGCTCTGTCACTCTGCCCTCTGACCCAGGGCAGGCGGTCGGGCGAGCGCACGAGGTCACGGTCCGGAGCTCAGGATGCTGCCTCTGCCTGCCGCGGTTCATGCGTCTCACTTTCGCACCAGAGTCTCTGGAAAACCTGTACCAGACCTACTTCCGACGGCAGAGACACGAGACCCTGCTGGTGCTAGTGGTGTTCGCTGCCCTCTTTGACAGTTACATCATCATCATGTGTGCGGTGGTCTACACCACTGACAAGCTGGCTTCTGTTTTAGTGGCATCGGTCGGCCTGGCGGCTGACGTTGTCCTCTACCTGCTGTGCCGCTTCGGGCTGCTGCCGGACCGCATCTCGAGACGGGTGGTGCCATACGCTCTGTGGGTGCTCATAGCAGCGCAGATATTCTGCTACCTGGGTCTGAACTATGCTCGCTTCCACCAGGCCAGTGACACTGTGGGCTGGCAGGCTTTCTTCAGCTTTTCCTTCTTCCTGACCCTGCCTTTGAGGCTGACGCCCATAGTGCTGATCACTACTGTATCCTGCGGGGTCCACACACTGGTTCTGGGAGTCACTATCGCCCAGCAGCAGCAGGAGCAGATCCAGGGAACAACACTTAGCAGACAGGTAAGAGGGAAGGAGGTGGCGTATGTGGTTGTCTTGAAATACATTCACTCCTGTGTAATGTCACTTATTGTACATTCATAGATGCAGTAGGCCAAATGCTGCCAGGTGTATTGCACGCATTTGCTATATATGTGCCATTGGCCACCAGATGAAAGATATGCATTGAGTTGTTTTAAAGAGATTTTTGAGGGACCAGCTTGAGGCAGGTAATGCTGGAAGTCCTAGCACGCGGGCAGAGCAGACAGTGTCATGTGGAGCTCCACTTTTGGCCTTGCAGTACTTTGTTTGGTGAGCCACATAAATAATAGAGTGTCAGTGTGAAAATGCTGTACCAAAGTAGAGACCATCTTGTGATAGAATAGATCATACCAAATCCGTCCAAGGGTGTAGAGTGTGGGCTAAAGGACTGTGGATCTGTCCTCAGACACTCCCAAAGATGTCCAATACGCCTCTGGGGTAGTTTCTCTCCAGTAAGTGTCTACAGCACCACGTTCGATTAAAAGGTGTATACAATGTGTATGTATGTCATCTTGAACTTATTCCATTTTATAATAATTGCACCAACAGTTGTTAGCTTCTGGCCAAGCTGCTTGCCTATAGCCCATCACAGCCTTGTGCAGGTCTACAATTTTATCCCTCACGTCCTTACACAGCTCTCTGGTCGTTGTGGAGAGGTTGGAGTCTGGAGACAGGTGTCTTTTTATACAGGTAACGAGTGCAAACAGGTGCAGTTAATACAGGTACTGATTGGAAAACAGGAGGGGTTCCTAAAGACAAACGAACAGGTCTGTGAGAGCTGGAATTCTTACTGGTTGGTAGGGGATCAAATATTTATGTCATGCAATAAACTGCAAAATATATTTTTTTATATCATACAATGTCATTTTCTGGATTTTGGTTTTAGATCGTTATGGACTGGCTTATTTATATATTTTATCGATTTTATCTTATTTATTATAAACTGCTTGATTGTATTTTGGAAAACTTGTGTGCGTATTGTTAAGCACTTTAATTTTGTTTAGAAAGGTGCTGTATAAATAAAAATTATAATAGTTATTATTATTATAGATTCCGTCACACAGTTGAGTTATAGTACCTATAATAAAAATTATTCTGTGATTAATTGCATTATGTGCAAAATTCAATAATTAAAAAGTAGTGTATTGAACACTTTAATTTTAAAGTAATGTTATCAGAGCAATATAACAGGCACTCTCTGAGAAACAGCAAGTTAACATACTGTATATAATCAGTTTTCTTTCTGAACAAGTACCAGAAGAAACATGTGTCTTTTATCAAGGAACAGAATAATGTTGCATATATTCAGTAGTAAGGATCCCTGTTAGTGGGGTAAAGTGGGCTAGCAGAAAAAAGAACCATGGAATTCCTTTGAAACCACTCAGTAATGCAGGTTGAGCAGTTACACAAAGACAAAATGTATCCATTCCTCCGCCTTTGCATTTTCATACTCCTCTGCACCAAGCCAGCTGCTGAGACCAGTAATTTAAGTTTGTAGTGATATTGTACTTCAGACCGCTGCGTGTGTCTGCATGTTGCCAGTGAGAGCAACATTTGGTGCACATTGTAACGCTGTCATTCACTTTTATACAACTTATGACGTGCGTGTTAGGGGAGGCCTGCACGCACCTCATTCGTTGTGATTCTAAGAACGCTTCATTGTTATTGCTTTGGTTTGTTGACAGTTCTCCCCCAAGCCACATCCAATGTGGTTGCACACATACTGTAGTCAAAAGTTTTTGTCATGGCTCTCTTGAGTTTCCCGTTATTTCTACATGTCCAATTTTCTCTTATAGAGTGATTGGAACAGTCTTCTTTGTCGCAAAAAATATTCATAAAGTTTGGTTCTTTTATGAAAAAAAGTGATAAAATCTGCTGGGTCAAAAATATACATACAGCAATATGAATTAGCAATATTGGTGACTTAGAAAGTTGTGTCAATGAAATGAGCTTCATAGCCAGTGTTGGGAGTAACGCGTTACAAAGTAACCCCACTACTTTTAGTGGTAACGAGCATATAACGAAGTATTTTTTTTAAGAAATTAACGCAGTTACAATTACTGAAATTGAAATGAGTTCGTTACTCGCGTTACTCTCTTTTGTAACGCGAAGCAGAGGGCCGGCAAATAGTAAGTAAATAGCTGCCTGTCAGCACAAAATAGTTGTGGCCATCAAACGTTGTGTGTCACAGAATAGTCGCGTACGTGCATGTAAACAGCATCGCGTCGCTCATGACAAAAGAGCGCAGGCCCGCGGATGCTGCAGGCGCCGCTCCACGCAAACAACCACGGCTCCACTTTACACGGACTGCAGTGCAGCCGATAAACCGGGCAGAGCTGAATAGATTGATTGCTCGCTATGTTGAAGATGAGATGCATCCTGTCAACTGTTGAGTCAGTTGCCTTCAGGCAAATGCCTCAAACAGTTATTTTGTATTAAGTTAAGTATTAAAAAGGACTTTTGTACTATTGCTTGATTTGAAGGCCTTTTGCCCTGTTGATTACAGTAACTTAAGTTACTTTCCAGACTAATTACTTTTGATACACAGTAACTGGTAAGTAATTCAATTACCTTTAAAAGAAGTAACTAGTAACTGTAACTAAATACTCATTTTCAGTAACTTGCCCAACACTGTTCATAGCATGGCCTCTTAACTTCTTGTGAGTGATTATGAGTGACTACAGCTGGTGACTTCTCTGAGGCCAGTTAAATAGGGCTCATTTGAAAAAGTCGGCAAAGTCAGGTCCCAAGAGCAACAGTGCAAACAATTGTTTGTAAGTATAAAGTGCATGGCACTGTTTTGTCACTGCCACGATCATCAAGAAAACCCAAGCTATCACCTGCTGCTGAGGGAAAATTGGTCAGGAGGGTGAAGAGTCAACAGAATCACCAAAAAGCAGATCTGCCAGAATTAGAAGCTGCTGGAACACAGGCGTCAGTGTTAATTTTGGCAGCTATTTTTGATTTAGTCTTGAGACGAAAAATGCATATATTAGTTTTAGTCACATTGTCATTTTAAACCTTCCTAGTTTTAGTCGACGAAAACTAGACTAAAATATAATTAGTTTTAGTTGCGGTTTAGTGGCGGTCCGTAGTCGGTGCACAAGAACCACCGCTGCGCCGATGAGAGCGTTCTGGGTTCGTGGATGACGTCATCATGACGCGTTAATATCCGCCGTACTCTGCCGGTCTGTTGTCTGTAAGCTGCGTGCGGATTTAGGGGGGAAAAGTATCGTGACTTCGTCAACCACCAACATTTGCGCCTTGTCTCGTTAACGAAAGTTAGAATAGATTTAGTCAGAGTTTTTATTTTTTAAGATCGTTTTCGTCACGTCTTAATTAACACTGGTTAGTGTCCACAGTCAAGCGTGTTTTGCATCTCCATGGACTGAGACAATGCACAATGCCCAGCAATATGTTTGGAGGAGAAAAGGCCTTTAACCCCAAGAACACCACGCCTACCGTCAAGCACGGTGGTGGTAGTATTATGCTGTGGGGCTGTTTTGCTGCCAATGGAACTGGTGCTTTACAGAGAATAAATGGGATAATGAAGGAGGATTACCTTCAAATTCTTCAAGATAACCTAAAATCATCAACCAGACGGTTGGGTCTCTGGTGCCGTTGGGTGTCCCAACAGGACAATTAGGAGCGCCTAATTGAAGTGAAAATGGCCAAGGGACATGTAACCAAATATTAGCACTGCTGTATGCATATTTTTGACCCAGCAGATTTGATCACTTTTTCTGTTAACCCATAATATAGTCATAAAAGAACCAAACTTCATGAATGTTTTTTGTGACAAAGAAGTATCTGTTCCAATCACTCTGAGAAAAATCTGAATCTGAAGTAGAGATAACGGGAAACTCATGAAAAGCCATGACCAACCGCCAAGACAAATTCCTTTTATGTCTGACATATTTTGGCAATAAATGTTTCCTGATTCCTGATGACATTATGCTCTTTACGAGTGTATGTAAACTTTTGACCAGAACTGTACATCAAGAAATGTGGCTTGTTGGAATCTCTGTACAGTGTACAGATGTATTTATGACACTGCATACTTATGAAATGAATTATTCATATGAAAATAACAAACAGAACCGGTGCAATACATGCGCATGGTATTTGTCATTTATGTTAAATCAATATATAGGCTATTAAAACAGTTTAAAAATCGGTTGAAAATTTAGCAAGTTATGGTTATTTAAAAAGTACATGTACCACTACCAACACGAACTGACCGTGGCAAGATGGCCGCCATGTGCGGGCGTTTGACTCCATTGGCAACGCGGACGAGACATCTTGCCTTTTATATGAATCTATGGTTGCACAAGTCTCGCTTTACTGGTTGTTTGTGTATTTTCACAAGTGCGTATTTTCCATGGTACCCATGTTGGCAGCTCCTTGTAAATGTCAGAGACATGATGAATAGTCACACACATGAATAATGTCAACCCATAATGCCTGTGAAATGAAAATAGCACTAGTTTAGCAAAATTTCCTCCTTAAAAGCATTGAAGGTTCTTGGCATTATGCTTAATGTCCAGACTGGATGATTTCTAAAGCCCTTGTATCTGCCCTTATTTATGAATACTTACTCATAAAGGCTCCGAGGGCGTGATCTACTTGTGATGTCACAATAGAAGGATTCTCTATCACCACAAAAGACCACGATGTGTCTCTAGATCCGATGTGAAATCATCCCCATGGTGGTGTAGCTGCAGTACCATAATCACCCAGAGAAGGATTTCTGCCATCCGATGAAAAAACAAATATATGAATAACAGTTAGCTGCTTACTGCAATCACACTGCCATAACCTAATGTCCCTTGAGAGCCTCGGCCTCTTCCCAGAAGTCTCTTAATGGGTTGACACCATAGGTGTCATGATAAAGGTGTTCCTCGTCACCAATGGTCAAACAGGATTGCCGTGTTTACACAGTGGTTATCACAGAACAAGACGTTGCTGGACAAGAGAAAATTTCTAGCTTGCGTTCCAGTCGTCTTTACAGAATCAAGGTGTGTCAATGATGATTGTATTCGACAGCCAGCTCGGGTCCCAATGCATATATATGTTGTGACTGTTGACCTTCCCATTGGACCTTTGGAAGTGACTGAGGTCTAAGAGGGCAACGCCTGTACACGTATCAGCCAGGATGACACCTGTAGCAAATCATTAAAAACGCTCGCTTATATCATTGAAGCTCTGGCACTTTTGATGTCATCTTCAGAATGGACATGTTTGTGTTCTGGGAAAACAGCTCTCTAATCAAAAGGGACAAGGCTTATCAGGAGGCTCTTAATGTGGACGCTACTGTTTTTCCATAATTTGAGGTGATCAATAGCTCTATTTAACGCTCCACCTGATATGTGTAGAAACACACACCACCAATAGCTGGTGTGCGTTTTACGCACCCCTTAAAAGGTCGAAAGTTGATTTTGTTTTTCCATTTTGTATTTGGCAGCAGATCCCAACAGAAGTCACTTACAGTACAATTTCCAGGTCTATAGCTTGCGCTTTATTAAACAATTTATAGAGTTTTATGGTATTTATCTTATGTAATTTCTGTCTACACATGGTCACGCCTTAGAATTCTCCTCTTCGCTCTGTACTGCGGATGGCGGAGTCCCCTCCCCACTCCACATAAGTTGTAAACCTAGGGGAAACACTGTTAGAGAAATTCTCACTCGACAGCGGTGTAAAACCATCAAAACAGGACATTTATGTTTGCAAACAGGAGACAGAGTTGACACACAAGTTTTACAAGTCACACGGCAAGCCTACTCAAAGGTCTTCTTTCCGGAGTAACCATTTATACTTGAGATATGGTATCAGAAACATGGGGAGGGTTGTGCAGTGTTACGTTTCCACCTCAGTTGGAGGTGGGGAACGTAAACGCCTGTGCTTGCGCACCCATTGTAACCAGCGGTGGACGGTGAAGTAGTGTGGTGCAGCTGACCAAAAATAAAGAGACGTGACACACGAAACTCACTTTTGGACATAAAAGTAAGTAAGACAAAACACAAAAAAGTACACACACAACCAAGGAAGGGAGGAGAATGTGGTTTAGGGACTGGGGTCAAAGTAATGAAATAAACAAAAGGTCCCTTTTCTTCTACACACCTCTCCCTGCCTAACACAGTATATCCCTAACCAGCTTACCTCTCTATGGCCAAAACTACAGGGGTGACCCCCGCCCAGCTAACATAGTGTGTGTAACAAAGATTTACCTACGTGATGCAAATGTATACCCATGGGCAGAACTACCTACCCCTTCTCCAGAACTCAGGTAGAGCACAACGGGATCTCGCCCGACAGGATTCAACAAAAACTTTGACAGGCCATACAAAATACAAGGCCTCTCTCCCTTCTTTCTCTGCAGCAACCAGGCTGGTTTATATAGGCAATCAGCTAGCCCATTACTCCCCAGGTCTTCACCGGCCACGCCTCCTCGCCAACAGCCAACCAGCACCGCACACCTGTGAACCGAGAAACAAGCACTCTATGCCACTCACACAGTTAAAGGCACAGAACAAAACATGGGACGTGTAACATGCACGTACAGAGGTCTGATTGTTCTAGACCTCCTTTTATTGTCTGGAGACCTACATCTAACCATCATGAGACACAGTGTCCTCCTTGACACCGGAATCTCATCTCAGCTGACATCATCAACATCGAACAACAGACATTACTCCCTTTTAATCATGACATGACATTATTTGCAGTTTTTCCACGAGCAGCACCAACGCTGGGTGCTGTCTGGCCTGAGACCGTGGAAGGCCTCTCCATGGGAGGCCATGCTTATGCACCTCTCCAGAGCTTGAGAAGCAGCATACATGCACTACAGCCCCCCCTCTCTATACAACAAGCACTTTATTCATAGACACTACCATTGAACCGTGTCAACGTGACGCAGGGGTAGAGAGGGTGCGCTGGGAACCACAAGGTTGGCGGTTTGAGCCCTGGCTGCCCCATGTCCCGTGTTAAAGTGTCCCTGAGCAGGACACCTAACCCCTAACTGCTCCCTGGGCAAAAATGTAAAAAGCCATGGGAGGAAGGACTGTTTTTTGTTTGAGGGGGCAAAGACTGTTGTTTGTGGTGACTGAAGCAGGACACCTGTCCAGCAAGTCCAGTAGTAATATGTTACAGTGTCCAGTGGCAAAAGTCTCAAGTCTTGTCGATCTCTAACACTACTTCTGGTTTGTTGGGAATCCTGCTGTGTACTGACTTGTGAACATATCAAACACAACGAATGAACCACTTTTGCTAATACCATATGACCAGGGCATCATAGCAAAGAAGTCCCAATGGCAGACAGCCAGGTACATTCTGCAGGGTAAGACCATTGAGCTGTTGGTGGTTCTGGAGCACATCATTTCCTGCAGCAAGTGTGACTGGCTCACGTCTTCTTCCATTATTGAGCCCTAACTGTTGCATCATTTTCCTCTCCAGCTGCTGGCCAACGTAGTAATCTATATGTGTGCCATCACCGTGGGCGTCATGTCATACTACATGGCTGACCGGAAACATCGAAAGGCCTTTCTAGAAGCAAGACAATCCCTGGAGGTCAAACTCAACCTGGAGGAGCAGAGCCAGCAACAGGTCAGAAGTCAATCAATAGCTCAATATTGAGATCACGATTATTCATTATCTTTAGGGACAACATCTTTCACCTTTAACTGCAATTTAAGAACACTGCTTCTACTTCTATTGCTGTGCTACATTCTGGCTAATGTGCACATATTTGCATCAGACTGGTCCTCATCTCATAGAAGGAAAATGAAAAACACTTTTTAACACCAACATTAAATCAACAGAGCACTGCTTTCACTTTCATATTGTGCTACCTTCCAGCTAATGTGCACATCTTCATCAAAATAAAACTTTCTTATTGACCTGAAGCAAAATATCAATATTTTTACCCAAAATAAAGGGCTAAATAAAAATAAATATGCCATCACAGAATGCAACCAAATTCAACAATACAGTAGGGTGATGAAATCCATTCCACTCTGTCCATCCTGGTAGATCCTCTTCTGTCGTTCTCCCTAAGGTTTCTTCCTTTTCACTCCACGTTGCAGGGTTTTTTTTGGGGGGGGGGGTCTTATTTGTGCCAATGTGAAGGTTCGAGGACAGAGGATGTCATATGTGGACATGTTGTAAAGCTTGCAAATTTGTAATTTGTGCTTTTGAGCTATACAAAATATAAGTAAAGCTGCTGAATTTGATAACACGTTCTCCACAGGGTTGAGTAGTCAGCCTGTGACGGGTGAATGAAGGCTGGAGAGAGAGTCGGACACAGAAAAACACATAGGAGGTTGTCTTCCGTATATCAAATTCTCACAAAAATGTATGCTTGAAAACAAATCAAAAGCGTTAATTACATTATCTCACATCTCTTGTCCGTCACTTTTTATCCCTTCTTTGCGCCTCATTCACACACATCTATCAACAACCCTTTCTCTTCTCTTTAGTCAGCCAGAAGCTGACATTTTTCGACTGCACCTTCCATTAAAACCACATTAGTGTCTTTTCTTTAGTGCGGAGCACTTCGCACACTCACTTTCAGAAACTTTTCATTACTTTTCAAAAACACTTATTATTATTTAGTTTATACATATATAAATATATTTATTTTCTTTATTTTAAATCTTAATGAATCATCGATAATATCGCGAAGAAATTAACTTTTTAATACTCAAAAAACTATCAATTTGATATTTTGTTAGATATGTTTTACACAACCTCTGTCTGTAATTGTCAATACTAAAGTGTAAAAATAATTATTTCAGTAAATCTACAAGAAAGTACTTTTAGTTTCAAAGTAAAAAGGAAAAACAACCTTTACTAAACATTCAACCAAACCAAAAGCAAGGATTTCAACTTTTCCTAAACCTTGTACTGGAGACTGTCAAAAGCTTTCTTACCAGTAATGCAAAGCTCCGGTTTGCTACAAAAAGGATCTTGTCACTGTCTTCCAACTGACGCAGAACCTGGTTTCTCTATCCAAACTAATCCTGTAACGGACTAGAGACGAAAGCTTTGAACTAGAGCGCTAGACTCCCTGCAGGGCGTTTCAAACCCTGTGAGTTCCTGAGATCCGCCTCCAAGGACCAAATGTTGAAAAATAACACTCAACAAGGGTGTAAAATCATTAAACAGGACATTTATTGAATAATATGTGGGAGTAAGTGGGAGAGTTGAAACACACTCAAGTCACGCGTCAAGTTGCCAGTCGGAGAGCTACGTCTCTGAATTATATAGTGGAGACACAATTTATGCTTAGTCTCCAAATTTATGACAACCGTTATGACAACCCTAACCCACGCTAACTAAAAATAAGAAATTCAATTCTCTTCCTGAAACAACCAGTAACATATACAGAGACCCGTAACTGACCACATAATGGATAGTTAACAAAAATGACAATGTAGATAGCAGTGACCTACTCCGCTTTCCCAAAGTTACCCAGGCTGGTCACTACCTCCCCTCCCCTCCAACTAGCTGGCCAAGACAGAGGGTCACCTCGTAGGCCGGTTGTCCACAACCACCTAAACACCGGTTCAGCAGTAGGAACGCTCATGGCTGCAAAAGATCTAGAGCGCCACAAGCACTGGCATGTGGGGGTTGGAATCCAACTCCATGATGGACTGATGACTTTCAAGGCCGGCGGGTGCTTCTGCGTCTGCGTCGTTGCGTCGACGCACTCGCTTCAATTCATGGTTCTGCGTGTGTTGCAGAGCAATTCACCGCCAGAACAACAGGCGGAGTAACGTGCTTTTGTGGAAGACAACCTAGAGAGTCACGTCTATTTATTTATTTGTTCATTTATTTATCATAGACTTTATTGCCCCGTGCATCGACACTGCTGCTTTTCATCCCGGACACATTTGTCCCGTATTTTCCTCCACAACTTTGTGCACCTCTCGACGGCGATCTCCCTCCGTGAATCCAACCCGCTTATACAACCCGCCAATGGCGGCTTGTATAAGCGGTTATATTTAATCATCTGTTCTTAAATCTGATCCGTTCTCTCGTAAACATTCTTCGTTTTAATAATGGCGGTATCGGGCTAATAAAGTGGAAATGTGAGACTCGGTAAAGGACGTAGTTAGCAGACCAATCGCAGCCTGGTGCGCTGCTAGAGAAATGGATCGACGCACGCAAGGACGCAAGGAGGTGTGAAAAGGCACGCAAGGGACACGCAAGGGGGTCTTGCGTCTGCAACGCTCTGAAAACGCAGAAGCATAAACTAGGCTTCAGGTGTGGGTGCTCCAGGAACTAATAAAGGGAGGATGACCCTTAATATACCTGATCTTTGGCATAACGTTAACACGGTAACCTCTTCACATATCCCCCCCGTCCGTCTGTAATGCAACTGCATCCTTACTTTGCTCTATTCTTAAAACATGCACATTACATTTACTGTATACCCATCTGAAACCGCCACTATTTTTCCCCAAAATGTTGATCTATTTTTTTGTTGCTGTGGTCAGCCAGCCTACTATACATGTATGTATTAATGAATCAAACTCTTATCAGTAAAACTAACAGGTCCTTATGACTTTTTAAGAAGTGATTTTCTTTCAGTAGGTGTGTATCCTGTCCTCTCTGTGTATACCTTTGTCCTCTTCAGGAACGCTTGCTCCTATCCATTCTTCCAAAACACATAGCTGATGAGATGCTTCAGGACATGAAGAAGGAACCGAGTCAGAAAGAGATGCAGCAGTTCAACACAATGTACATGTACAGACACGAAAATGTCAGGTAACTTGGTTCCTTGGGGGGCTTTGACCATGTATGTAACATGAAAGTCATCTTGTTGATTTCTCTGGCCATGTGCACCAGAAAGCTTCTCACAGTGGTGTCCACACATCTACAGTACAGAACTAAACACGGTACATTGTACTGGGCTGAGTCCCAGTTAGATTGGGAGAGAAAGCTACAGCTTAAAACATAAGAAACAAAGTTGTTATTGGTAAACAAGATAACCAAAGAGAGGTAAGTGTGCATGTAGATTCAAGTGTGCCTTAGAATAACGTTAGGTTCCCACATGATCAAAGAAACTGCTTTTTCTTGCTGTAATCAGTCCTCCTGGTCATACTGGATTGATTTGTGATCAATGTTGATGATGAGGGACTGAGCGTGGTGTCTGTACTAATGGGCCATCTTGTGTCTGTGTCTTGTTGGGGGGGGGGTAGTATTTTGTTTGCAGATATTGTGGGCTTCACACAGCTGTCCTCATCCTGCAGCGCTCAGGAGCTGGTCAAACTGCTCAATGAGCTCTTTGCTCGCTTTGACAAACTGGCCGCAGTGAGTTTCACACCATTACATAACATTGTGACTGTAGTACACACATTCAAAGTCTTTGTCCACCTCTTATGTGAGTAATTTGGATGGTTTTAAAGCATGAGAGATTGTACATAAAAAGAAATGAGTGATATTATATATATATTGTGGCAAACCGTGGGATGTGGAGGCAAGATTTCAGGAATAGACACACTCGTCAGATAATAAAAGAATGATCCTTTTAATTGATAACTTCGGGGAAGGGGCTAGGGTCAAAAACAACATAAGATTCCTCCCGGTCGGGGTCTCAGGTCCTCAATGACTCGTCCTGGGGGAAAACAGAGGAGGAGAGGCGTGAAATACTTGCTGGTTGTCTCCCATGGTGACGGTGTTCTTCCTTCCTCCCTGCCGTCTGCCATTCAGCCACCCTCCATATCAGTCACCTCTTGATTGGGTTGATTGGCTGCAGGTGTTCCCAATGCCAGTTGCCAGCCGGTTGCAGCCCCTGGACTGGGTAACACTGTTACCCAGTCCAGGGGCTGCTTGTAGGGATCGTCGGTCTGAGCTAGACTGGCATCTGCTGACATGGAGGATTGATCACATACTGTATATAGATTTATATATTATATATATATATATATATACATATATACATAGAAATGGAAAGGTGTATGTTATGTGTCATTAGTTAGTTGTGAATGGCATTGGAAACCTCGTACAGTCGCTGTATGAAGTCAGGGTCCTTGCTATAATTACTGAAAAAGACAGAAAGGTAAGGGGATGAATGTTGTCCCTTTCTCTCTCTAAACCTCTATTACCCTTTCAGAAATATCACCAGCTGAGGATCAAGATCCTGGGCGACTGCTACTACTGTATCTGTGGGCTGCCAGACTACAGGGAGGACCACGCTGCATGCTCCATCATGATGGGCCTGGCCATGGTGGAGGCCATCTCGTGAGTACAGCGAAAAAGGGGGCAGGAGCTTGCCCGATATAAAGTTCCCTCAGTCTCAGCTACATTTTGATGCCCTGCAGTGGGTGGGTCCATAGCGTGGAATCAATCACTCTGATGGACTTTCTGTAGACCACATAAGTACAATAAAGCAAAGTGAATACTGTGGGATCATTGAGCTCAGATCGATTTTGGTCAGACTCCAGATGAGCTGCCATGAATAGATTTCCTGTAGTTTGGATGTCCCTTGCTGCTCTAAATGAGATCTATCAGTGTTCCCTGCTGGTCCGGTGAGAAAAGAGAGCAGAGTCACATGGAAAAATGTCGGATTCCTTGTGATACTTATCTATCATGGTGTTTTTTAAATCAACGACAGGTATGTCAGAGAGAAAACACAGACCGACGTGGACATGCGTGTTGGACTGCACAGCGGTACAGTCCTCGGGGGGGTACTTGGTCAGAAACGTTGGCAGTACGACGTCTGGTCCACAGATGTCACTGTGGCCAACAAGATGGAGGCGGGAGGGATACCCGGGTAAGAACCTCGGAGTGCCTGGTAAAGTTTTGAAAATACAATGCTCCATTACATGTGTCACAATTACATCAGGCCTTCCGTGTTAAAATAATATTTACGTGGCTTTCAGCCAAAGGTTTGTGTCCTTGACAGGATTCATAATAACGTCCATAATAATAAATAATAAATCCATTCACCCACTTGTCATTGTCACAATTATGGCCACTATATTAGCTTTAAGTTCCTTCCCATGCATCAGCTCCATTTAGTTTAGACTCCTGTGCGAAGTAACTAAAGAACAGTTGAAATGTCATGTCTCAAACATGTGTTGAGTGTTGTTTTGAATCCACTGTCAGTGTATTTCTTCAGACAGGATACATATATTTTTACTCTTCAGGTCCATGTTTGTGGGACTGAATGGTTTGGATTGGCCTTTTCTTTCGCTGGCTAACAGCTGTTTCTGGTGGCCATATCCACACTGCTGCTGGTGCCTCTGTCTGCTTCTCCACTGGTGCCTAATGTATTAATACCGTGACTATGGATCAAAGCTTCCTCTAGCCCCAATTAGAAAAAAATAGATACATCCCTTTGCACCCGAGGGCCAGGACACGACCTACTTCTGACCCAATGTGCCACAGCCTGAGAGGATGTGTGTTCTGTGTGACTGGCTTGTGTCTCACCCACAGAGTCAAAGTCAAATGTTTACACAGTTCAAAACAAAAGAAATCCAATGGTACACTGGTGTGTCCATGTGTGCTGCATTTGTGGGAAATCACCCCCCAGTTTTAAAAGATTGTCTTTTCTTTCTGCTTGCCCTTATCTACCAAATAACGTACCAATCTCATATCACATTGGTCAATGTCATCCGTTAACAAACTCCTTTTCACGGAGTCCGATGCCGTAACAAAGTAATTAGCAGTCTGATGGTTGTTGTTGAAATAACCCACACATGCAATATAAGACATTCATATCATCTTTTATTCTTTGAAACACAACATTTATTTACAGGTTTCTTTGTGTCCACCTGATGAATCCTGGTCCAGTATTCACTAACTGGCCCGTTTACACTGTCTGCCAATTTGTATTAGTTAGTAACCCATAAAACCACAGAAATAAGCCAGAAGAGGCTAAATGCTCTATTACACAATTGACATTACATTCACACTCAGATCTTCTAAGCGTTTTCCTCTTGCTTTCCTCCGCATAATATCCTGTATATGGAAGGATAATGCTCTTATACAACCAAACATTCCTTGTTTGTGTTCACATGCTAACACTGTGTTCAGTATTGGGACACTTCACCCTATGCAACATTTTGTAATCCTTAGGAACTGGTTTTGTGTGGACTATTCACAGTGCTGTGAAGTGTACAGGACCACCCCCATGGCAGTTGGGGGATAAGTGACTTGTCTAACCCTTGACCCCTGTGTATCTTGTGGACCAGTCGTGTCCACATCTCACAGAGCACCTTGGAATGTCTTCATGGAGAGTTTGATGTTGAGCCAGGGAATGGAGGTGAGCGCTGTGACTACCTGAGGGAGAGGGGCATCGAGACTTTCCTAGTGGTTGTTCCTAAAGGACCTGTGGGGAAGAGTGGCATCAATGGTGTAGTGAGTCTAACCTGCCACGCAACCACACAGCCAATATTTGGATATTCAAACGATCTGGATTCATATACAGCCATCTGATACACAGAGACATTCACATTTTATTAGCTATTGTTACTGAAAGCTACATTTTAGAATGATTTCAAAATAAAACACAATGTGTAGTTATCATTCAAAATACATGGATATGTTGAAAATGTAAAAAATGAAGAATAAACGTCTTTAAAACTTTTTACAGCAATGCATCAGCAATTCCTGTTTGCTTGTTTCCATTAGAAGCTGTCCGTTACCTCTTCCAACGGAAACTCCCCCCTGTTGATCAACACCACAGAGTGTAACGGCAGTGTAAACACAGCGTGCACCTCCCCGGAGGAACCAGAAGACCTTGATACGAGGGTAATCAAGATTACAAGTAGAAAATGTTCTGTTGCCTACGTCCGACTGGTTGATGGTGAAAAGCTATCCTCGGAGCCCGGCCATAACAACATTTCCAACTAAAATCAGTTAATTTCAGGGGAATTTAATTAGCTGGCCATAACAGTTATGAGCACAGGGATTATATGAGACCGTGAAATTATCTTCTGTTCAATGTTTCCATTTGGTCGTGAGCTGGTGGAGTGTCTGAAATGGAGTGCATCCTCTTCGCAGTGTAAAGACGCTCTGAGAGAACTAAACTTCTGAACTTTTCAGAAAAGCTCTAGTAATGGCACTGTAGTAAATTGAGGAAAAGCTTGTTTTGGCCATGTTTGTCTATGCTGAGCTACAATTAGTGGGAGCAGTTAGGCTGGACAGACACAAACTGTTGCTCCTGAGGGCTTTTTAACCATAAACTGTGTCTCTTTGTGAGAATGATTGGGGACTAAATCAACTTTGCCAAGTATGAAGCAGACATCCTCTGCAAAAAACTATACGATACTATAATATACTACCCTAATACATCTTCACATACAGTGAAGGAGTGATGCTACCCCCCCATACCATGGTTGTTGTGTAGTGCTTGTCAAGAAATTGTTGTAAAAAACAAAACATGAAAAAAAGAACAAATGTCAAATGTCAAAAACATTGGACTGAAGTGCTAAAGAAAAACGCGCTATGTGGACGCGGGACCCAAGGGGACCATTAATATACACAGGCTTGTTTATTGTGAAGCAAGGGGTTGATATTCAGACAGAGTTACGCGGTAGATTAAAGTGTTACGACAGATCAGCTGATCAACATAATTACCAATATGGCATTGATAAAGTAATACACAAAACTGTTCTCAATTCACTTTTTTCTTTCTGCGACTTGAGGTGGTAAATCCATCTTTCCCTAACCCTCGGAGAAGGCTTCGGCTGCGGGACCTGGCTGAAAGGGTCATCGATGCCCAGGAGAACGAACAGGAGCTCAACAAACTGCTCAACGAGGCTCTGCTGGAAAGAGAGACGGTCCAAGCGTAAGACAATACCCCCACTCGTTGATGAAACCCTACGTCTTTTGTGTTTCTGCTTCATATCGTTATACAAAATATGTAGTTAAAATTTTTGTTGTCGTTTGCTACTGCTAGAGATTCTTCTATTGTCAGCCATATAGGTCTTATTTGAAATGTTGATTTTAGAGAAGGGATGACACCTTGGGTACCAATACAAAGTTTATTCTTATTCCTATAAATAAATTGGTGATAGATTCATGTGGACAGGAAGAAGCAGGCATTAACCTCCTGAGCCACAGCCCCCTGATACGCACCGGAAGGGAACTGATGTAGAAATCAGTCAGCATGCTGCTGTAGCCAAGCAAGATAGTCAGGGCACCTGGGGAAGACTGGCCATCCAACATCAATCCTCAACTATATTTGAACTGATAATGTTTTTTTTCTGCTTGCATCACTGCTGACACCCCAGTTTCCAGGATGAACAGCTACAGATCTGATTGTACAACCACACACACACACCAAGGCTACCCTGAGACCAAGTACACTATAGATTGAGCTACTTAATCAAAGTGCTTGTTGTGGCCCATCAATGACTGCCCCGGCAACACAGCTCCTAGAGTCACTGGGAGACACAAACCCAACCTACCTCATGACAAAAATTACTGTAGACATGCAGGATGCAGTTGTACTGCTATTCCTTCAACATTGTGGATGTAACCCTAAGAGAGAGAGATTTTGCAGCTGGATCAAGGGAGGCCCTTCAGGTTCCAATACACCATTGGGAGTTCCCGGGTGAGTCCTGGAAAACACTACGTATGTCGTATGTAGTGTGTCATCTCTCAAGCAACAAACACCAGGCTCAGGAGACGGTCTGCTTCTTACGGTCTGCCTGAACAAATTGTGACAGACGATGCAACCACATTCACATTAGACAAGTTCCAGACTTTTGCCAAGCAGAATGGAATTCTGTGCACCAGGACATCCAGCAACATATGGTCTGGCAGAGAGATATGTTCAGACATTCAAGGCAGGAATGAAAAAGCTTGCTCACACTTTCCTGAACATTGAGGACAAGAACTCACTGTTCCTGCTGCAGTATCTGGCTACCCCTGACTGCACTACTGGACAGTCCCCAGCTAATCTGTTTCTTCACAGACAAATCTGGACAGATTTGCTAAAGCCTTGAACCAAGGAGACAATTAGGACAAATAGAACACCATAACAGCACACAGACGTAATGGGGACCAGCTGCAAGCTCGAGCCATTGCTGAACCGAATATAAGATGTCTCCCAATCACAGGCTGAACTTGGTGATGGTGAAGCTAGCAGCAGTTCTCAGGAAGTTGTCGACCCTAACATGAAGACACCCGACCTTCTCGGGCCTGAACCAGTGGCTCTGAGGCGCTCAAACCACTGAGTGACTAAACCACTAAAGCGATACATAGCATAAGACTCTATACCCCTACAGCGTCCTGTATCCTTCAGACTCCTGATCACATTTAGTTATTTGGTTGAAATAGTACAAATGCTTTTTGGACCTCAGTGAACACGGTCTTAGTCCATAGTAATTGTAGCGTGCATGCGCAAAACTGATCGCTTTTCCATGGCCGAATAAAGTAATGAACGCTACATATGCATATGCATTTTTTTCCTACCTGAATATGACTGAAGGCTAAGCTCACATGATTTATTGAAAACAGGAGACATCTGAAAAATGAAAAAGTTACTGTGTGGTTACTAAGGAAAAAGTCATTTTGTGTTTTATCATTACGATTGACACTGATCTAATCCTATAAATACTGACATCAGTGCTATTTTTTGTTTGTCTCGTCAGTCTGAAGGGGAAACACACCAACAAACTCTCCCTGAGGTTTGCGGATCCAGAGCTGGAGACTCGATACTCTGTGGAGAAGGAGAAACAGAGCGGAGCTGCCTTCTGCTGCTCCTGTGTGGTCCTGCTCTTCACTGCAGCTATGGAGGCCCTCATAGACCCCTGGTCGGGAGTTATTTCGCTCTCTTTCTTTTCTGCACAATGTGGCCAGGTTCCCTTGTGCCGCTCTGGTTGAGACATAAATTAGCAAAATGATCCTATCCTATTTGTATGATTATTCAATCTGTTCAGTGAGAAATCCTCCACTTTATCACAACCAAACGCAATGCTCTCTGCAGTATTGTTTTCTATCTGTCTACATGCAGCTGTTAATGTATTGAACTGGTATTGCTGACTACTACCAGTGATGTGTATTTCAAGGTTTGTCTGTGTGTTACGGAACAGGCTGATTGCAAACTACATCACATTTGCAGTGGGAGAAGTCGTTCTGCTTATCCTGACAATCTGTTCTCTCGCGGCCATCTTCCCTAGAGTGAGTTACAACCAATTTTCATACTTGGGTTTTGTCATGTTTTTTTCTGCATAATGGTAACAGTTATTCTCCAGATATGGTGACTGCCCAGTGTGTCAGGTTAGGCTGGAAAGCAACAACATTTTTGATTTAGAAAATCAGTGTCAATGTGTTTTAATTGTGTAGCTTGAGTCAGGATGAGATAAGCATCAGGACAGAAAGCAAGGATAAAGTTCAAAGACGTGGTTTTATGGCTGCTACATTTTGGAGCCATTTTAAGTGCAGTTTGCCGACGTCTTGGGGTCCCGATGACGTTGTAAGGTTTCCAGAGACCAAAAACTGTGGTCTGGATTCTCAAAGAAGGAACAGATAATCCATTTTCTCAAAATGTCAAAATATTGATTTAAAATAGTTTTCCTTAAATGTAGCTATTACTCTATATATATATATATATATATATATATATATATATATATCTATATAGATATAGATATACATACATACATACATACTAGTTTGATATAAATAACGTGTTGTTACTGTCCTTATTGGAATTGTGTATGTGGAAGGTCTTTCCCAAGAAGCTAGTGTCTTTCTCCACCTGGATCGACCACACCCGCTGGGCTCGTAACACCTGGGCTATGGCAGCCATCTTCATACTCACCGTGGCCGACATCACGGACATGGTAAGCAGCTCTCTGCGGTTTCTTACACCTGCAAAGACAAAACCTGTGTACATAGAACTTTATTCAAGAGCTTTGTTTTTCAATTTGAGAGCTGGTCCCTTCTCTGCATATTGTAACACCCCTCTTATTTTTTTAATAACCCCCTGAACCAAAATATTGCCAGGTGACGTGTTGACCAATGAAAAGATCCTACTTTCCTTATTCACTTTTGGAATAAAAGTAAAGTGTGTTAAGGAGAAGGGGAGACCACAATAGTTAACACCTCAGGTTAAGCCATTATTGTAAAGCTAACATCTGGTATATTGGTATATATATATAAGTGTTGAGTGAGCTGTACTGTATGTATTTTGTAATATATAAGAAATATATATATGACAAGAAATTGGGCCAAAAAAAGGTTTTGGATGTTGCTGACGAAGGAAAGCTGAGGAAAGATATTTTGAATTATGGTGATGAACGTACAGAGCTCTCAACTTTTTGTCTCTCCAGCTGAGTTGTCTGCCTCAAGTCCCAGATTCAGACAGCCCCACAGTTGCCCCATCCGCTTCCTCCTCATTTTCTTCCTCCTGGTCTGGCTCTGATGGTTGTCTGGACAACCCCAAATATTATAGCTACGTGGCTGTGCTGGCACTGATGGCCACAACCATGCTGGTTCAGGTCAGTCACATGGTCAAGCTCACGCTGATGCTGCTCATCACAGTGGCCACCGGCATTGTTAACATCTACAGCTGGAGGGACATCTTCGACAGCTATGACATGGCCCGTTTTCAGGACTACAGGTGAGGCAAAACAGGATGCAGTATCATCTGTGTAAGGCAGATGTATTTGTACCTCATGTAGCACTTTCACCCCTTTCTCAACTGACATTAGATCAGGAATCAATCAACTTAAGAAGATAAACAAGTGTGTACAGAGTATTTGAGCCAAGATTTAGTTGCATGTGATCTAATTCAAACAGGTTCCTTTACTGGATCATAGTCTCCTCCAACCACAAGCACATCACCGTCTTTTAATGTCAGCGAATATCCACTTTTGGGCTACATCAAAAAGTGGGATTGGGAACAACCCTGAGTGGACTGTCTTAATAATGCGTTGCAGTGTTGAGATTAAGATCAATAAAACTGAGAACCCCCCCTCCAGACAACAATTGGCCACTGGTTCATCACTGCTGCTACACCAGCTTTAGTTCCCGTAGTGTCAGGGTTCCGGTCCACAGATATATCCTATCTGGGTATGCGGCTTCACAGTCCTAACCAACTTACAATAAGTGCTTTCAAACTAAAGGGTACAGATACAGAACAACAAGAATCAAGGGGGGGGGGGGTTAAACAGTATTAATGTGCAATGTCAATATATCAATGTCCTTTTTCACAGGTCATACCTGGTGCCCTCCAAGTTCACAATGACAATTATGATCTTCATTATGATGGTCAGCTTCTATTATTTCTCTCGTCATGTAAGTACATGTCTTCTGTGTTCAATGTACATGTAAACTTGATTTGTATATGCAAGCATATCTGTATTGTACGAAGCATAGTCTGAAGATCCGTTAACTAATGTATGCATCGTAGACACATTTCAGTACGTGAGATAACATCAGGGTTATGGGCAAGTAGTTTGAATCGCTGGTTTAGCATTAACTAATCAGTTCTCATAGTTGTCTCTGCCCAACTACATTGAGTGATTGAGAGCCAGCTGGCTGTTTTTGCTCACGCCTCATCAGTTTACTCATGCCATTCAGGGAAAACTCCTTTCCACATGTAAGTTCATAGAAAAGAGTTGTTTGTTTCCAAAACGTGGGTTTCCAGTGAAAAAGCTTCTGAGGAGTGTGGAACCACAACATGAATCTTTCTAAAAGTCAACTTATGGACATTTACAATGGTCTTAGAGTTGACAACATGGCGACATGCTCTTAATGAGTCGACGGGTGGTGTCTCGTGGGATCAGTGAGCTCCTGTAAAGTCTGAAGAGCAACCTGGCGGTGGTCTATCGGGTGTAGGTCAGGTGATCGTGAGGGCCATTCAATTGTATCAATCCCTCCATCCTCCAGGTACTGCCTACATACTCTTGCCACATGTGGCCAGGAATTGTCGTGCACCAGGAGGAACCCAGGACCTACTGCACCAGCGTAGGGTCTGACCTTGGGTTCAAGGATTTCATACCTAATGACAGTCAAACTGCCGTTCTCTAGCCTGTAGAGGTCTGTGCGTCCCTCTATGGATATGCCTCCCCAGACCACCACCAAAGCGCTAATGCTGAACCACGTTGCAGGCAGCGGAGCGTTCTCCTTGGCTTTTGCGGACCCTTTTCACATGAAGCGCAGGGTGAACCTGCTCTCATCTGTGAAAAGCACAGGACGCCAGTGGCAGGCATGCCAATCCTGGTGTTCTGTAGCAAATTCCCATGGAGCTCCATGGTGTTTGGCAGTGAGCACAGGGCACACTACAGAACGTCACACACTGAGGCCACCCTCATGAAGTCTGTTTCTGATTGTGGGGCACACACACACACAGCAGTAGCCTCCTGGAGGTCATTCTGTAGGAGTCAGGTGCTAAACTGGTTCGTCCTTACACAAATCAGCAGATATTGGTCCTGCTGATGGGTTGAGGACCTTCTTGTTAGGGGGGATGGGGTGTATTTGGTGGACCCAAAAGCACACGCACAGCAGCCTTGGATTTTCAGCCAAAATTACTTTATTTTTCACAAAAAACAAACAAGGGGAATACGGGAAACAGAACGCGCTCCTCTGGAGTTGGGAGGGAAACTCCGACGTCTGGCGGTCTGAGGTGGCTCAAGCAGGGTCTGGTGTGGAAACCCGAGGCCCGACACCATACTCACAGTCCAACTCAAAAGCAGATTACGTGCACTCCGTGGTACTCCGTGGGTCTGACACAAAAACAAACCAAAACATGAATAAACTGGTTTAGCTGCTGTATCTCAGCATCAACGGCACCTGAGACCAGCCTGGGTACTGGGACGGACTGGCGACGACGACGAGCCTCTGAAAGCAGGAGCCTTTATGCTCGTCACCAGTGATCCCCGGAATGAGCCACAGCTGGGCACGTGGGAGAGGGGTGGGGCCGGAGGCGGAACACACAGGTGGAAACTATAGGTGGAAAAACCAAACAAGCAAAAACAAAAGCACAGACTGGGGGAAAAACTGTTAATAAAACCGGGTCCCTAACACTTCTACAAACCTGTCCAGCTCTCCTAGAGTAACTGCCTGTGTCCTGGAATCTCCTCCATGTTCTGGAGATTGTGCTGGGCAACACATGAAATCTTGTGGATGTGCCATCCTGGAGGAGTTGGACAATCTATGGAACTTCTGTAGGGTTAAGAAATGGCCTCTTATCAGTAGTGATTATGGCTCCAGCTAAATCAGTCCTGTTTTGGGGGTTGTCTCATTGTTGCCTCTCTAGTGCACCAATGCAGCTTGATCTGACATCCCCCTCTGCTGAACACAAGTATTTAGACTGATGGAATTTTATAAATGTTGCCACTTTACGTAACAAATAAGAGCAGCATATCAAACGCAGCAATGGTGTCAGCAATTGTAATGTGACTACTATTAATGATGACAGTGGCAGTGAATGTTGCACCACCATCCAGATGGAACCACCATGCACTGAAGCCTAGAAGAAAGTCTTAAGCTTTGTCTTAAATGACAATTGACAATTCTCTTAGGAGCTTGATTAAAAAAGAATATTTGCTTTGTTTGTAACTGTCATTCTCTTTCGAATTAGTTAGCAAGTAATCTACACTGGTCAAATGCTAACACCAGCCCTTGTGTCTGCTTGAAGGTGGAGAAGCTCGCCCGCACCTTGTTCCTGTGGAAGATCGAGGTCCATGAGCAGAAGGAGAAAGTGTACGAGATGAGACGGTGGAACGAAGCACTGGTGACCAACATGCTGCCTGAACATGTGGCTCGACACTTCCTGGGCTCCAAAAAGAGGGATGAGGTGTGTGTGTGTATCTTAGTCATAGCTTATTCAAGAGTTGATGTTATTTGAATTCCTACATTCAGGTTTGGTGCATTTGTTTCACAAAGCGCCTGCTCTCTTCCTCCCCACCTTGTTATTGTCACCTACAGGAGTTGTACAGCCAGTCCTACGATGAGATTGGAGTCATGTTTGCCTCGATTCCCAATTTCTCTGACTTCTACACAGAGGAGAGCATCAATAATGGAGGAATCGAGTGCTTACGATTCCTCAATGAGATCATCTCTGACTTTGACAGTGTAAGCTGCTCCTCTTATTCTGTGTGTTCTCCTAGCAGTAGTGTCTTGAGCTACCCAGCATTAAACATTTAATAGGCGTTAGGATCTCCTGTAGACAAAAAGAACAAGAGCTGTTTTTGAAGGAGTCAGAGATGTAGTTGTGTACCGTTAATTTCCATTTAAACCTCACCTTTTATACATTTCTATGTCAGCTGCTGGATGAGCCTCAGTTCCGCTGCATAACAAAAATCAAGACCATCGGCAGCACCTACATGGCAGCATCAGGTGTCACCTCAGATGTCAGCAACGGATACACATGCATGAAGGTCAGACTGGTCGCATGTCTTCTCCAAACTTCAATGTGTGTCTGTGACTAATTAAAGGAACAGTGAAATTTCACTCCCAATGTAGTAGTCAATAACTACATTGCTATACGGGTTTAAATTTGTAAACAAATGTGGCAATTTATCTTATTAATACGGACATCGTGCAGTGCAAAGTATGGGTCCTTCTTGGCCTTCACTGAAGATCATCTCAGTGTTTTTTCCCAGTCGTGATGAGGAGGGCTTTGTTTGACAGAATGAGGAGCAGTCTGATCGAGAGCGCTGGCAGCACCTGGCAGACCTGGCCGACTTTGCTTTGGCCATGAAGGTCACACTCATGAACATCAACTATCAGTCCTTCAATAACTTCATGCTACGAATCGGTATGTGTCAAGCCCCGTTTTGTCTGTGTGTTGTACTTCTGTCCTTGATGCTAGACTCCCTCATAAAAAGAGTTTAGCTGGTATTGTATATGGTAGGTCTATATTGTTGTGGGGGTAGAATTAGCACGGTGGGAAAGGTCAATATATAAGCCAACTGGTAAATCTGGTAGTGTTAAGTGTTAGAGTTTGTATTATCAAAACTAAGAAAATAAAAAAGAGCAGGTGAGAAAAGATTGAGAAGCTAACTGATTTTGATTTTGGGATATACAAAATAAATTGAATTGACTATGATGGATAACAAAGGACATAGGTCCATAGGGTTTTTTCTTTCTTTGTGTCAGTAAATATCTGAGCATTATTGGTGTGAATGCCGGAAGAATTAAGAATTCTCACAGTGTTTGTCATCAATCATATATAATCATACACATCCCTCTAGGTCTGAATAAGGGTGGAGTGTTAGCAGGAGTGATCGGTGCCCGAAAACCCCATTACGATATTTGGGGCAACACTGTGAATGTGGCCAGTCGCATGGAGTCCACGGGTGTCATGGGAAACATCCAGGTAAAGCATTGAGTATTATGGAAAAGCTTCTAGAAAATGTAAGTGTTAACAATGAGAGAACAGTGTTCAGAAAATGAAATAGAAGATTACTGTCGCACACTAGGCCACAGCGCTCGTTGGTATCGTCCATAAACAGTCAAACTTTATAAACAGGAGAGGTTTTAGGGTTGTAAAAGTATGAATAGTGGAGATGGAGCTTTAATTGTATGAGAAACAATTGTGGGCACAAACATGTTGGATATATACAGTACATTACATTTTGTTCAAAAACCTTGTAAATGAATTGCGTTTTATTTTAATTAATGTGGCAATATAAATGTGTAATACTGCAAAGCTTACACTTTCAAGGTCTCTGCTATAGCCATGAATGGGGTTTCCATAAGGTCACAGACATTGGTGGGAGGAGCCAAAACTGCTCCAGGTTTATGAAATCTACAGTTGTGGTCAAAAGTTTACACACACACACCCACACACACACTTGTAAAGAACATAAGGTCATGGCTCTCTTGAGTTTCCCGTTATTTCTACAAGTCTGATTTTTCTCTGATAAAGAAGTATATGTTCCAATCACACTGTCACAAAAAACATTCATGAAGTTTGGTTCTTTTATGACTTTATTATGGGTTAACCGAAAAAGTGATGAAATATGCCGGGTCACAAATATACATACAGCAGTGCTAGTACTTGGTTACATGTCCCTTGGCCATTTCCTTCAATTAGGCGCTTTTGGTAGCCATCCACAAGCTTCTCGTTTAATCTTTTACCACTCCTCTTGACAGACTTGGTGCAGTTCAGTTAAATTTGATGGCTTTCTGACATGGACTTCGGGCTGATGATTTTAGGTTATCTTGAAGAATTTGAAGGTAATCCTCCATTATCCCATTCACTCTCTGTAACGCACCAGTTCCATTGGCAGCCCCACAGCATAATACTACCACCCCCGTGCTTGACGGTAGGCATGGTGTTCTTGGGGTTAAAGGACTCACCTTTTCTCTTCTAAACATATTACATGTCATTTAGCTGGCACTTTTATCCAAAGCGACTTACAGTAAGTGCATTCAACCATAGGGTACAAACTCAGAAGAACAAGAAAGTGCAATTTCCTCAAATAAGCCAATTTACAATTTGCTATAGATGACTGACATTACAAGTACAATTTAGGTTTTACAATTTGTTAGTCTTTAGTCGAGGTGGTGGCTGAAGAGGTGTGTCTTTAGTTTGCAGCGGAAGATGTGAAGGCTCTCTGCGGTCCTGATGTCTTCAGAGAGCTCGTTCCACCATTTCCGAGCAAGGACAGCAAAGAGTCGTGATCTAGTTGAGTGTTTTGCTCTCAGTGAGGGAGGAACGAGCAGTTTTGCAGATGCAGAGCGGAGAGTGCGGGTCGGGATGTCGGGTTTGACCATGTCCTGGATATAAGCTGGACCTGATCCATTCACAGCATGGTACGTGAGCACCAATGTTTTGAACTGGATGCGGGCGGCCACCGGTAGCCAGTGAAGAGAGCGGAGGAGTGGAGTAGTGTGGGAGAATTTTGGAAGGTTAAAGACCAGTCGAGCTGCTGCATTCTGGATGAGCTGCAGAGGTCGAATGGCGGTAGCGGGGACACCTGCCAGGAACGAGTTGCAGTTGTCCAGGTGGGAGATGACAAGAGCCTGAATCAGAACCTCGGCTGAGTGAGAAGGGGACGTATTCTCCTGATGTTGTAGAGCGTGTATCTACAGGATCGTGTTGTCGCAGCGATGTTGGGAGTCAGGGAAAGTTGGCTGTCCAGTGTGATGCTGAGGTTCCTAGCGGTCAAAGTGGGCGTTAGCACGGAGTTGCCAAAGTTGACTGTCAGGGTCGGAGAATCTTTTCCCGGAAAGAGAAGTAGTTCAGTCTTGTCAGGGTTGATTTTCAGATGGTGGGCGACATCCACTGAGAGATGTCAGTTAGACAGGCAGACATCCGTGCCGCCACCTGGGTGTCCGAGTAAGGGAAGGAGAGAATTGGTTGGGTGTCATCGGCATAGCTGTGGTAGGAGAAGCCATGGGAGCGAATGTCAGCGCCTACAGAGTTGGTGTAGAGCGAGGAGAGGAGGGGACCCAGGACGGAACCCTGAGGACCTCCAGTAGTAAGAGGACAAGGTTCCGACACAGATCCTCGCCAGGTAACCCGGTAGGTGCGGCCGTCGAGGTAGGACGAGGGAAGGGAGAGAGCAGAGCCTGAGACACCAAGTTCCTGAAGGGAGGAAATACGGAACTGGTGGTTGACTGTCAAATGCAGCAGAGAGGTCCAGAAGGATGAGGACAGAGAGGCGGCTCTAGCAGTGTGGAGTTTCTCTGAGACTGCAAGGAGAGCAGTGGAATGGCCTGCCTTGAAGCCTGACTGGTGGGGGTCAAGGAGGTTGTTATGGTGGAGATAGGAGGAGAGTTGGTTAAAGATCGAACGTTCAAGGGTTTTGGACAAAAAGGGAAGAAGAGAGACCGGTCTGTAGTTTTCTTCAGAAGGGTTGAGGGTAGGTTTCTTCAGGAGAGGGTTAACTCTTGCCTCATTCAGAGAATTGGGAAAACCGCCAGATAACAGCATTGTTGACGAGACAGGTGAGGAAAGGAAGAAGGTCAGGTGCGATAGATTGTAGAAGATGTGATGGAATGGGGTCAAGAGGGAAGTTGGTCGAACGGGCAGAGGTTACTAGGGTAAGAATTTGGTTAGGGGACTGGGGGGTGAAAGGAAAGTGAGGGCAATAGAGGGGAAGTCAGTGGGACGCAAGAAGTAGGAGGTGGGTTTGAGAAAGGAGCGTATATCAGCAATTTTCTTGGTAAAGTAGTTGACAAAGTCACCCGGAAGAAGGGTGGAGGAGGGCTAGGGGGTTTGAGGAGGTTGGAGAAGATCGAAAAGAGTTTTTTGGAGTTAGAAAATGAAGATTCAATTCTGGATTGGTAGAAAGAGCTTTTGGCAGCAGAGATAGAAGCAGAAGAAGAGGAGAGATTAAAATTCAAGCAGGTGATCAGGGCGTTTATATTTACACCATCTACTTTCCGATGCTCGCATCGTGGCTCTCATGGCACGGACCGGTTGAGACAGCCACGGAGCCGGAGGGGATTTGCCAGTCCGTCGGGTCGTAAGAGGGCAGAGAGTGGAGGAAAGAGTTGAGAGGAGAGTCTCTGCGGCAGCGTTCGGATGAAAGAGTGAGAAGGAGTCAGTAGACGGGAGAGCTGATAGAACAGAGGAGGCCAGAGAGGAAACGAATATTGCGACGAACAGGTACAGAGTCAGTCCATGGGGGAGGGTTGTTAGTTAGAGAGGGAGAGTGTAAGAGATGAAGAAGTGGTCAGACACATGAAGTGGAGTTACAGAGAGGTTAGTGGTAGAGCAGTTTCTAGTGAAGATGTAGTCAAGGTGATTGCCGGCTTTGTGAGTAGGAGGAGAGGGACTGAGTGATAGAGCGAAAGAAGTAGGTGTAAAGGCTGGCGCATGCTTCTGCGTCTGCGTTGTTGCGTCGACGCACTCGTTTCAATCCATGGTTCTAAAAGGCTTGCGTGTGTTGCAGAGCAATTCACCGCCAGAACAATAGGCAGAGTAGCGTGTTTTTGTTGAAGACGACCTAGAAATTCACGTCTATTTATTTGTTTATTTATTTATCATAACTTTATTGCCCCGTGCATCGCCACTGCTCCTTTTTGTCTCGCATTTTCCTCCACAACTCCACAACCCGCCAATGACGGCTTGTATAAGTGGTTATATTTAATCATCAGTTCTTAAATCTGATCCGTTCTCTCGTAAACATTCTTTGTTTTAATAATGGCGGTATCCGGGCTATGAAAGCGGAAATGTGAGACTCCGTAAAGGATATAGTTAGCAGACCAATCGCAGCCATGTGCGCTGCAAATGGCTCGACACACGCAAGCATGCAAAGAGGTGTGAAAAGGCACGCAAGGGACACGCAAGGGGGGCTTGCGTCTGTGTTGCTCTGAAAACGCAGAATCATAAACTAGGCTTAAGAGGTCAGATGACTTCTCTCTGGATGTTGAGGATGATGAGTGGAGGGCCATTTTCAGGGAAATTGGACAGGAGAATGTCCAGTTCTTCCAAGAAATGACCCAAGGAGCCTGGGGGACGGTAAAGGACAACAATGGTTAATTGTACCGGGTGAGTAACCGTTACAGCATGGAATTCGAAAGACAGTGGGGTGGATGGTGGAAGAGGGTAAAGAGAAAAGCTTCATTTGGGTGAAATGAGTAAACCTGTGCCACCACCCCTACCAGTGGGCCTGGGTGTGTGGCTGAAGGAGAAGGCGGAGGAGAGAGCGGCTGGGGTGGATGTGTTCTCCGGTGTGATCCAGCTCTCGGTGAGAGCGAGAAAGTCAAGCGACTGTTGGATAGCAAAGCTGGAGATGAAGTCTGCCTTGCGAGTAGCTGACTGGCAGTTCCAGAGGCCCCCTGTGACGAGGTGCTGGACGTGTGGACCGGGTGGGATAGGAGAGGTTACGATAGAGAGCAGATCTATCCCGAGGCCTGTAGTATCTAGTCTTTGTCCTCCTCGTCTTGACTCCCACGAAAGACTCCCTAGTCTTTGTCCTGCTCTTCTTCGTGCTGCGAGGATAAGCTAACGCTTCACTCGATCTGTAGTTAAATACTCCCTCGTTAGTGGAAGTCGGCTACGGCTGCGCTGACCACTCCACCGTCGTTAAGGAGTCAAAAGGTCGATTGGCCTCGACAGAAACTCCTCAAAATGCAAAACACCAATTGCTTGACACCCTAATCAGTGAACAATCACCATGTGGTGTTTTGACAAACAGAGGTTAAGGATTCAAGTCTTATTTGCTTCAGAAGAGAAGGCAAAACAGACTTAGATCAGGTCAAACCTAGCAAAGTTAGGAGGGCACACTGGCAGTTAACTTAATAGTAGACCCTAGAACACCAACTGGCACTAAAAAACTGAAAGAGCTTAAGCAAACTAGCAACCAAGATAACTTCAAACAGAGAGAACTGGCAGTAAAACGGCAGCCACTCAGTCCATGGAGATGCAAAACACGCTCGACTGTGGACACTGACGCTTGTGTTCCAGCTGCTTCTAATTCTTGGCAGATCTGCTTTTTGGTGGTTCTCTGTTGACTCTTCACCCTCCTGACCAATTCTCCCTCAGCAGCAGGTCATAGCTTGCGTTATCTTCCTGATTGTTGCAGTGACAAAACAGTGCCATGCACTTTATACTTACAAACAATTGTTTGCACTGTTGCTCTTGGGACTTGCAGCTGCTTTGAAATGGCTGCAAATGACTTTTCTGACTTCTTCAAATGAGCCCTATTTAACTGGCCTCAGAGAAGTCACCAGCTGTAGTCACTCATAATCACTCACAAGAAGTTAAGAGGCCATGCTATGAAGCTCATATCATTGACCCAACTTTCTGAGTCACCAAAATTGCTAATTCATGTTGCTGTATGTATATTTTTGACCCAGCAGATTTGATCACTTTTTCTGTTAACCCATATTAAAGTCATAAAAGAACCCAACTTCATGAATGTTTTTTGTGACAAAGAAGTATCTGTTCCAATCACTCTATCAGAGACAAATCAGACATGTAGAAATAACAGGAAACTCAAGAGAGCCATGACATTTTGTTCTTTACAAGGGTATCTAAACTTTTGACCGCAACTGTATCTCGGAGCCATAGCCTATGGACAACTTGAAACAGCTACATAGAGCGATTTGAATATCCCGGTGTTCGAAGAGAGCTACAAAAAGGGACCCTGGACGACAGCAGGTAGAGACCAACACTTTGCTTTGTGCCTGCCATCCAAGGGATTGATTATTGATATGTGTCTGTCATCTTTTAGCAGGGCTCTCGTGCCTGAAAGGGAAAGTTCTATTTTGTAACTAGTGGATCAGCCTGCTCCAGGGAACTCCCTGGAGATTCATAGGATCTAGTTATGGAATGTGTGTCACATTTCTTCTGAGGAACCATCTCACAGCCTGTGTGTGTTTGTGTTGCCTCCAGGTGGTGGAGGACTGCTACAACATCCTGAAGGAGTACAGCTTCCGCTTTGTGAGGAGGGGGCCCATCTTTGTGAAGGGAAAAGGGGAACTACTCACGTATTTTCTGAAGGGAAGAGACAAACAAGGCTCATTTATCAATGGCTCCTCTGTCACTCTTCCACACCAGGTCGTGGACAGCTAAGGACCACACACACACGCCCATGACAAGGCACTGGAGAGTTTTTGGAATGAAGTCATTTGCCTAAAATTGCTCTAGCTCCTAAACTTAACTGAATGTTTACATGTCAAATAAAAACACCACTGAAACACTTTCATACACACCTGTGATCACACACCACTCACTACCGAACACACACACACGTGCTGTGTACTATTTGTGTGATTATATGTGCCAGTAGAGATTGTATTTAAATTTGAATGTCATATTCAATGAATTAACAGAAAAGATTAGAACCTGATTTTTGGAGTTATTGGAATGAAAATTATGTTTTGAATTTGACCTATTAATTTTGAGGATGACTAATTCAAATATATGTATATTTATTTGAATACAATGATGGTCTTTATATCTTTCCATAAACATGTCTCAGATAAAACAGAACATTGATCACACACACAGCCTTTTTGTGCCAGTTTGATGCCATCTCTGCGGCACATTAGCACTCTGTGGCTTCTGAATGGCTAGCCTAAATTTTGGACTGCTACCCATTGACAGAATACTGCCATATACGTGACCCTGACAAACTGATCTGGGCTCAGATTTCCTGTCTTTGATGAGCGAGATGATGTAGAAGTGGAGTAATAAGAGGCCAGAGGTGATGATACGGACTGATCTGCCAAGGTGTAGTTGTGTATTTAGTGTATTTTTCCAGTACTGTCCTCTCTGCTCCTGGAGCGGATACATAGACTGCATCACCTGCCCTGCGGTGTGGAACAGGTGTGTACTATGTTGGTTTTAGGGAGGGACAAGTGATGCTGTCCAGAGGGAAGCACACATGGAAGACATGAATACTTTTCACAATGATTGTGGATTGATGGAAGTGCCTATGACAGCTGTGACCACCATGTTTTCTTGTAGTTAAACCATTACTTGGCCTTCTACAGGCGGGGTCCTGTAGTCCTCTCACAGTGTTCCTGTTTATTTCATGTTGTCCTGGTACAAACCAGTTACTGTACACTGGACGGCTAAGATGTTCAGACACGATGGCATTACCAAAAGTGGGTCCAAGTGTTCAAGAAACAGCGTCGTGATCCTCTGGTCCGACAGGTTGGAAACACTTCAACAGCTGAGACAAAACTGTTAAATGCTTCATCAATTTAATTTTTTTTATTTTGACAGCACTTCATAGGATTACAGGTGTATTAATTATGATATGAAATGGTATAGATGAGCTTATTAAAGTGTTCCTTTCCAACCTGTGTGTATGTGTCTGTCTCACTGCTCGAGTTTCTCCATTCCACATATTTCAGTGATTTGCCTCTGATGTATTATCTAAGCATTAACAATGAGAGAACAATGTTTGAAATCCAAAAAGACGCACGCTGTAATAAACTGGAATTTTTATTTTTCTGAAAAAAGAAGGCTACACACTATGGCAGCCTTCTGCATTTCATTCTCAAGATTTGGAACAACTCCATTTCTACCTGGTTAGCTGGTCTCATCTAGCTAAATGTGCCCAAATGTGGTATTGATATCAGATTATGAGGTCTTTGCTTATCCACCATCATCTGATCGGATCTCAGCTCAGCTTTATGTTCCAGCTTTGCTGTTACACTGCTGCCTAACCACACCAAGTTCATATTAACTTATGGTTTTCACACTTCAGTATCATCCCCATCCGAGTAAGGTGGCCTTTGAAAGTATACAAGCCTGTTTACACACAGCTGATGATGATCTGACAACAATGTGAGCCTGACTCCCTCTGGATGGGATTTAACATGGAGATGTCCTGATCCAGATCCAGATTTCATGCTCTCAGTTGCGATGGAGCCTCAGCCCACTCTGGAAATCTGGCTTAGAGTCTGCAATCATCTGTGTTTCTTGTTTGTTTCTGCTTGCTAGGTTGTGGACAGGACCAAATTGGACATGGACGTTAACCGTAGACATGAACAGGGTTCAGCAGGTGCTCTTGGCTAAGGAGGTGGTCCAATAACGTGTTGGTCCACACAGACCTGGTCTGGTGAAGTGTCCCACTTGTCTAGAGGGACATGAAGTGTGAACTCTTCATTCCTCTGCCCATCAATGTTTCTTTAGAATGGGATGAAAGTACAATAGTTTCTCCTCTTCAAACCTGATATTCTCCTTTTGAGGAAAGATAGAATCATTCCTTCCTCTTTAATTAATATTTGTACAATGTAGTGTATCTTAGCCGTCCAGATATCCAGAATTTGTTCTATTTAAAGTGAAACATGAAAGGACTAAATGTATCCTAGTTGCACATACAGTTTAGACAGTGATTATTGGTTAGATTTATTTATTGGAAATCACAGGAACATTTTTCTTTTCTTACATAAATGTGAACGTGCCAATGATAAAGGAATGGCTTTCAATGAAACTCCAGCTGTTTCCTGATTTGGAAATTGTTAAATAATCTCAGGCTTGGGAACAACATTTGAAAAATTTGCCATGATTCTAGATATCTTTGAGCTTAGGGACTACACAACACAACATTGAAAGGCAATCTGGAGAGCCCAATGCAGCAGCAGCCACAACAACAAACACATGCAACCTTGTGGTTCTACTTGTTTTTTATCCATTCATCTTTCTTCAGAATTTGATACAAAACTCTAGATTCCACAATTTTAGTGATTTCAATTTATTTTAAGTTGGAAGTATTTATCATTCAGTGTACCCTCTTTCATTTAGATCTGATCATAAGGGGGCTTCATTAAAAACATCTCAAAAGACATTGCTGCACAGCGCCGATGACCAGCCAAACACTGGAAAGGTCATCAGAGCTGCTGCGCTACTTTAGTGTAACATATATGCATGCTAAGTGAAATAGATTCAGTGCTTTGAAAAGAAAGAGATTATGTATCCATATATGTGCCAGAAAGTGACACAATAGACAAACACTTTTTTCATTAATGTATGTTCAGAAAAAGCTGTCATTTTTTGCACAAAATAGAGGCTCATAAACTTAATATTTTACTTATTTAAGGAATATTTAATACTTAGCTGATGCTGCAAAAAGCATGCTCCCTCATTTGCATGAGCCCTGCGATTGGCTGGCGACCAATCCAGGGTGTACTCCATCTATCGCCCAAAGTTGGCTGGGATACAGTACACTCCAGTAGTTTGCAGATGGATGGATGGAAGACCCTACGTGTCCTCGGTAAATAGAAACTCCCGCCCAAATTAAGACCTTTTTGATATGCTGTTCAAACAATTTTATGAACTTAAGGTTAACATCACACCCTTAGTCCCCACTTGCCTTGAGATATAATCGCTCCACCTAGTCCTGGGTCTTCCCCGGGGGCCGCTTCCCAGCTGTGCCTGGAACACCTCCCTAGGGAGGCGCCCAGGGGGCATCCTCACCAGATGCCCAAACCACCTCAACTGGCTCCTTTCGACGCAAAGGAGCAGTGGCTCTACTCCAAGCTCATGAATGGCTGAGCTTCTCACCCTATCTCAAAGGGAGACGCCAGCCACTCTCCTGAAGAAATCCATTTTGGCCGCTTGTACCCGTGACCTAGTTCTTTCGGTCATGACCCATCCTTCATGACCATAGGTGAGTGTAGGAACGAAGATTGACCAGTAGATCGAGAGCTTTGTCTTCCGGCTCTTTTCGTCACAATGGTGCGGTAAAGCGAGTGCAATACCGCCCCCGCTGCTCCGATTCTCCGGCCAAACTCACTCCATCTTCCCCTCACTCGTGAACAAGACCCCGAGGTAATTGAACTCCTTCACTTGGGGTAAGGACACATTCCCTACCTGGAGTAGGCAATCCATCGGTTTCCTGCTGAGAACCATGGCCTCAGATTTAGACGTGCGAATCTTCATGCCAACTGCGAAACGCTCCAGTGAGAGTTGGAGGTCACAGACAGAAGATGCCATCCGGACCACATCATCTGCAAAAATCAGCGATGAGATCCGCAGCCCCTCGAACTGTAGACCCTCCTCTCCCCCGACTACGACCTCGATATCCTGTCCATGAAGACCACAAACAAGATTGGTGACAAGGCGAAGGCCAACCCCCACCGGAAACGCCTCCGATTTACTGCCGAGCACCAGAACACAGCTCTCGCTTTGGGCATACAAGGATTGGATGGCCCCAAGCAAGGACCCCCTCACCCCGTACTCCCGCAGCACCTCCCACAGTTTCTCTCGGGGGATCCGGTCATACGCATTCTCCACAAAACACATGTAGACTGGATGAGCATACTCCCAAGCCCCCTCCATGATCCTGGAAAGAGTAAAGAGCTGGTCCGTCGTTCCGCAACCAGGACGAAAACCGCATTGTTCCTCTTCAATCCTTGGTTCGACTATCGGTGGAACCCTCCTTTCCAGCACCTTGGAGTAGACTTTACCCGGGAGGCTGAGTAGTGTGATACCCCTGTAATTGGCACACACTCTCTGGTCCCGATGTTTGAAGAGAGGTACCACCATCCCGTTTTGCCACTCTTTTGGCACTGTCCCAGACTTCCACGCAATGTTGAAGAGGCGTGAACCACTCTGGTTCAATGTCCCCTACCTCCACAGGAATGTGAGAGAAGCTCCGCCGGCGTTCCCAGTTCACCCTCACTACACGCTTGGGTTTACCGGGTCTGTCCCGAGTCTTCCCCCATCCTCTGACCCAGTGTTAATTTCGTCGACGAAAACTATGACGAAAAATTTTCGTTAACGAACCTTTTTTCCATGACTAAGACGAGACTAAGACGTGACGAAAACGATCTAAAAAAAATAAAAACTATGTCTAAATCTATTCTATTCTAACTTTCGTTAACGAGACGAGACGAACATGTTGGTGGTTGACGAAGTCACGATACTTTCCCCCCCTTAAATTCGCACGCAGCTAACAGACAACAGACCGGCAAAGTACGGCCCCGTACGCGGTTATTAACGCGTCATGGTGACGTCATCCACAAACCCAGAACGCTCGCATCAGTGCAGCGGTGGTTCTCGTGCACCAACTACGGACCGCGACTAAGGATTAAAATGACTAAATCTGACTAAAACTAATATGCATTTTTACTAAATCAAAAATAGCTGCCAAAATTAACACTGCTCTGACCCAGCTCACCACCAGATGGTGATCAGTTGACAGCTCTGCCCCTCTCTTTACCCGAGTGTCCAGAACATGCGGCCTCAGATCAGACGGTACGATTACAAAATTGGTCATTGATCTTTGGCCTAGGGTGTTCTGGTACCACGTACACTTATGAACATCCTTGTATTCGAACATGGTTGTTATGGGCAATCCGTGACTGGCACAGAAGTCCCGTAACAAACAACCGCTCGGGTTCAGTTCAGGGAGGCCATTCCTCCCAATCACGCCTCTCCAGTTATCTCCATCGTCGCCCATGTGCGCATTGAAGTCTCCCAGTAGGACTATGGAGTCCCCTACTGGAGCCCCATGCAGGACTCCATTTAGGGTCTCCAAAAAGGCTGAATACTCTGAGCTGCTGTTTGGTGCATATGCACAGACAACAGTCAGAGTTTTCCCCCCCATCACCCGAAGGCGTAGGGAGGCGACCCTTTTATCCACCGGGGTAAACTACAATGTAGCATCACTCAGCCGGGGACTTATAAGTATCCCCACACCCGCCTGGCGCCTCACACCATGGGCCCCTCCGGAGTAGAATAGAGTCCATCCCCTATCCAGGAGTGTGGTTCCAGAGCCGAGGCTGTGCGTAGAGGTAAACCCCACCAGATCCAACTGATAACGCTCCACCTCCCGCACAAGCTCCGGCTCCTCCTCCCCCCCCCCCCAGCGAGGTTACATTCCACGTCCCCAGAGCCAGCATCTGCCGCCCAGGTCTGTTCCGTGTAGACCCCCCACCGTCACTGCCACCCTTGTAGCAGCGCACCCGACCCCATCGGTTTCTCCCACAGGTGGTGAGCCCATAGGGAGTAGAGTTTTGGGGTGCCGCCTCACTCCTTCAGGCTGTGCCCAGCCGGGCTCCACAGCAAGCCCGGCCTCAGATGCTCGCTGTCGGGCCCTCCATCTGGGCCTGGCTCCAAATGGGTCTGCGTCTGAGCCCTACTTCCTGCCACGCCACCCCGGCCGTTGTGACATCCTTAACACATGCACATTGGTCTTTGTTTGGACTTATTGAGAAAAGTATTTTCATTGCAATACCAACATTAAGAAATTATCTTTTTGAAGTTGCAAAAATAGGACTTCTACTTTGGAAAAATATAAAAATTTTGTACGGGAGTCAGAGAGATCCTTAACACATGTACATTCGTCTTGTGTGGAATATTGGGGAAAATGTTTTTTTTGCTGCTCAAATATGAAGAAATTATCTTTTTGAACATACTTATGGGACTTTTACTTTGGAGAAAATCTCCACTTGTACAATAAAAATATTTCATTTTTTGTACTACTATAATTATCATTGCTATTTAAATAGCCTTTATTCCAATTACGTGTTTAGTACCGTAAATGTCAGCATGTGCACTAAAATCTAAGTGTCTGCTGAGTTGACCTCAGTAGTCTCGCACGCCGCACATACAATGCTTCTGTATGTAAAGATGCTACACCGGCAGGTTTAAATAGCTAGTTAGCTAAGTGCTAATGCTGTATATACACGGCGGAGGAGGCTTGGAGGCTGGTTGACCGCAGCGATAAACTCGTCACGTCGCCATGTTATAGTTAATATTGCTACCCAGCTGCGATGCACACAGGACTGCAGTGAGGACACACAACCAGGACGTGCTTGAAAACAGGGACATTTTATCCAAAATAATTCATTGTGTAATGTTTTATGGGGCTTTTGAGTTGGTCTTTCCTCAATAGATTCCTTTTCATATAATAAAAATATTATATTCAATTTATATTGGATATTTATAATGGTTACGACATGGTAGTTATATCATATTCATTATTATAATACGGTAGATGAAATCCAGCGTTCTGATTGGTTTAGAGTGGGTTGCCGGCCCTCCAACACCCACCAATTGTTACATTATCGGACGATAGTACAGCCTGTCGTAACTTATTGCTTTAATATACTGAATAGTTTTAATGAGATGTGTTAAACTATTAGAATAAATGTTAAATATTTAACTGCAAAGCAAAGCGTGTTTGCATTGAATCATACTGGGATGTTTACTGAAAAAGATTGGCTGGCCCTACCAAAAAAAATCCACCCAGCCGCCACTAGACCAAAAAGAGCTGATGACTCATGATATTGAAGAAGCAGTCACGGTGTGAGTGTTTTCATACCAGCTGTATTATGGACTGACATTGAAATACACATTATTAGATGCGTAATCATACCACAGAACAGCGCCCCCAACGACCACGGAGCCAACATGCGGCACGCGCAAATAGACGTGAAGGAATGTCCGCTGACGTCACTGCGTGTGTCTTTGAGAGGGCTGCAGCTGCCTGAGAGCAACAACAACACTGCGCCTTTAACGCCACGGAATATCCCCGTTATCTGGACGTTCGTCGTGGAAGCACACATCCGGTTACCGAACACGTAGACTGTGTTCGGGGGAGCATCTGGGTCAGCGGGCCTTTAGTCGGTGGTCCCGGTGCATCAGCGGCCCCGTCTCTTGCGGAATATACACACCGTGTCACGAGCAGGCACCGTGGGAACATGCAGGGTAACGGGGCGGGACACAACCAGTACAGCCGAAACGGTGCGCAGAACAGCGAGCCGTCGTCCACTGGAGCAGCGCACTCTAACGGACTCCAGTCCGTCCCCAACAATGCAAACACCGCGAGCAACAACAACAACAACAACGGAGGCTCTGCTCCGCCTGCGGACAACAACAGCCCGACGGAGGCTGGCGGGAGGAGGAAGAAGCGTCCGGCCCAGTCCGAGGAGGACGTCATCCGCCTCATAGCACAGCATCTTCACCACTTGGGTCTCAAGTAAGTGAGCCAGCTGGACTCTCAAGGAGCTGTGAGGAGTTCTAGAATTTGATGACATGCAGGAATGAAGGGATCAGTCGTTTAACACCACCCACCCTCCCCCCGTTCCTGTGCCAAGGCTCTGTGATTGCCGTCACACAATCATCTTATTTATTAGTAGGTGTTCATTGCCTTAAGGGTCGATGGTGAGTGTTGAGGTCTCTTATTGGAATGATGTTGATTTGCCGGTACATTGTGGACAGCCAGACGGTGGACCTCCTGATGCAGGAGTCAGGCTACAAACTGGAGCACCCCTCTGCCACCAAGTTCCGCAATCATGTCATGGAAGGAGAATGGGACAAGGTGGGCCCAATTATCTGAAATGCACATTTACTATACCCAATATTCTAATGGTCTAACAGCAGATTGATTTTGTGCTCGTCAGGATTTGTTCAGTGAGTTTCTCTTTAGTGAATCCTACCTGGTTTGTGTTGATCGTGCCTTTTCACCCTCTTCCTTCAGGCCCACAGTGACCTGAACGAGCTAAAGGCCTTGATGCATTCTCCGGGTGCTATAGTGGTAAGTGGCAATCCTCGTACCACTGACAAAAGCTAAATCAATCAATCAAACTTTATTTCAGACTCTGGGTTCCGATGAGACAAGCCAATAAAAACGAATGACACACAAAAACAAACAAAAAAACACATAGGCCTAGCAATGTCTTAAAAAGAGGCAGTTGTACCAATGTTTACATAGCTGGGTCCAAGCTGGACTAAGTACCAAGCCTTAATGAAACCAAAATAAATTCATTGTCAGTCATTAAGCCAGCGGATACCGTTATAGGTAATATTTCTTTTTGTAAAATATGGACTTTCCACTCCCACACTGGCTCACTTTAATGACATTTGCCTGGCATCATTGTGAACTACTTTAAGTCTCTGTAAACTTTTGTTTTTTGTAGCTTAACCCCAAGTAGGCAGTGTTGAGTGTAGAGTGGTGTGTAGTGTAGAGAATAGTGTAGTTGAGTGTGCAGTGCAGAGTGTGCGGTGTGGAGTGCATCGTGCTCTGGACAGAGACATCTTCACTCCATCTGTACACTAAGTTGCGTAAGAGATCGTTAGTTTGTGCACACACACCCTACGACGTTGCCTAGATATATCAGTATATCCGTCATATGTTCCGTTAAAAAGTGAAAGTTTGTTTCTGTGCCGTCGTAGAACGTTTGTTTTATTTTATTTATTTTATTTAATGGGGAGCTACTGAAAATTAGGACAAAACAAAACATATCCATTGCACAGACATCCAAATAGCTGAATATTTGGGTCCAGGCCTAGATGTCATTAGAGTAAATGATGAAGAACACACAGTCTGTGACTAATTCTAATTCTTGTCCTTCTGTACAGCGGATGAAGTTCCTGTTGCTGCAGCAGAAGTATCTGGAGTATCTGGAGGATGGAAAGGTCCTGGAGGCCCTGCAGGTCCTCAGAGCAGAGCTAACCCCTCTCAAGTACAACACAGAGCTTATCCACATTCTGAGCGGGTCAGTTCACCAGCAGACAGGGAAGACTTCCCCTGAAATTTGTATCTAGCAGTGTTTTTATTTACACAGACAGCAATTGCAAAGTGAAATGCTGCTCATTCTCTTCATATTTAAAGTTGCAGCTCTAATTACAGTGTCTTATCTAGTATCTAGTATCCACCGCCCCTGGACTTTTCTACATTTTGTCATGGTATAACCAAATCACCTGTCTGCAATTTATTTTTAGTATGAATACAATTTGTTAGAGAGCATTACTGAACAAAGAGCATCATGAAGACCACGGACCTCACCAAACAGCTCAGGGATAAAGTTGAAGTTGAAAGTATGAAGCTGGGTTAGATTATAAAAAAAATAGCTCAAGCTTTTGAACATTTTACAGAGCACCATAAAATTCATCATCAAAAAAAGAAAAAATGCAAAAAATATGGCCGAGCCACAAAGAGAAGACCGCCCACCCAAACTGACCAGCCGGACAAGGAGAAAATGAATCAGAGAAGCAGCCAAGAGGCCCATGATGCCTCTGTAATGTGGGAGACACAGCGAACATGGGGAAGAAGGTGCTCTGGTCAGATGACCAGAATTGAACTTTTCGGCCTCAATGGAAAAGGCTATGGTTGGTGGAAACGCAACACTGGCTATCACCCTGATCCCAACAGTGAAACATGGTGTGGGGATGCGCCTTGTCAGCACGTACAGGGAAACTGTTCAGAATGGAGGTAAAGATGAATGGAGCCAAATACAGGGCAATCGTTGAAGAAAATATGATGCAGTCTGCAAAAGACATGAGCCCGGAGCGGAGATTCATCTTCCAACACCACGACGACCCTAAGCATATAGCCAGCTCTACAATAGAACGGTTTATATGATATAAGACACTGCAAATACTGAAGCTGTAAAGAATTTGGACAGAACTTTTGGAATTATGGAAAATCCAAAACGGCAAGGCCACCACATACCACTACAACACTGACCGCATAGACCGGTTTAATCCCTTTCCATCAACGTATTTCTCTCCTCAGCGCTCCTCAATGCTCTTTCTGCAACGAGCAGCTACGATGGAGCTATCCACAGCTCTCTGTCAGCTGTAGTTGACAGATTCACGCTAAATAAAAAGACAGCTACAGCCCGTCTACAGCATGGTGGTCAAAACATTGCTGGATGTTGAGATATGAAACTCAGGACCAAACTGACTTCCATGAGCCAAAGCTAGTCAGGCTTTATGTTTAATATTATGGTTAATTTTGACAAGATGTCACACTTTAATGCAGTGGAGATCATACAACTGAAAACAATCTAAAATTGTGCCACTCGTCATGCTGGCCAAATACACTAAACTTGTTAGAGACAAGGCTTTATTACTGTCATAGGCCGTATGTGCAATAATAAATATGAAACAGTGAGACTGGTGTTTGTCTAGTATTGAAAAGCCAAAGACATTTCCTGCTTTTTTCTTACGTAGTCAGTAATTTTAAAGGACCAACCGTGATCATATGAGTTGCAATTTGCATAAGCAGGTTTGAGTAACACAGCTGAGACAATGTTATCACATATTGTGAAGGTACCTGATGTGCAGCCACGCCGAGGACCTGCGAGCCAAAGCAGAGTGGGAAGGCAAAGGCACGTCTTCAAGAACCAAGCTGCTGGACAAGCTGCAGAGTGAGTGCAGTCCGACTTATTCTCCTTTTACATACTTTACATTTCGATGTAGAGCAGTAGCAGCCACAGTAACATTTATAGTCTACTCTACTCTGAAATCAAGCAGCTGCCCCCAAAAGTTTTTCCTCTCAACCGCTTCAAATACGAACATTCAGTAGGATGTTAATATTGAACAGTAGGATCTTGCCATCATAATACAATGGCATTATTAAAACACCATGGTGTAGGTGACTCTCAAGGACGTAATTTAGCAGGAGTTGCGTTAAGTGGTTATACTGGTCTCCAGGATACTGCTCTGATGCAGTGAACACGATTTTATGTTACTGCTCTAATGTGATTTTATGTTTTAGAGGTGTGATTAAACAGCCAAACAAATAAATTGTATTGACTCTTATTTATTCTTCCGTCCTACAATGGAGTTATTGGAAAAAATATTCTTCTCTTACCAGGTTGTATGAGGAAAAAGGAAAAAGCAGATGTGCAAATATTATATGTTTTGACAGCTTCCTGGAATTCACCTTCTCTGAGTCCTAACCCCTGGTTAAGGATAAACGTAAATACATTAAGATTGTAATTCTCATCGGCGGTAATGACTAAAGTTAGGTCACTAAAGTTAACGTGGAATTGTGGGTAAATATGCTAAAACAATGTTGGACTGTAGTTTTCTCTGGCCCCTCCCAAAATCAATCAATTCAATTAATTTTAAATCAAATCACATGTTTGCCTCAAAGAGCTTTACAGTCTGTATACATGCAACATCCCTAAGCCCTCACATTGGCACAGGAAAAACGCCCCAGAAAAAACCCTCCCATGAGGGAGATTGGCAGATGAGGGATTCCTGTTCCAGGATGGATAGACCACAATAGATATCATGTGTACAGAATGAACAGCGTAAAAGATGTACAATACGTTCAATACCTATGACAGAAATGGTTAAAATATTGCGAGTAGTATCCCAGGTTTATAGCAGGACCACTGCATGGACAACCACCATCAGATATAACCACCGTCTCCATAAACCTGTGGGGAGGGAAAGCACAAAGACTTCAGGAAAGAAGCAAAGTCAGTAATGTTGGTTTGTGATGACAGCATTGGTAACGTGATTAATAATGATAGAGGTATTAGCAGCAGTTTTCAGCAGGGTCACAGCAGGAGACAGGATAGAAGAACCACATCTATGAAAACCTGCAAGGCCAGAAAGGACAAATACTCTATACTGGGAGAAACAAAGTTAGTGATGTGCATCAATGTTGACAGTAATAATAATGGCGTTAGAAGTCGAAGGTGTCAGCAGGGCTATGTCCGAAGGGAGGACCACGGTCCACATCTAACCATGATCCATGGAAAGGGCGAGAAAGCACCAAAACTCGGTGGAAGAAGGTGAATTAGTCATTTGCATTAATGAGATAATTATAAAACGAGAGAAAGAGAGAGGAGTGTCCTAAGAAATCCCCCGGCAGTCTAGGCCTATGGCAGTTTATCTAAGGGCTGGTCCAGGTTAACCTGAGCCAGCCCTGACTATAAGGGCGATATCAAGGAGGAAAGTCTTAAGCGTTATCCCCACAAGTGCCTTATAGTTGAGGAGAAGTACCTTAAATTCCATTCTTGATTTGACAGATAGCCAGTGCAGAGAAGCTAATACAGGAGCAATATGATCCCATTTCTTAGTTCTTGTTAATACACGTGCTGCAGCATTCTGCAGCAATCAACTGTAGAGGCTTAAGAAACTTATAAGAGCAGCCTGATAATAAAGAATTACAGTAAACTGGTCTAGAAGTAACAAACCACTGAACTAATTCACTTTGAGACAAGAATATCTTGATTTTTGATATATTACGAAGATCAAATAAGACAGTCCTTGATGTCTGCTTTATATGAGAGTTAAAGGACACACCCAGGTCAAAGAGAACTTTCTTCTTTATGCTGATGTGCTGCTCGATACCAGAGCAATTCTATCCAGAGAAACTATATCACCAGACAGCTGACTTCGAAGGCGTTGATCCAAGTGTTGATGTCCTTCAAGACATTCTTTAAGTCTAATAAGCTTAATCGACAGATGCAATATCGTCTCTATAACTCTCTACACTACACTCACAGACGCACACATTCACATACTCCCAGCACTCACAAACTCACACACACCCCTACATTCACTTAAGGCTTATTCATGAAATTATAACCATCATTGTAGTGCAAGTTAAGTACACCACATTTTATACACCACATACTTTAAAATGACATTAAAGTACAAAACACACAAATATTTGTCAACAATAACCGATATGGGCAAAGCACAACATATTTACATGATAGATTGGAAAATGAATGGGCCTGAAAGGCGACTGGATAAAAATGTGTCTTTAGTCTTGCTAACTATACCCCCCTGCTATACTGCGGTTATTAACAAGCAAACATTAGCTTGTCAAGCTGGATAACGAGTAGAGCAGCAGCAGAAGAGCTGCTGGAGGCACGTTACGGTCTTCACTTCAAATGGAACAAAAGTAGGATTCTGTAGTGAACTGCTGACTTGTAGTGTCGGCTGTCAAACTCCCTCCCTGCTCATCAAGGACTCCAACATTATGAAGGCAAATCATGTCAATATCCAAGAGCGCAAATCAGGTCCATGCACGCGAGCAAATGAAACATTTGCAAACAAAAGTCCATCTCACGCATCTCATCTTACTTTGCAAATGTTTCGCAAATGTTTAATTAAAAAACCCACCCTCTCAACTCCGTGCACCACCTTCGCCCCCAGATTGATGTCGCTCCAGGAAGCAAGCAGAAGAGAAAATATATATACTACATAGAAATATAACAATGAAGCAATTGTCTGACACCCATGCATGTTCACTCACGTCATATTTCACTGTAGCTGTTTACTATATGTTCACAATAAATCTGTTTGTGGTTGCAGCATACCTGCCTCCGTCAGTGATGCTGCCTCCTCGTCGCCTGCAGACTCTGCTGAAACAGGCGGTTGAGCTGCAGAGGGAGCGCTGCCTCTACCACAACACCAAGCTGGACAGTGGACTGGACTCAGTGTCTCTGCTGCTGGACCATGCCTGCAGCCGGTAAGTAGCCACACTTTCCACGTTGTTTCAAAGGTCCAGCTTTAGTGTTACATTGTCATATACTTCTGTTAGACGCCGCTATGTTACGCATTATTGCTAGGGCTGGGAGAGTTAAGGCGTTATTATAGCGTTAACAAATTTATGAATTAACTTGACAATTTTGTAGCATGTTAATTTAGTTTAAATTATTATTTTTAAAGTCCGTCGCTCACTGACTCTGAATCCACATAAAGACCATCCATGGGTCACAGAGGGGGGAGGGGTGTTGATCAGATTTGATTCAGGAGGGCCGTCAGTACTCGTTTCAACCAATGAGAGCATTTGGGGGACTTACCTAAGACTGCTGCAGCGCTCACATGAACCAAAGCAGAAAAGGACTGGCGATTTTAAATCTCCTTGATTACATTAGTTTATGTGTAGGTAGAGATTTGCAATAAATATTTTAATTGCTACAGTGTTAAGGGAATACTGCTGCCTAATTTATGTGATTGCACAAATAAAACTTCAATACACTACTTTTTAATTAACCATTGAAATTTGCGCCCTAACCCTAACAATTAATCATCATCATTTTTATTTGAAACAATATTCAGAAATCACCTTACAATCTATTTTATTCTGGAATCAGTTCAAAAGAGTTCTTAATGTTGGCCTTATTCATGATACATATGTAATCATTCAAACTACAAAATAGCCATGTAAGATATTTGTCAAAATGATGCATCTAACCATGAATGCTGTTGTGTTTGAGTAGCATTATGAAGCCTCTCTGTGGTCCGTATCTTCAGAAAGCAGTTCCCCTGCTACACTCAGCAGATTCTCACGGAACACTGCAACGAAGTCTGGTTTTGTAAGTTTTCCAACAATGGCACCAAACTGGCAACCGGGTCCAAAGACACCACAGTCATTGTGTGGCACGTGGATGCGGTAATGTCTCATTTACTTATTGTCAGTGTCTCTTCACAGCAGGATAAACTAGCTGGAATGCGAGGGTTGACAGGTTTTCCTGTTGGTCGGCAGGAAACCCATCAGCTTAAGTTTATGAAGACTCTGGAGGGCCATGCTTATGGTGTTTCCTACCTGGCATGGAGCCCCGACGATGCGTTCCTGATAGCCTGCGGACCTGATGACTGCTCTGAGCTGTGGCTGTGGAATGTACAGGTACAACATTTCTCACTTTTTCCAGTCCTTCTCTACAGACTCTAGTCTGTTCTACACTACACATCATCACCCACATCCACTTCTCTGACTCAATTCCATGGGCTGCATCCTTGTAGGACCACGCCTTCGTGGTAGACCTGGGCTGGGTCCTCCAACAGCCACATAGGCTGAACCGAGTGGTCTCTGAAATGAGACGATCTAGCCTACGGGGGGGACTTCCTGCTTGCGTCATCAGCTTTACCTACGCTGCTCCTTTTAGCTATCGCCGGTTTTACTTACCCTTTTATTTTCTTGCATAGGATACCAGCTATTTTAACTGTGACCATAATGTATTACAGAAAATGCCCAAGCTACAGTAACTGAATTTCACTGCACACATTATTCTCCTTGAGCTTGATGCTTCTTCCTCCTGGCTCCATAAATCAAAAATAAATGTATTTAGTTTATAATCACATAACTAAACAAAAGGAGCAAAGCAACCAAGTTCAGTTTCTTTGTGTATACATTCTCAATGTAACGTTACCGACTTAGAAAGTGACATTTTAGATTCTACTTGAGGTCCCTTTGATCCATTTCTGTTCATAATATGAGGTATAAACTATATATAAAACTGTCACAACCTTAATTAGGATATTATTCATTATGTGTGGAAGTTGAGTTGCATTAAAATGCCTTTTCACTAATAACTACGGGCGGATGCGGGCAGGTGAGCTGCTGTTAACAGCGCAGCGGCTCCCAGTTACTTGAGCTGGTCGGTTGAGGTATTTGTTATAAATGTGTGTTGGTACATTGATGTTCATGAAGGGGTTCAGGTGAGAGTCTGGGTCAGGGGCTGTATGGTGGGGGGAGTTAGCATTATCACTAAGAGCAGTTTATTCTTGCGTCTTTTGTGTATTTAAAAACATGATATCGTCACGTAACTTGAGATTTCATAAACTAAGATGTGATTTTATATATTATAATAAAACATTTCTATCAGTTGATATTCAAGGGAATTCTATTACTTCTCTGAATTCTATTAATCCTCTGCGCTGTCGGATCACCCGCCTGCGTCCTGAATAAATTACATCCTCGTTGTACCGCACTGCATGCTGGGATATGCTGGCCTGCAAAAGGATAGATCTCTTGACCACGTTCGGAGGAGCAGACAGAATGGAACAGACAGCCAAGTCGCAGCAGAAGTGACGTATGGGGTGGACGAATGTCTCAAGGTCAAGGGACTTTGAGACACAATTATGAATTACGCGTGGCGTAAAGGGGGTCTTCCTTCCTGAACTACCGCTTAAGCTCCATTATATACCCAAACCACCTGAACTGACTCCTTTAGACAACAAGGAGTAGCACCTCAACTCCAGTTGTGATGTCTGCCTGAGCCCAAACACCCTACGGAGGAAACTAATTTTGTCCCCTTGTATCCTCCTACCACCTATTTAGTCTTTCCCAAACCCATTAAAATCTGATGGGAGATCAGTACTTTCAAACAGAGTCACGTGAAAACTCAAAAAGCAATGTGATGTAGTGTTGAGTGTGGTGTCTCTTACCTTGATTCTGTTGCGTAGACCGGGGAGTTACGGACAAAGATGAGTCAGTCTCATGAGGATAGCCTGACCAGCGTTGCCTGGAATCCAGATGGGAAACGCTTCGTCACCGGCGGACAGAGAGGCCAGTTCTACCAGTGTGTGAGTGTCTTTCTCATCTCTTACATCTTTAACTCTTTATACACTTTGATTTGGAAAGAAAACATTTGTAGAGGTGTAAAGTACAGCTACCAACAGTGTGCCTCTCAGGGGTGTTTTCAATGTGCAAATGCAGCTTGTTTGTTCACAAGGAACCTTGGATATGTATTGGAAATGACATGCTAAAATAATATATATATATATATATATATATATATATATATATATATATATATATATATATATATGTATATATATATATGTATATATATATCACACTGTAGCAGACCAGTGTGATCTGGATCTCATTTTGGTATGTTAAGTAGTTTAGGGTTTAATTTACCCCACTAGAAGCAGTCGTGTGAAGCATGTGGATTACTTGAGTACTTGGACTGCTGTACCCTACTCGGTCAATAATCATTAACAGTTTAGTTTCAGTTTTCCAGGACTCATAAACTGATTACTTTCCAATAAAAAAAAATAATTGTGGAGGCCATGTAGCAGGTGAAGTTCCTGAAAGTATTAGGTTTCCTCCAACTCCCAGGATATGGATGGAAACTTACTGGACTCATGGGAAGGAGTTCGGGTGCAGTGCCTGTGGTGTCTGAGTGACGGCCGAACCGTCCTTGCATCAGACACACACCAACGCATCCGTGGATACAACTTTGAGGACCTGACCGACCGAAACATGTAAGTGACCCCCATCACTGGGTGGAGTAACCAACAGCCTCTTCTCCTCCTCATTGTAGGTGTCTGTACACAATGTAACCAAGCCAAACCAAACACAACATTAGTTTTTATGGCCTGTGAATGCACATGAACAAGCAGGCACATATAGGTGCATGAAAAAGTTCTCCTTATATTTGGGGTAGCTGTCATGGGTGTGCTGCGTGGGCAGGAGGGGTCTGAGCACACAGCCCTGCGGGAATCTGCTGGTCAACACTGGAATGGAGGAGGTGATGGGATCTATTTGTGAGAAAGTCGAACAACTGGTTGAAGAGAGTACTCAAAACCATAGAGCTCAGTTTACCAATCACTTTTGCACTAACATTCTGATAAAATTAAACTATGAAATATTACACTAGTACATTATCACCGAGTGAGTCCAAGGATACTGAAGTAAAAGAAGTTGGAGTTTATTCTCTACTCAGTCTCAGTCGTCATACACAGTGCAATATATTCTGCAGGAGGATGAGCCAAGACTGCAGCATCTGTGTAGCTTATAAAGAGCACAAGTAGAAACACTGTATATTTCCTATTTTGGAAATGAAAATATTACATTTATTATTTCATTTTATGGATTGACTACTCCGGGTAGGGAATGTGTCCTTGCCCCAAGTATCAGGGGGTTTGGGTACCTCGGGGTCTTGTTCACGAGTGAAGGGAAGATGGAGTGTGAGTTTAGACGGATCGAATCGGAGCAGCGGGGGCCGTATTTCACTCGCTTTAACGCACTGTTGTGCCAAAAAGAAAGCTGAGCCAGAGGGCAGCGCTCTCGAAGAAGAATGGATCATGACCGAAAGAACTAGGTCTCGGGTACAAGCGGCCAAAATGGGTTTCCTCAGGAGGGTGGCTGGCAACTCCCTTAGAAATATGGTGTGAAGCTCAGACGTCCGTGAGGAGCTCGGAGTAGAGCCACGTTGAAAGGAGCCAGTTGAAGTGGTTTGGGCATCTGTTGTCCCTGCGATCAGACCCCAGATAAGCTGTTGGAGATGAGATTATAATGGGGGCGGGGGCTTCAATGTTCCTGCCTTCATCATTGGTACATCAAACTGAAACCATTTGGGAACCACTGGAATAGTCAAACATCTGCTCCCCAATTCATCTGCTTCCCGATGTCAAAGAGGAGACGATGTAATCGACACAGATCCTGTAATTATGTGTATCATTACAGAGTGCAGGAGGACCACCCAATCATGTCCTTCACTGTATCCAAAAATGGAAGATTAGCTCTGCTCAATGTTGCAACTCAGGTGAGCAGCTGCTTATTTCCTAAAATTCACAATTTACTTCCTTTTTTATTTGAACCTCAGCTCGTTGTCCAGTAAGATGTGAGTTCAAACTTGAAGTGTGTGTTTTTTGTAGGGAGTGCACTTATGGGACCTGCACGACCGGGTACTGCTGAGGAAGTACCAAGGGGTGACCCAGGGCTTCTACACTATCCACTCCTGCTTCGGAGGGCACAATGAAGACTTCATCGCAAGTGGCAGTGAAGGCAAGACAATATCATGTTTAGTTTAGTTCAGTTGAGCTTGGCTCAGCTGTTCTTTGTTGTGGAGATCTAAACCCTATCTAACCCTAAACCACTATGATGATATCATCAGGGTTATTGCGTTGGTTAGTCTCCGATTGTAAGACATAAATAAACATCTGAGCTGATGCATGCAGAGAAGTAAGGAAAAAAAAAAATCTAAACACAAAAAACATACTAAAGTCAAAGTAGTAAAATCCCACCAAAAAAGTGTTAGCGGCTGATGAAGTGTGCTTTTCCTGACAGACCACAAAGTTTACATCTGGCACCGGCGCAGTGAGCTGCCCATCGCTGAGCTGACAGGTCATACCCGCACAGTCAACTGTGTGAGTTGGAACCCTGTTGTGCCAGGACTGCTGGCGAGCGCCTCTGATGACGGAACCGTTCGTATCTGGGGACCCGCCCCCTTCCTGGATGTCCAGGATACAAAGGGGCACAATGGTATGAACATTAAAAACTAATGTGCTTTCTCAAACAGGAAGAGCCTGGATTATCTGTCAGCTATTGATTTCATCAGGCTCCTCAACTGGAGGAAGTAGGACTGAAATGCAGATTTTTTTCTCACATTGTGTTCTGAGTAGTGCTGGACACGTTAATAATAATAATAATTCATCAATGCCAAAGTTATTTTGGCTTAATTTCTTTTTTAATTTACTATTTTACTACTATTTGTAAATCCTACCTCACACTTTCTCTAAATACACAAACAGACACATGGGTCTCAATGAGGGTGCAATGTTGATGACTGTTGGCTTGGGAGGGGCGTCATTACGCTTCTCAACCAATGAAAGCATTGGGGGCGGACCTAGAACTGCTCTTCAAGCACACATGAAGCACTGGTGGGGACAGAACAATGGAGACATTTTCATTTTAAATCTCTTCGAAACAACAGAGTTGATGGAAGAAACGTTATTTATAACCACTACTGTGGTTATTAAATACACATAAGACGTAATTGTAACTTGTTTTGCTTTTTTTTAGGAAAACAAATGGCCATTTAAATGTATTTTTAAATTGAGTAAATACATTTTTAGGTTAAGAATAAATTCCAACTGCTGCCATGTTATGGGGCACCTTATTTGTTTAGTGTTCGCATAAATAAAGCTGAGGAGTACTTTTGAATGAATTATTGACTTTTGATTATTGAAAAAGATTTCATAATAATATTCGCAATAAAAAATTGTAATCGTTGCCTGGCACTAGTTTTGAGTTAGCACCATGAGGGGATTTCACCCTCCGACTATTGGTGAAATAAATTCATGCATAATCTTGATTTGAATTTAGTGAGATAAAACCCTAATAATTCAATGACCAGACCAGACAACATTAACAACTAACAATGCTCTTCTCTCGACACTGTGTTGCATTAAACAGACGTTACTGTCATGTTTGCGTTAGGAAGTTCTCTGGAACTAGACCTCGTTGAATTTTAATACCCCTGGTTTAGATATTGGGTGGAAGTTATTTAAATGGCGTATAAACAGCTCTTTGAGAAGTGGTTAAACTCTTACCAGAAGTTGAGTGGAGGGTTGAATATGGCTGGAATAAATTGACAGATTGACTGAAATATCTCTTGATGAAAGAATATCCAGGGAATAAGAGGATTTCATTTTTTTTAGCAAAAGTTTGGTAGAGACTGTTTGAAAAATAAAGCAGGATTTTCAGTGTGTGTGTGGATGATCTCAGCATATTCTGTCTTCATTTGAAAGGAGACATATTAGCTAATTTTAAGACTTATACTTGGATTCAGGATTTACACCTTAACACATTCACATGCTTTGATGTTAAAAAAGCATATTAATCACTGTGTGGGTCCAGCATTATACAGTATTGGCCCAGGTTGAGAAAACAGTCGGTTTCAATATTATTTGCACAAACCCACAGCTTTTCTTCCAATTCTTGCCGTTATTTGGTCTTCATATATGAAATGAATCCATTTTGGTCTTGTGCCTTCTAAGCTTGTGACGCCATGTAGAGAATTGTGCGAAACTGTATGTGGTCAGATCAGTCTCAATAATTCTGCAAACCGAAGGATTTACAAATGAATTTGACTCACAAATGCACGGAGAACGATTCACAAATACATGCATTGTATTTTTGAATTGTTCTGTATGAATTTGTGAGTCAAATTTATTTATAAATCTTTCTGTGTGCATTTGTAAATCGAGTATATTTGTGAATTGTTCTGAACGCATTTGCAATTATTGAGACTGATCCGACCCAGTAGAACTGCAGCCAACGACAGCGCATTTTGAGAGTTGAGTGCTTTGGTGTGTTAGGGGGATTGGTGAGGGGCGGGCCAAGGTTATGTAGGTGAATCCTGCTTGGTCTGATGACGTCGGCAAGCGCCGGAAATTCCAAACAGGTTGTATTTATTAGTATTAATCCATTACAGGAATCATAGAAAAACGTGCAAGTTGTTTTGTCCAGCGTGTAGAAGCACTAGCAAAGTGGAATTTTCATAATATGTCCCCTTTAAATCCACAGCATTTGCAGAGTCATTTTAAGATATTTGTGTAATTTACAATCTCTCATTCAGACAGTGGTCATTTTGGGGTAAAATGTCTGGACTGATACAGAATAAAAATCAATGAGGGATTCTTACCAACATCTATTTTTCAAATAATTTTTTGAATTAGGGGAGACTGAATAGAAGTAGGAGACCCAAGCGTCCCGATGAAATTCATACCATGTGACCTGGGGATTTTATTTTCCACAGCAGCAGCAACAGCACACTGTCTGGCTAAAACACCACTTCCAACAACTATAATGATTAGAAGCAAGTCTCCACACCCCCTCCTGTGGAGAATCAAATATGTGCTCTGACCTCTTTGTCTCCTCTGCTGTCAGAATGTTGCAGCATGGACAGCTGCTGATCCCGAGGACAATCACACATTTAGAAGTGACTGAAGGAAGCAGGAACAGCTTGGGTCAGAGGACGGCAGCGTACTGGACACGGGCCATGGTACCATCCTGGGCTACACAACCCTCAGTACCATCCAGTACCACCCACCTCCTGCTATTTAGCATCAACTCCATTATGTATTTATGGGGGGTTCATTGACTTGTGCTAGGCTCCGACGTAGCGGTGCCTTGTGGAGGTTGTGTGTTGTTATTTTGATCCCGTCTTGAGTCAAAGCTGCTCTGTTGAGGTTTCAGCTTTTTTCCTTTTTCACTGCCTGAACCTTTGTGAGATATGAACTGTAGGGCCATCAACTTGAGGAACACCTATGACCATTTAATGCAGAGTGGTGTTTAGCCACTTCTAGCAGGAAGGAATGTGATCTGAACATTCCTGAATATGATGAGCATGTTGGGTATGCTTTACACTGGACTGCTATAGAACACATGGATGCCTTCTACAGCTGATGTGTGGAGACTTGCAGAGATCAAAGGATGATGTCATAATAATGATTTGGTATAGATTTGCTCTTGGTGTTGCACTCTTCACTACTTAGTCTTTGCTCATTGGTCCTTTGTCTGTCGTCCCCTGCATCCAGCAGTTTTCATATGAGTTGAATTGTTACATGTTTTAAGTTGAACTTATTACGCTTTTTAGCTTTTTTTTGTATTATTGTAAGGCCAATATACTAATAATGGACATAAATACAATTTCTTTTTACAAGCAAAACAGTTGAAATGATGAAGACACTTGCAAATGACAAGGTTGTAAAAAATGTAAACCCTACTTTTTAAAATTAAAACACTTCCTGTGTCTTAATTTAAAACCCATCAGCCTCCAAATTCCCAGTTCAGCTGGTGTTATTGTTTTGTTTCATATTGTCAACAAATCCAAAGCAGCAATGCCTTTGACAGTGTGACCTGTGTGACACTCAGCTGTTGGCCCCTTGGTTCCTACTGAAGCCCTGCTGGAACATGTGTGGTCATTTCCTAACAGACATTACTCCGACACACGGGTCGCTGAATGACTACAAATGTGGTGCTTTTGTGAGTATCATGGCAGCAGGACGGTATATGTGGGATTGAGTCCAAATACGGTTCAGTGTGTGTTGACGGTGATGAAGGAACATATCACCCAGTGTTTGTGTAGTTTTTAGTCAACAATCTATGACACAGATGAAGATCTATCGAGCTTTGATACACACACAGTACTCATTTTTACGGGGAAGGTGCATGAGATTTGTTAAGGAATCAATTAAAGAAAGAATAAAAGAAAAGTTTAGGACTTTAGTAAGCTGAGGAGACTGGAACAAAATGATCTGTAACAATCATTTGTACAGTTGTACAAGTGTAACATAATGCTAATATAAACTTCTACAGAGTCAAAATAATTATCTTAGCTAATCTAGTATTCTGTGAAACACGTGCTGTGTAATTGTTTGTAATGGCAAACAAGATGATGTGTTTTTCGGGGTTCCCATGAGCCTGGATTCAGATTACAAAAGGTGTCACATGCTCCTTCAGAGCTCCATACCTTCACTACACTGTAGTACTGTGCCAGAAAGCAGCACAGTAATACGTATTTGTACACAGTAAGGGATGTCAGACACTTAATTCAACCCCAGATATGGTGTTCTACCCTCTGTTTGTTCAGACTACTCCAGGCTTCTCTTCTTTTGTGTTTTTGTCAGAAGAAGAAGTCAAAGTATGAAGTTGGTTTGCTTGCAGGGAGTTTCTGTCAGAAACCATTTGGTATTTTAAATATTAATTCAAAATGTGATTGTACTGTGGTGTATTATCTGTCGGAGAAATGTCAAGTAAACATATTTTTAATAAAGCATTCAGGGTTTTAAAATGTAGTTTACTTTGAAATGTTCTTCACTTCTTATAGTACCACTGTGACACACTAACAAAACATGTTCATCAAAACCCCTTTTTATGAGGACTAAAAAGAGATGACATTAAATGCTATCATTGATATCAACATACAAAAAAGACAAGACATATAATCTGTTTTTATTTTCCTCTTTGCAGAATGATCAAATACCTGTCAACCGATTAAATTCTATACGGAACAAGTTTGAATGCAATGAACACATTTCCAGGGCTAGACTTGCTTTACAGAAATATTCAATATCATTTAACAAAAAAGGATATTTGACATATACATCATAAACAAAAACACTTTGACTAAAATGTAAGGAATTTGTGGCAAGTTAAACTTGAAAAGATAAAAAATAGTTAGAAAAATAGTAAATTTCAACCACAACTAATCAAGCAAATTGGACTAAAGATTAAAGAAATCCAAAATGGCTGCCAGAAGGAACTCTGCCATGTGACAGGTGTCATGTGACCTTCCGATGTGACATAACCTTCAGACCCTGCACCGTCTTATTTTACGGAGCTTATAATTCCATACTGCCCTACTAGAGGTGAGCTCCATATATGCCGGGCTACTTGTTCCTAGAGTCTTTAAAAGCAGGATGGGAGCCTTCAGTTATCAAGCTCCTCTTCTTCGTAACTAGCTTCCACTTTCAGTCCCGGGGGGAGGGGGCATAGTCACCCCATTTAAGACCAAGCTTTAGACTTTCCTCTTTTGTTCGTATACGTGACATATCACACCCTGATAAAGGGATCCTCCTCAAGTTCTCCCTGACGGTTCTTCCTTTTTCTTGCCAGTTAAGTTTTTAAGGGGGGAGATTTTCCTGTGCCGATGAGAGGACAGAGGACGTTGGATATTAACGACCTCAGAGCCTAATTTGTGATTTCTAAACTAAACTCCAAATGATAAATCTTGGATATGTGAATAGAAAGTGAAGTTTTCTCCATTAAGCAGATGATGCCTAACTTTGATATATTTTTGTAATATATATAAGTGTTTACAGTTTTTACACTTCAGTTCTTTAAAAAAGTACACTGACAAACGCCGTGTAATCAACATTGTTTGTCAGTCATGGTTTTCTGAACGTTTATGTTAACACAGACATCACTTTCCTGGAGACTAAAAATAAAACAGGATTGTCCTGACGTTAAGATAAAGTAACTAAAGTCAATCTAAAACGTCTGTAGACTATTATGACATGCTGCTGTTTTGGAAGCAGCATTTGAACCCTGAATGTGTTGAAGTTCATTTGTTTTTGCTTTGCGATTATAAAAACCTAACATATTCTCTAAATATTTCACTTGGCTTGACGGTTTTCTTCTCATAATACATTGAGAGGAAACAAACAATAGGAAGTAAGGCCATAGGAAGTAAAAGTGGACATGCTTCAGACACACAACTGGTCTTTAATTTTTGTTTATGACCCCCTCCCCCCTCCAAAAAACCCCCCCAGCACACTGCATAAGAGTTGAATGTGAATCAAACATAACCCTATTGATCTTAGGTCCCACACCACGCTGAGACACATGCTATTATTATTATTGCAAAGGACATTCAGTAAATGAGTTCATGACTGAGGTCGCTTCCAATAGTTCTATTCAAACTGCCACCCATAGAATCTGTACTGACTAATGAGCAGAGGAACCTGACATCGTGGGCTGAGCTGTGGTGGGTGGTTGCATGAAGTCACAACAGGCCCACCGATGCACCATGTGATGCTTAGTGTTAAAGTATATTATTATTTTAAAACAATATCATAGAGCTGCAACTTCAGCATTTCCTTTTGTAAACTGGTAATACTTTAACCGAATATGTGAACTGAAGAAGTTTAGGAGGAGGAAGGGGCCTTAGACAGCAAGAGACCATTAATGTATACATTCAAACTGATGAAGAGGATGCCAGGACAAGTCCTTCACAGCAACGGACCTTCGATGAAGATTCAGCTCTTGCGGTTCCCTATTTTATCTCATGAGATAAAATAAATGATAAATGTGTTGATTTATTGAATATTATTAATTTGGAACTGTGTCTCTTACTGTAAAACAAAGGGGCCATAAAACAAAGGTAATGGCAAACGGCAGTAGACGATTACCATCTTTGGGGGAGAAATAAGGAAAAAGGCACAACTATGAATACAGGAAAAGATGAAGACTGAAATGGTAATAGGAGAGCTCTGTCATGGCCTATAAGAAACAGCTCCATGTTAAATGACATGGCTGAACTCTGGGGACCTTAGCAACATGCACGCGCACACGGATGAGCAGCAGGTCAGATCAAGCTCGAGCCAGATGAATGGTTGCTGCGTGTATGATGGAATATCTGGATTCTCACCACCGCCATCTCAGGAGTTCGGTGAATGGTTGGAATAGAAGGAGAAAAAAAAAGTAACTCCAAGGAGGTACATATGTTCATCAGCACCTCATAGCACACAGAATGTCCCAGTTCTTGTTTTCAAGTTCAAACACTATTTGGTGGAAGAGCGCAAGTTTCCCACCTTATCTTGAGAGTGACACTGAAATATTTCTCAGTGTTGGGCTTTTACTACTGTTTTGATTCTCTATGCCCTAGAAATCTTTCTTGCTCACTTGAATGTAAAAAAGGCTCATCTTTCTTACAGTAAATATGTCAGTATTGTCTTTACTTAATAAAAAAAACACAGGTTATAGAAGTGCATATAGAGGTTGAAGAGATACATCATAACTTCTCCCCTTCACAATAACACACAGCGCTTAGAGATGTTTTATGATGGTACTCAAGTGCCAGATGGTTAAATGTCTACCTCAGTATTAAATGAAAAAGCCGTAGCCGTTTGCAGTTCAGTTACACCTGAGTGACAGTAAACTTCTTCTCTCTGCTGTAGATGCATACAGATTAGGAGCAGGGTGTGAGGGGGGTCCGGGGGGAGGGGGGAAGGGGGCAGCAAAGCCTGGACGCCTGAATGTGGGCGTGTGCAGGGCGCATCAGTCGTTGATCAGAGCCAGGATCATACTGGACAAAAGGGAGAAGCAAAGATACATGATAATACAAAGTTAGCCAAGTCCAGCCACATCTCTTATTGAGGCTGTAAAGTCTTAAACATCAGCGTGTTTGTGGGTGCTGTTGCTCTCACCTATACAAATAAATAAAGAAGCAGAGCAGGTGGTAACCCAGTTTAATCATGGCCTCCTTCATGTGGGACTTGAGCTGACCTCGGTTGTGTATCTCAGTGGGGTCAAACACGCCCATGTTTCCTAGTGGAACCTTCACATATCTGCAGGGACCAGAAGAGTTATGTCAGGAGCCTGAATGCACCACCTGTGTGTTATCACCCACTGAAGACAACCTTCACACATTCAAAATATAACATTAGATACATGTCCTGATAATTAAATCTGTAGAACTGAATGTCCAGTGTTTCCCCTAAGTTTATAGCTTTGTGGGGGCGACTGGACCAGCCAACAGGGGGTGGTACGCACGCTCTCTTTGTCCTTGTATGCGCGCACGTGTCGGGTTGGAGCTGCCGTGCGCATCAATTACATTGCACTACGGTTTTAGTTTAATTTTCTTCCAATTCCACCCAACTGTACATGCCGCCATTTCAGTTAATGTGTTCTGCTCTGCTGTTGTATTGTACTGTGTATATATTGTGCATTTCTTTCAATCGAATTACTATATTGTTACTATTACACAAACATTTCCCACTGGAATTAATATTTTATTAGGCCTGTCAACGAATAGTCTATATTCGTATATTTATTTGAATAGTTGTTAAAAACAACTATTATATAATAGTAACAACTATTCGAATGGGAAAATTAATATTCAAATGTAAAAAAACAAAAACAGTGGCAGATGCGCGACTGTCTGCGTTGCGGGTGGCGCGCGCCAGTACTGACTATATTGCATGAATAAAATAGGCTACAACAGCTTCATGGACTGGTTTGATTATTTGCCGTTTTATGCCAGGTAAAAGTTCCGTGTTTACAGCACAGCTCGCTCGGAGCGTTCAATGTCGGTACTGTAAAACTCAGTTTCAATCACTGAATGAAGCCTGACATATTTGGGAAAAGAATCGCGACCTTAAATTGCTAGCACAAAACTCTTGATCAGCACTCAGCATCTGTTTTATTATTGTCGTTCATTTAAACCGCACAGCGAGCGAGAGGTCTGCGGTCTTTTCCTTTTTGTGTAGGTAATATGTTGTTAAATAGGTTTAAACGTAACTAGATTACCTATACAAGTAGTTATGTCTCGTATTAATTTGTCCAGTTATTGGCGTGCCTAATGAACAACCAGATTTTCGAATATCTGTGTTTGTTTAAAGCAAATATTCGAACTTCATTTTTGACCAATTTTGACAGCCCTAATATATACATGTATGTATATATATATATATATATATATATATATATATATATAAATAATGGTAGGGGAAACACAGATGTCAGTTACCTTATCCACTGTATGAAGTACCAGAAACATCTCCGCTCTGCATCTGATAAACTGCTCGTTCCTCCCTCACTGAGAGCAAAACACTCGACTAGATCACGACTCTTTGCTGTCCTTGCTCCGAAATGGTGGAACGAGCTCTCTGAAGACATCAGGACCACAGAGAGCCTTCACATCTTCCGCCGCAAACTAAAGACACACCTCTTCAGACTCTACTTCGACTAAAGACTAACAAATTGTAGCACTTAATTTGTATTTATAACGACACTTATCTAAAGCAAAATGTAAATTGGCTTATTTGAGGAAATTGCACTTGTTTCTTGCTCTTCTGAGTTTGTATCCCTGTGGTTGAATGCACTTATTGTAAGTTGCTTTGGACAAAAGCGTCAGCTAAATGACATGTGATGTAATGTAATATCACAATACATAGGTCATTGGTCTAAATGAAGGAGACGCTGCGTTGACTGCGATATGATCATACCTATAAATGTTCCAGGCTGCTACAGGCAGATTGAGGAAGAAGGTGAACCAGTGCATGGAGACCAACATCAGCATAGTGGAAAGACACTGGCCAACCATCTCTGGAATTACCCACTGGAAACAAAATATTAAACATAAAAACCATCAAACACAAAAAAGACAAATTTAGCACTTTGCTTGTGTCTATATCTACATTTAATACATATAACGTTATAAGAAACAGCAATTATCCTAAATAAAAGAGTAGAATCAAGGATGTATATATGAATGTCAGACAGTAAAAATCCCAAACTTACTTTGTTCAGCTTGGAGCAGCAGGCTCTAGCATTGATGTAGTCACATTCTAGATCAGACAGGGTGATAATCTGAGCTTTAAAGTCAAGGAGCCACAAAGTGTTGAGAACTATTCACCGTACTGCCGGCATGGCATTTCTGTCTCTAACATGATCGCGCGTACATAGTCCTCCAATGCTCTCTCTCTCTCACACACACACACACACACACACACACACACACACACACACACACACACACACACACACACACACACACACACAACGGTGGATCACGAAAGGCTCGAATGTCAAGGTCAATGCTCATGGCCCTGAACACAACGTGAAGTAACGTTCAATGGTCAAGTATTAGGGGCGTATAAGCAGCACTATCACTAACAATGGAGGAGAAACGCGATTGGTTTTGCTATATTTAACGTTAGTACTCATTTAAAAAAATTCATGTAACTTTGGGGTTATTGACGTTACCAGTTATCCAGGTGGTAAAACAGCGCAATTGTCACCTAACTCAGAGTTTATGCTAGCTTGTCACTGACTCTGTAGTTAGTATTAGCAAGGCGGCTAACCGGTTAGCTAACGTTAGTTAGTTCATGCAATAACATAAAGAAAGTAAGTTCAAAGAAATTTCAGCCAACTTGCCACTTTGAACAATACGCTCAATGCCCACGGGAAAAAAATCAATCCCGAAAAGGATACAAAGTACACCGAGAGGAAAATCAGTGCACAGCAGTCCACAAGTGATAGAATGAACACTACCGCCTCCATTTTCCATCTTCCGGTAGAGGGTCCCTTTCCGGTCCCTTCTTCCACTGTGTGGGACACGTGTTGTACCGTGGTACTGCCACCTAGCGGGCTGGAAGGGAGCTTGGTCCGGTCCGGTGTACCGTTTGATAGTAAAAAACATAAAACAAAAACACTGTTTTCTCGCTTTTCGTTTGAAACCAAAAGCGGTAAAAACGGTTGTGTGCGGCCGTTTAGAACCAAAAAACTCCTATACTATAACTATACTCCGTTAATGCCTTTTTGGGGTAAATGTGTTCACATCTCCACCAGTAGGTGACAGACTACGTGTATTTAAACTATAGATTTAATTTTATTTAACTGTGTTTAAGTTATTTATCTGTTATTACAGATGTATTTAATTGTGTTTATTTCATATGATTTTTAGGGTTAATTTTCAACCACCGTTGTATTCATCTTGTTATATTTATTTAATTTAAAAACCAAACATACCTCTAGTGAAGATAGTTTTGGTTTCTTTATATTAACCATTAAGAATAATTAGCCTACATCATTATTTATCACACTTCAATCCTGAATTGAATGTTCAAGCCGAGGAGGTCAAAGGATGAGAAGATATATGGTCTTCATTCCAAAAAAATGACTTCTGTTTTATTGCTGTCAGATTTGTTACTATTTTGAAAATAATAAGCCTTAAGTTATCACTGATTGCATCCATGTTAGTTCCACCTCAAAGCCAGATTTTGGGGCAGCTTCTCGATTGGACAGATACATTTTATTTCCAAGAGAAAAGCATTGTAAAACATTCAATTATTATTTTAAGGAAGAGTAGAGGGCATTGTCAGCACGTGTTATATTTATCTCTTTCATCTACTTGTAAATAGGTAAAATATAGAATGTAAATGCTGGCACTATATTTCCCCTGTTGCGAAATCTAACTCTTTTTCAGACACATTAGGTTTGCTTATCAAGAACTGTATTTTTCAGTTTCTTATTTTATTCAAAGGTGAGGTGTTTATTGTGCTCCAAGGAGTTGGGGTACAATAACAACACCTCATCCATGCTAAGGAATTACCGTGCCTTGCATGAGAATACGGAGGAAACTGGAGCTTCACCCAGCCAAGGTATGTCATTACAATATTACAAATGCACCATCACACATTTGTGTCCAAACTGGATCCTAATTATGTTCTCCCACAAGGTAGGTATGTATGGGTGCATAGTATGGAGTTTCCAAAGTTGACTGTCAGGTCCTGGGTAAGCGAATCTTTTCCGGGAAAGAGAAGTAGTTCAGTCTTGTCGGGGTTGATTTTCAGATGGTGGGCGGACATCCACTGAGAGATGTCAGTTAGACAGGCAGAGATCCGAGCCGCCACCTGGGTGTCCGAGTGAGGGAAGGAGAGAATTAGTTGGGTGTCATCGGCATAGCTGTGGTAAGAGAAGCCATGCGAGCGAATGACAGCGCCAAGAGAGTTGGTGTAAAGCGAAAACAGGAGGGGACCCAGCACGGAACCCTGAGGAACTCCAGTAGTAAGAGGACAAGGTTCCGACACAGATCCTCGCCAGGTTACCCGGTAGGTGCGGCCGTCAAGGTAGGACGAGCGACGGGAGAGAGCAGAGCCTGTGACACCAAGTTCCTGAAGGGAGGAAATAAGGATCTGGTGGTTGACCGTGTCAAATGCAGCAGAGAGGTCCAGAAGGATGAGGACAGAGGAGAGAGAGGCTCTAGCAGTGTGGAGTTGCTCTGAGACAGCAAGGAGAGCAGTCTCTGTGGAGTGGCCTGCCTTGAAACCTGACTGGTGGGGGTCAAGGAGGTTGTTACAGTGGAGATAAGAGGAGAGTTGATTAAAGATGGCACGTTCAAGGGTTTTGGACAAAAAGGGAAGAAGAGAGACCGGTCTGTAGTTGTTTTCTTCAGAAGGGTTGAGGGTAGGTTTCTTCAGGAGGGGGTTGACTCTTGCCTCCTTCAAAGAATTGGGAAAACAGCCAGATAACAGAGCGTTGTTGATGAGACAGGTGAGGAACAGAAGAAGGTCAGGTGCGATAGATTGTAGAAGATGTGATGGAATGGGGTCAAGAGGGCAGGTGGTCGGACGGGCAGAGGTTACTAGGGTAAGAATTTGGTTAGGAGAGAGGGCGGTGAAAGAGGAAAGTGAGGGGGCGAAAGAGGTGAGGTCGGTGGGACGCGAGAAGTAGGAGGTGGGTTTGAGAAGGAGGAGCGTATGTCACCTATTTTCTTGGTGAAGTAGTTGACAAAGTCTCCCGGAAGAAGGGGGGAGGAGGGGTAGGGGGTTCGAGGAGATTGGAGAAGATTGAGAAGAGTTTTTTGGGGTTAGAGAATGAAGATTCGATTTTGGATTGGTAGAAAGCGCTTTTGGCAGCAGAGATAGAAGCAGAAAACGAGGAGAGGAGAGATTGAAATTTAAGCAGGTCGTCAGGTCGTTTATATTTACGCCATCTCCTTTCCGCCGCTTGCATGGTGGCTCTCATGGAACGGACCGGTTGAGACAGCCACGGAGCCGGAGGGGATTTGCCAGTCCGTCGTGTCGTAAGAGGGCAGAGAGAGTCTAGAGAGGAGGAAAGAGTTGAGAGGAGAGTCTATGCAGCAGCGTTCGGATGCAAGAGTGAGAAGGAATCAGTTGAAGGGAGAGCTGATAGAACAGAGGATGCCAGCGAGGAGGGAGAGAGGGAGCGAATATTGCGACGAGCCGGTATAGAGTTAGTCAATGAGGGAGGTTTGTTAGTTATAGAGAGTGGAAGGGAGTAAGAGATGAAGAAGTGATCAGACACATGAAGTGGAGTTCATGTGTGGTTAGTGGTAGAGCAGTTTCTAGTAAAGATGTAGTCAAGGTGATTGCCGGTTTTGTGAGTAGGAGGAGAGGGACTGAGTGACAGAGCGAAGGAAGAAAGTAGGTGTAAGAGGTCAAGATGACTTCTCTGTCTGGATGTCGAAGTCACCCAGGAGGATGAGCGGAGGTCCATTTTCGGGGAAATTAGACAGGAGAATGTCCAGTTCTTCCAAGAAATGACCTAAGGAGCCTGGCGGACGGTAGAGGACAACGATGGTTAATTGTACCGGGTGAGTGACTGTTACAGCATGGAATTCAAAGGACAATGGGGTGGATGGTGGTAGAGGGTAGAGAGAAAAACTCCATTTAGGTGAAATGAGTAGACCTGTGCCACCACCCCTACCAGTGGGCCTGGGAGTGTGGCTGAAGGAGAAGGCGGAGGAGAGAGCGGCTGGGGTGGATGTGTTCTCAGGTGTGATCCAGGTCGGTGAGAGCGAGGAAGTCGAGTGACTGCTGGATAGCGAAGCCGGAGATGAAGTCAGCCTTGCGAGTCGCTGACTGGCAGTTCCAGAGACCTCCTGTGACGAGGTGCTGGACATGTGTGGAGCGGGTGGGATAGGTGAGAGAGGAGAGGTTACGATAGAGAGCAGATCTAGCCCGAGGCCTGTAGTATCTGCGGGAAGAGATTCGAACAGGTACGGGTAAAGGGGTCAAACACATTATTAAAAATAGCAGAAGAAGCCGCCGCATTCAGCCGCCCCAAAGACTCTACAAAAAACTCCCTAGTCTTTGTCTTGACTCCCACGAAGACTCCCTCGTCTTTGTCCTGCTCGTCTTGACTCCCACAAAAGACTCCCTCGTCTTTGTCCTGCTTGTCTTGACTTCCACAAAAGACTCCCTCATCTTTGTCCTGCTTGTCTTGACTTCCACATCTTTGTCCTTCTCGTCTTGACCCCCATGAAAGACTCCCTCGTCTTCACTCCCACGAAAGACTCCCACAAAAGACTCCCACGTCTTTGTCCTGCTCGTCTTGACTCCCACGTTTTTGTCCTGCTCGTCTTTGTCCTGCTCGTCTTGACTCCCACAAAAGACTCCCTCGGCTTTGTCCTGCTTGTCTTGACTTCCATGTCTTTGTCTTTGACTTGCTCGTCTTCGTGCTGCGAGGCTATGCAAACGCTGAAGCTAATGCTTCACTGAACCTCTAGTTAAATACTCCCTCGTTAGTGGAAGTCGGCTACGACTGCGCTGACCACTCCCCTGTCGTTTAGGAGACAAAAGGTTGATTTGCATTTTGAGGAGTTTCTGCCGAGGCCAAACACCAATCGCTTGACACTCTAATCAGTGAACAACCACCATATGGTGTTTTGACAAACAAGAGTTTAAGGATTCAAGTCTTTTCTGCTTCAGAAGAGAAGGCAAAACAGACTTAGATCAGGTCAAACCTATCAAAGTTAGGAGGGCACACTAGCAGTTAACTTAATAGAGTTTATAACAACTGGCACTAAAAAACGGCAAGAGCTTAAGCAAACTAGCAATCAAGTTAACTTGAAACTGTGTGTGTTGATGAGAGAAGAACCCTCTTAAAGACTGAAACAATACATCCTGTTTCCCTTGACTTCCAGTGTTCCTGGTTATTCTCACCCCCTTATTATGTACTGTATATGTTCTCTGTTCAATCTGATCATTTCTTGCAAGTGATTATTTAATTCAGTAACTGTGCTTCATCCCTGCAGATATAGACGAGTGTCTAAGCTGTGACAAAAACACAGAGTGGTCTCTGTACGGCAGCTCCAGCTGCATCCCCAAAACCCTGCTCTACTTCTCCTGGCAGGATGGCTTTGCTTTGGTGCTCCTACACCCCCATCCCCCCCCGTCGGACCTTCTCGACCGGTCTGCGAAATATTGTCTGACATGAAAACGGTCCGTGAGGTAAAAAAGGTTGGGGACCACTGCTCTATGGCATCAGCTTCACTCTGTGTGTCTCCTGCATCCTTGTCAAGACCTTGCAGATCCTGCTTGCTTTTCAGTTGGATACAGAGATGCAAGTTGTTCTGCGGAGGCTCTACCAGCCTTACCTCATTGTCACCCTCTGTGTGCATCTGCTGGCTGGTGCTAAAAAGCCCATTTAATCACGTAATCAGGAATCCAACTACTCTCCTGGAAGACTGTCATGATGGCTCATATTTGGCCTTCGGGCTGAAAGCTTCATAGCTGTCCTGGCTTTAGTCTGTTTCATTTGCGCCTTCAAAGGCGCCTTCATCAATCAAATTATATTTCTTTAAATGTGCCTGCTGGCAGAAGGTTTCATGTAATGTATACATATATGTGTAGATGACCATATAGAACTAGGAGTTTTATTATGTGGGTGAGTGATCTGTGGGCGAATCTAGTTTTCATAATCAGAAATTTGTTCAATTGAAGCAGTGAAACATTAAAAATCCATTAGTTTATTAAGCACCAAATAAACCAACAAAACTTACGAAGAACACGACATTATGTTCTCTGCATCGCAGGACTGTACAAACATGTACAGTCTGAGAGTGTCAATGTGAGAGACAGTGTGAGGGACACTGGATGCTCGCTGCAGCGTGTGGCGTTCACCACCTAACGTCACAGCCCGAGACAATCAAAACAGGAACCAGGGAAGCCCCTCCTCCTAGTCCTGCTCTTGCTCAACGCAATAGCCCCACAACAGAGACTTTGATGAAACCTCTCTAATGCCCCTTGGCTCAAGCATGGAATGCAGTAGCTTGATTATATTTCACCTGGAGCCGCTTCAAGACTTTGGTAAACAAAGAAAAATTTGAACCAAGATCGCTTTGAACGACTTTTGGAATTCCAAAGGTGGAATAAGACTTTAAACTTCTAAGACTAGTCATAATAGTGTGTAATAAATAACTTAATCACAAACGAGCCAAAGACACTTTGAATTTCTCACAGGGACATTATCTACTAATTTTCACCACAAGACCTTCTGGCAACAAAATGGATCACTGTAACTCCCAGGTTGTGTTCTGGTCAGGGACAGCTAAAAATAAGAGCACTGGCAGATGGCACCATGGGTCAACTAATTATGGCCGCCTGTCTCTAAGGCTTTTTTTTGGGAGGTGGTGTGTGATTTGACAGCAGTGACAATATAGCCATAATACCTACTAAAAAACTGATATCAATGTTAATGGGGACTTTTGTCTGTCCGAGGCAGTTTAGCCAGACTTAAAAGCAGGTGTATCTCTCATATAGTTAAAGGGGTTTAACATAAATCCCTTTAAATATCCATGTTACGTGCTGTTGTAATGCATTTAGTATAGTGATGAAGAAACGTTTGGGTTACCCTTGGTTATGGGTTACCCTTTAAAGCAAAAGACGATCAGCCACTCGTGCTTTCTCATTTTCAATAAAATAGCTCCATACTGCCATGCGTTGACCCTCACAATGCTTTGTTTGGTTATTACCCCTCATCTGACAATATAGGGCTGGAGGATGGAAATGATTCTGCACTTCCTATTCTCTGAGCATATTTCTGATGAAATAGAAACCTAGGGACTCATTGTCCTTCTCAGCCACCCCAGATAAATCCTCCACACTCATTTTTTCCCCATACAGCAAGTCACACAGAGTGCGTATATTTCCGATCATAAAACAATTTCTTATTATCATAAACCTTCAGAGTTGTGATTAATGAATGGGAAATCGGGGGACTTGTTCTCTGCACTGCTGCTCACTCCCCCATTATTCATAAATTAATGGTTATGAACATATTTTTAGTTTGTTTTTTATATTTAATTTTTTATAAAATAAATATTTTTTAGCAACCAACTTTTGACTCAGTTATTCTCATTAGAGAATTGTTAGGGTCGTGAAGGAGAGAGGACCCAAACGCAAGGGAAGGTAAAGTCTGTTTTAATTAACTCTGGATGGTCAAGGCAAAAATGTGACTAAGTTGCCACAAGGTGGTCTCACAAACAAAAGGCTCTTAAGGCTTACAGTATTTCACAATTGCTAAGACACATTTCTTGAAACCTTCACCCATATTCTCAAAACCTTAAACACAAAACCCAGTGTTTAAACTACATTCACAAAACCCCTGACTCTTCTGGCAAAATCAAACACTTGCCTCAAAACCATTTGATCTTTGCTCAAAATCAAACAATGCTTTCAAAACATAAACACAGCCAGTCAATATATAAACACTCATCAGCTTTCATTAGACATTACATCAAAAAATTGAGAACACAGCGTCCAGGGCATGTAGTTAGAGAAAAAACTGTTTATTGCATATAGAAAATAATTTTGCCATAAATAAAATAATTCACAACTCAGTAAGCCCAAAGAACAGACAACTCTAAATGAAAAGTGTACTACACAAAATATTGTGTTACTGTATTGCAAAATCAAAATCAACGAGAGACTTATTCTGCCTCAGCATCCTGTCTTTGTGCTGGGTCCGGCCAGAGGACTTCGTCCACATCACAAGCAATGTTGTCCCTTCCTAGGCAACGGGGGAGGAACCCTCTCGTGTGCCGGATCCAGCCTTGACAACTCTCCACACCTATGTCACCACAGGCCAATTCCATTGCCTGTAAAAAAGATGTACCCTTGTATACGGGTTACGGTCATAGACCTTCCATTGCCACGCAGAGAAAAACTCTATTAGGTTGAGGAAAGGGCTGTATGGTGGAAGGCAAATATTTAAGAATTGCTGGTTGATGTTGAACCACTCACGTCCTCTGACACTACGGTGAAAGCTGACATTGTCCCAAACCACAACATAGACAGGATGCACTGCTGCTGATGATCCTGCGGCTCACGTTCAAACAAAACATCCCGAAGACCACCCAGAAATGTAAGAAGATGGTCAGTGTTATATGGCCCCAGGGTTGCATGATGGTAGAGAACCCCCCCCCCCCCCCCCCCATTGCTTATGGCTGCACATAGGGTGACATTGCCACCTAGCTGGCCAGGGAGTTACACAATGGCACGTTGGCCAATTATGTTCCGGCCTCTCCTTCTCCTCTTCGCCAGATTGAATCCTGCTTCATCTACGAAAATGTATTCATGGGGCCTTTTCATGCAATCCTTTTCAAATACACTCTATACGTAAAAGAGATAAATAAATAATTTAGTAAGTGTTAGACATATTTCTGCAAAAATGTATTTATATACACTCCTCCTGATTTACATGCACTAAGATATAGTGCAGTTACAGTAACAGTATAGGACAATAACGGTAGGCTAGAGACGTGTACTGCAAGCATCAGTGCTGAAAGTGTAGGCTAAACTTACTTGCACATACTGATATCGTAGATCTTTGACCGTTTCTGATTTGCGCTCAAAGGGTACTCTGTACACCCGCTTCATGCGTACCCTGTTGCGATGGAGGACACGGGCAATGGTAGAAAGGCTGACACTGTTGATTCGTTCAAAGTTTACATTGTCTTCTACAACTCTTTGCTGTATTTCACGCAGTCGGATGGCATTGTTTTGACGAACCATAACAATGAGAACCTCTTGCTGTTGGGTGAACAAAGGAGTCCTTCCACCCTCATTTGGTAGTCTTGCAATTCTACAAAAGGGAAAATGCTCTTTTGTATTTGTATGTATACAAATGTATACATACAGTAACAATAGAAATGGACATGTATTGTAAATCTTTTTTTTTCTTCCCAGTCCCTTTTCTAGTCAGAAACTGATGAACTGTATCACTGTAAATACATACGTACATACTGAGCATTTGGTCCAGAGAATAGGGTTTAGTGTTTTAGCAATTGTGAAATACTGTAACAGAAGAGATGGGGGCGCTTGGCCGGCAACGGGGAATCTCGGTGAGAGCAGGGAACGAGGTCCAGGCCGAGGGAGAGCGCACCAGACAGCAAGCCACCCACGTCAAACAGGAAGCTGGGTGAAACAGAGGTTAGCAATGGGAAAATACAGTTCAGCACGAACCGTCGGGACACGACAAGGCAGGCGATACGGGACAGCAAGTTCGGGTACGTCGGGTGTGTAGATAATACTCTGGCGGAGAACAAGGGGAAGAGTAATAGTGTAATTAAGTGTGTGTGTGTGTGTGTAAGTTACAAGAAAGGGTTGGAAAGGAAAAAGGAGGAGGATACCCGGTTCATGACAATAATAGCATACACTGGTTTACAGTTGTAAACAACCTAATACTACTAATGTGTCCATATTTAATTGCCGCTGCAATGTATGTACATGACAAAGATGCTTCCTACTAATGCAAATCTGTTGAAACACTTCATCTTAAATTGAACAACTGACTGCAAACCTTAATAATTAGCTGGCAAAACGCTTTTAGTTTAGAATCTGAATAATTCTGGATAGTATAATAAGTCTTGCCCAAAATACCATGGTATTTACAAAAGCATTTACAGTAACACAGATTTGAGGCTTTTCCCGGTTACATTTCCGTTACATTTCCGTTACCTTCATCTCCCTTCACACACTCACGTGTTGATCACGTGTTACCCTGACTGTATGCAGTCTATTTTGAGCCGCCATACACTCCAAGGAACTCTAGATGACTTTGTGTGAAATGTGCTTGTAGTTCTTTGAACGTGTCTGTCGTTAGACATGGAGCCTCTGGATTTTAAAAACATGAACTTGACGGTAAAACCCCCTGCTGCTATATACCCATTTTGTGACGACTGGAGAAACACTTCGGAAGGCTCCGCGTTGCACCTTGCCAACATTTTTCTGTTTTTTGGCTTCATGGGCAACAGCAGCTTTTATGGATTACTTTATCTATTCAGCTGTCTGACTATGGGATTCTTCTGTTCCACTCTGTGGGCATGGTCTGACAACTGCACAACAGACTCTTTCTTGTGGAGTTTTGCACTCCTCGGAGTGTGCTTGGGACAAGTCCTGCATGTTGCCTATCGGCTGAAGAGTGTGTCCTTCAAAAGGGAATTCCAGGAGCTTTACAGCTGTATGTTTAAAAAACTAGGGGTCTCACTAACACATTTTGGAAAGATAGTGGCCTGCTGTGATGGACAAGTTCACGCCATAGAGAGGGACCACTGTTTCGCCATAGAAGGAAAAACTACTATTGATAAGCTGTCGGTGCTCTTGTCTGGCAGGTGACACATTTAACTGATATTTTATCAAACTGCATTAATAGATTTTGCCATGCTCGGGGCTAAATGTCAAAGCAAGGTTTAAGATTAACCCGTAACACAACATGACTTTTGGCTGGGTCATCCGGTTGATTGGGCTTAAATGTTTAAAATTCCAGTATACTCTCTTTACCTGCAATCCGTATGACTACTATATATTTTTTACAGAAAACAATAAATTCAATGGGAAAGTATTATAAATTAAACTTAATTGAAAGTTAGATCTTAGTGTTTCCTGTCTTTTGAACAGGTAAGCCTACAGTTGCTGCTGTTGGTATGGCTGGCACTGCTTCATCGCTTTCGATGGCCTTCTGCCAGTGGGTATAGGCATTTAATACTGTTTGAAGGGACACTTTACCTAAAATTACAAGTGAAGCAATACATTTGGAAGAATAACTTTCCTACGTTTAACAACACGTTTTCTTGATGTTGAAATTTCCTCTAAACACATCCATGTAGATAATACTGTACAGCAGTGGTTCCCAAACTGGGGATTCCGGGTTCATCACCCGCCCTAAAAAAAAGCAAAAGCGACATGAGGACTTCACATGCGTTGTGTTCAAACCACACCCTCCAGAGCAGAGCAGCTCAGGTTACAAAAAAAAGCGCCGCAAAAAGGCAAAGAGAGAGGGAGAGAAAGAGAGAGATAGTGAGAAGCGCTGCATTAGAAAGACAGCAAAAACTTAAATAAATATACATTTTTGCACTGTTCCCAGCTTCAAGTTTAATATTTGAAATACATTCATTTGAAAATGTTTACAGGGTGGTTGGGGGATCATTATCATTAAGATGTCCCTTTATCCTCAAAGGGCGCCCTGACAGAAAAAGCGAACCACCGCTGTACAGTATATTTGAACAACAAAACTAACCAAAGTTAGTTATATTGTAATGTTTTAAACCTTCTTTTGTTCGGACAAGCTAATGTCCAGTGGCAGTTGTTACTTGTAAGTGCAGTAACAACAGCCTCATAATGGCAAATACGATATAAATACACTGCAGAACAAACTACAACCTAAAAACTGATGCTGACTGTTGTATTTAGCACAAAATGTACAATTTGTATGTAAATGTTAATAATACTGTCCTTTGAATTTATTGTTCCAGTCTTTTGGGTTCATTGTTCCTTGTTTTTTAAAAATAGTCTTGCAGGCAAGTGAGAAATTTCCACACCTGACTGTAAGGATTTCAACTTGCAGTTTTGACACGTATACCACATGTCATCATTTTGCCGGTGTTTGTCAAGGTGGTCGTCGGCTTCATTGATCACTGGAAGACTTTTTGGAGAGCCTGATCTGATTAGGAATGACGCCATCCAGCCCACTTTGATGGAGGAGCTCTCATTTCAACAAATGTCTCCCAGTTTCTTAGTGAACCTAGTCCATGACAACCCAGAGTTCAGACCAGGAAGTAGAGTGGCAGTCTTACACACTTCTTAGCACTACCATCAGGGCGGTTACCCAACCAAAACATAATAAACCCAATAGGGACTATAAACATTTGGAACAAGAAATGACTAAAAGCTGAAAAGAAATATCCGGGTTAAAATGTTTTAGAGATTATAGCAGATCGATAGCCACCTTTAAGTTTAATACACTAAACTTAGTTTAGCTTTGGTTGTGGGAATACGCTAACAAGAGGAAGTGACCTGACACGATGGGGCATTTCAATTAATGTTAATTAATTAATTAATTGATTAATAATTAATGTTCACATTAATGTTAATGTTAACTTTTTTGTCAAAACAGCTTCAGGGACTAAATCAAATATTTGTATTTGTCTGATTTCATGTGTGTTTCTTTTATCTTTAACACTTCTTGTTTTCAAATGTATATATTTTAATTTGATAGCCTAAACACACACCTTTTTTTTTAACAATCCCATGCTGTTATCACGTTTTTAACGTTACATTGCAATGACTTGTGAGTAGTTACCTGGGTCCATAAATGGCTCAAAATGTCTCCCGGAGCCTCAAACACTCTTTTTTCAATTTCACAATAGGACAGCCCCAATCCCTCATGGAGTTAGTGGGATAGTGGGCATGTATCAAAGTCGGAGAGTCCAATTGGGGATTGGGCCTTCCGGTCACAGCAGGTGAAAGGCAGGACACCTGCTGAGACTATGTGGTTTTTGCCTTTTATGTTGTGTATTTTGCAGTGGAAGATGGATACCTTAACATCTTCATCCACTCTCCTACAGAATACGTGTGACAGTTAATGGAGAGTTTCTGCATTACATCTACCCTTTCCAATTTTTGGATTCACCGGAGTGGGACTCCCTTAGACCATCAGAAGAGGGTGTATTCCAGGTCAGTTTCGATCATATGCAAGTTGCATGTGCACATTAATAACTGGGGAATATCAACGTTTTTTTCTTGTCCCTTATTTTAAGCATGCATTCTTGTAATGAACCCAACAAACCAGTCTGTATTTATATTGTCTTCAAATCAAAGTATTCATTTTTTATGAAAACAATTATGGTCTGTTGATCAAACAAAAGTATATCTTCTGTCTCGCACAAATGCAGGTAGAGTACCTTTTGACCTTGGATGACCTCCGACGGTCTATACATTTCTGGGTGATCCCCAGATCAGTCCTCAAATCTCCTCGCAAGTTCACTGGATCCTGAGTGACCCAGAACTCTGGTTGCCATCCAGGATTCGGAGAACCGTACGTTAATACGTAACGTTGGTTCTATTACATCTGTGGCCTTGTTGCGGAACTATGAGAAGCGTTGGCAAGATCAGTGTGAACGGTGGAAAAGCAGAACCTGTGGCTGATCTCTGCAGGGGGCACTGTGACACTAAACTCAAGGGAACAGGGCAAATAGGCGAAGACAGATTTTTTTATGAGGTGACGTCACTGATGATTCAGGGTTAAGGGTTCACGGGGTACTGGGATTGGGCCTAAGTCCATGATGTGTGACTTGTTACGGTAAACGTAACATGTCATTGTAACGTGCGATCCTTGGGGGGAACGTGGAAAGACGAGGAAACAGCGTGGCGTTTCAACAGTCTTTAATTCACACGTCTTTATATTGCCTTAGTTGACGCGCGTCCGGCTCCAGCTTCTCCGCTAGACTCTGTCATGTCCCATGTTGCCGGATCTCTCCTTCTTAAGGTAAGTAGCCTAAGTAGCCTACCCCCCTTTCAGGAGTGGGAGAGGAAATCAGCCACAGCCATTTGCGCCCCCGGCCTATGGACCACCTGGAAATTAAAAGGCTGTAGAGCCAGATACCACCGAGTGATCCAGGTGCTGTACCTGGCCTCCCTCTCAGACAGCTTCCGGGTGATGTACACCACGGGGGGTCCCCCCCCCCCCCCCGCACCTCCTGGGAGAAAACGTCCCCCAGCCCTCTGTTCGACGCGTCAGTCTGCAGAATAAAGGGGAGAGAGAAGTTAGGGGTATGGAGTGGTTCCCCACAGAGAGCCTGCTTTACCTTCTCAAACGCCTGCTGGCGCTGCTTCGACCACTGGGCCGGATCTGACGCACCTTTACGGGTCAGGTCGGTCAAGGGGCTGGTGAGGTCCGCGAAGCCGGGGATGAACCGCCTGCAATACCCCGCCAGCCCCAAGAACCGCCTCACCTCTTTTTTTGTCTTGGGCCACGGGCAGGCCACAATGGCTGCCGTCTTGTTCACCTGAGGGCGCACCTTCCCGCTCCCCAAGTGGTACCCCAAATACCGTACCTCCACCCGTCCAACCGCACACTTCCCCGGGTTGGCGGTGGGTCCCGCCCGTCCCAGCGCCTCCAGCACCGCGCCCACCTGCCCCACAATCCTTCCAGGTGGTGCTGTGGATAATGACATTGTCAAGATAGGCGGCGGCATATGCAGCGTGCGGACGCAGCACCCGATCCATGAGGCACTAAAACGTGGCCGGGGCCCCAAACAACCCGAAGGGAAGTGTGGTAAATTGGTACAAACCGTACGGGGTGGAGAATGACGTTTTCTCCAGAGAGGAATCTGCCAGTATCCCTTGGTTTAAATCCAGTGTCGTGAATAAACGTGCAGTGCCTAGCCGGTCCAGGAGCTCGTCGACCCGGGTCATTGGGTAGGCATCGAACCGTGACACGTCATTCACCCTGCGATAGTCCACGCAGAACTGTACAGATCCATCCTTCTTAGCCACAGGGACGATGGGGCTGCACCAGGCGCTGTTGGACTCTTCTATTACCCCCCCAACTCCAACATACTCGCCAATTCCCTCCGAACCACTTCTTTCTTGTGTTCGGGCAACCTGTAGGGCCGTAACCTTACCGTCACGATTCTGTGCACTATGAGGTCGGTCCGGCCTGGCAAGGGAGAGAACACATTAACAAACCGCTCCTGCAAACTGGCAACGTCCGCCCTCTGGCTCTCGGAGAGATGAGCCTCTCGAGGGAGCGAGGTATGATTACCTGCTTTTGGAACCTTCGGCCCCAGCTCCTCTCCTTCCGATACCGCAGAGACCAGAGAGACAGACTCCACCCCCTCCAGGCTCAGGAGGTTCAGGTGGTATATCTGTATCTCCACCCCTGTCAGACCGCACCACCTCGTAGTCAACGTCCCCCACCTGCCGTGTGACCTCAAAGAAAGTCGCTACGGGAGGCTCCGCGGGCTCCCCCTCCCCGTCTGCAGTGTCGGACGACCCCGTGTCACCGCGTCGGTCGTGAACGCACCCCCGCAGCCCCCCCTCATTAGCTTATTAAACCCCGGCCAATCTGTACCCAAAATGACGGGGTGCGTCAGGCGGGAGCTAACCGCAACCTTCATTGTATGCTTTTTCCCCGCATATCTAATTTCCACCAATACCACAGGATACTCGTGAACATTCTTACCGGAACGCGGTACGTCGCTCCCGGCCCGGGAGCCCCTCCCCGAACTGCTCCAGCACCAACTTCGTCATTACGCCACGGACCCCTCCTGCGTGCAGCGGCTGCACCGACGGCACGCGAATGGTCGGTCCCCCGGGGCCCAGCCTGGCCTCGCGGAATCTCTGGCGGTGGTCCTCCGGCAACAGCCCCAGTCTATCCACCACGGCCCTTTTAACGTCGAGACGCGCCGTGCTGCCAGAGGCAGCCCCATGGCTGCGGTCTGCGCCTCCCCGGCCAGTAGAGGCAAAAGCCGGACGGGCCACTCTCCCGCCGGCCAGCCACACGCCTCCGCCGTCGCCTCGGAGGCCTCCAGAAATGCCTGGACGTCGTCCCCTGCTGACATTCGGTGGACTGTGAGACCGGCTGCGGGCCGTGCGGCCAGCTGCTCCAGGGCCTGGGCTTGTCTCCCCACCTGGGCCTGGAGCGCCCCCAGGAACTGCCGGTTGGCGTCCGCCTGCTCCCTCAGGATGGTCGCTGATCATCCGACCGAGCGCCACAATCGGCTGGGCTGTCATCCCCTGCTGGTGGTCGTCGTCTGCCGCCGGTCCTTGGGGGGAACGTGGAAAGACGAGGAAACAGAGTGGCGTTTTAACAGTCTTTATTTCACACGTCTTTATATTGCCTTAGTTGACGCGCATCCGGCTCCAGCTTCTCCGCCAGACTCTGTCCCTCTGTCACCGGATCTCTCCTTCTTAAGGCAGAACATACAGACAATTCCACCTGAGGCCAATTATGCCTCCTCCTGGCACTGTTCCCCGAGCCACTCCCTCCTCCGTCGCCTCTGCAGCTGAGCCAAACCACGCCCGCCACCACAGTCATGTCACTTCCTCTTGCTAGCGTATTTCCACAACTAGAGTTAAACTAAGTTTAGTGTATTATATTCCTCAGTACAGGTGGCTATCGATCTGCTATAATCTCCACAACCTTTTAAACCCTGATAAAGTATATCAGTTTGCCTCCTGAGGGAAAGAGTGCGGCATTCCTCAGGTTGAAATGGTGACGTGTTCAATACAGCTGAAATCCAAGCTTGTTTTCTTTCTGTCTGATCTCTTGTTGTCATTCTCCATAGGTAACCTTGTGTGCTGATAACGCCTGCAGATATGTGGGATGGAGGAGGAAGAAGCTCTATCTGCTTTTTGCAAAGGATCGCTACATAGCTAAGATATTTGCCCTGGTTGTGCGCAATGACATTGCAGAGAAGCTGTGCTCCCTTAACGATAAGGCTCTCAACAGGTCAGGGCAGCGATATGATATCCGTTTACCAAGCTACTGCCACATGACTGGGACTGAATTAGAAAAGGCAGATGTCTTCCTGCAAGTGCCAATGCAGGGGGCAAGGACTGCCTGAACAAACTTACTTGTGTACGCACACAAACACACACACACACACACACAAAATAGACTTCTCGCATGTTGTCAGTGTAATTTAGGTGCCGCATCATCTGCACTATGTTGGGCAAGAGTGGGTGGTAGTGCAATCAGGGATCAAACCACCAATCCCCTGATTAAAAGACAACCCTGCTCTACCACTGAGCCCCCTTCCTTCTGATTACTATTTCCTGCTCATGAGAAGGCTAAGGTATGTAAGACCAGGGGTCTAAGAGACACAAGATTACCTCATGCTAGCAGTATTGCCAACTTTTCAGACTACCTTGGCAACTTTGTTTTCAAACAGCCCCTAGCAACAAATTAAGCAATTTAAAAAATATGTATTAGGCAGTTTTAGCAACTTTTGTAAAGTGACTTAAATGCTAAAATTAACGCAACTTCCCTCTAAATGACACAAAGTGCACAGCTGCAAAAGTGAAGCTACGAGACAGCTGGAAAGAGATGCCTAGTGGACTCATCCTTATTTGAGATGAATTGCATATATTCCCCGTTAATTTACAGTAATCTTCTGGTAGCCACATTTCCTGTATTCTACTGTAATTTACAACAACAGAATAATTAGGGTTGCCACCTTTAGTACAAAAAAATAAGGGACGCTACGGCCGACTGGGGGTGGCGGCATGGACGTTACGGGACTGATAGCTCGGGAAATACCTCCGCCATTCTTTCAAATCGACACTCCGTCAAGAGTCCTGCCCTCCTCTGACTGATTGGCCATGAACATGAACCTGAAATAAACCAATTAAACCAATGATGGCAGTGAGTATTACCCAATACGGGGCCGAATAGGATGCTGCATTGTTGACAGCTCAGAAAATACGAAACAAACCCCATCCCATATTGATTGAAAATGGGACACGTTATTTTATTCTCAAATACGCGATGATTCCGTATTTTAAGGGACGGGTGGCAACCCTAAGCATAATACTGTAAAAGAACAGTACAGTGCTGAAACAGCATTATACTGTTTTTTTTTACTATTCCTACCATAAACAGTTATTAATTACAATAAAATGCTTTACAGTACTGTGAATGTATATTTACACTATGTTATAATTTAATGATTTTAAAGTGTTTAAAAATAAAACCCCTTAGAACTGCTAACATAAAAAGCACTGAAACAAGAGATAGCCTTTCAATAATATACGTTTATTAAAGTGTCAAATACACTTAACAGTAATCACATTTTTGATAATAATCAGACAGAGTCTGGCGGAGAAGCTGGAGCCGGACGTGCGTCAACTAAGGCAATATAAAGACGTGTGAATTAAAGACTGTTGAAAATAAAACATAAAATTGGATTCATTACAACAAATGCAAACATATTCAATACATACTCATACAATACATACAACAAAAAACATTCAAAATACTTAACTGAACACAATTTGAACTTTGAACTGAACAGCTGGTCCAGAAGAAGGTAGCAACTATCGATCCCTGTCTTTGTAGACACCACTGTCCCCTGGTTGTCCTTTGTCCCTCGTTCTGGGTTCAGCCCAAGGAAGCTGGAAAATGTAATAAAAAAGAAGGCATATTGGGTGTTGTATGTAAAGAGTATGAACCCTTTTGAAATAAAATTAAAAGAAATACTTGTTTTCACTTTTCATTATGATAACCTAACTAACGTGTAAATATTTAATTAATATGAAATAACATTTGCCCCTCTATAACAGAGTCCAGTACTTTCACATAGGGCCTAAGCCTACTTGGATTTCACAACATGAATAAAGGATCATATCTTACGTGGGACCATTGAATTAACAAAATTAAATGAACAGCTGAAGCTAACGTAGCATCAACGTTAAATGGATATGGCTCACGTTGGCTAACTTAACTTGGCTCGTTGATTCAATTGCTGAACACTGCATGAAAAGTCAAGTCAACACTGCATGAAAAGTGGGATTTTCGGCAGTATGCGGACTGTAAATTGTCGTGGAATTTCAGGTTTGTGATGTGGGCCTCCCTTGGCAGTTGTCCCCCCATGACCCCCCTCCTCCTAATTCTAGGGGAGGCTTTGACTTGTAAATGAAAATGCTGTGAGCTATACAAATGCAAATCAGGGTCGCAGAGGGAGTTTTAGCCCAGGTGACATTTTTTTAAAAGGTAAGAAAGTCTCTGGTACAAATAGATCAGGCTCAGTAGCCTAATTATAGACTTTTACATTTTGGCTTGAATTGATTTATTTAATTCAGATATGCTAGATTACAGTGTACACCATTAGCAATGGCAAATGTTATCTAAAAAAGATACATAAAATAACTTCTTTAAAAAATGAGTTTTAATCAAGGTAAAATGAGCATTCCATGCAAACATTTGAATCAGCATGAGGGGTCTGCAGAGATCAGTCTCCTAGAGCTCAACTACAGTGCATAGTGGCAGGACTACAGTGACCTTTTCTTTGGTCTTACTTAAATGCACAGAGGATGTATTACCCACACATCTTCTAGCAATGCGCTCAACTGGCAGAAATGACGTGTCTGTTCCCTGCAAGCCCCAAACTTCTATTGGCTTTCCATAAAAATGTCTGTCCGGGTGGAGATGAAGCCAGGAAACTTGTGCAAGAACATGTTTAAGTGCCGTACCCTTTGACACAACATTAACTACTATAAACTGCTTTATAATGGCTGGTCGTAGTTCTGCTAGAGGGTCAAGGACGGGTTCCTCAAAACTGTTAGTGTTTCCACACCACTTAGCATAAACACATGCTGACCTTTATGCTCTGCATCTATCGATTGAGTAAGTTACATTCATATATGTTACCCGTTTACATGTCATGGCAAAACATTCAACCTCAGTGACACAAGGGTACATGTGATGATACATTGTCAACATTGCATGTCTGTCAGACTCAAGAGTGTCTGGTGGAATGGATAAAGAGGCACAACTGTACAGTTTTCTAGGGAAAGTCGTTCTGCTGACACCAAAACACTGCTTTACATAAAGCATATCAGCTGTTTCAAAGTCCCAACCATTTGTCTTAAAATACTGGTCCTTCCGTATAACAATAACCTCGTATGTGATTGGAGGACCCTTAGACTCCTCGTCCAATCACGTGTGAGGTCATAGGCATGACTGATACAGCAGTACTTGCAAGACAGGCATACAAACAGACACGTGTGTGTTACTATTGTCAGAAGAACTGTATCTCCAGTTCCTTTGTTTGGTTTTTGCTGCTTCGCGTTCAACTCGCCTTCAACTCCTCGCCGCGGTCACCAACTTTCGGCCAGTCCGCAGACAGACGAGAAGAAGCTGCTGAACGCTCTCAGTGGATCGTCTCGTCAACTCCGACAACAAACTGCCAATATCAACGAGCGGTTCGCTCCACTGGAGCGTTCGGGACTCTGCAGGTTTCTGTCCATGGAGGAGAGGAACCGACTCAAAGAAGAGGAGACGGGCGCACGATAGCGGTAAGAATACATTCGATGACTGCAAGCTAAGCTAAAAGTAGCATAGCCTCGAGCTAAGCTAAGAGTAGTCTAGTAGCCTTACGAGTGAGCAGAAACAGCTTTATTAAAGTGTGTTTTCTTTGCCGTGTCGTTTACAGGAAGCGCTGCGCCGTCTTCACAACTCCGAGACGAACTACAGGCGCCACGAACCGGAGCAAGGGTCAGATTTACAGAATATGCTTTCATTCTGCGGTATAAGGGAATATATACGTATAGATACCGATCATAACTGTACATTTTGTTTTCACAGACTAATCTTGCCTCATAATGAGGCGGTGACCTCGTATTTGCTCCGGGAAAAGTCCAGATTTAGACGACGTCATTGTGTGTAAGTGACACTGTTTCTCCTTCCTTGTTAAATGTTACTGTGACTTGCGTTTGATTTTTTTTGTATTCATATGACACTCATTTAATTGTTTTCCAGCCGCCTGTGAGACGTATTGTGAGACGGGACGCAGGAGCTTCAGGTTCAGGCGGACACTCATTGCGGAGTTCAGCGCGGAGTCGAGCGAGAAAGAAAGAGGGTCAGAGTTTATTTGCTGACTTGTTTCAGGTGCATTGATCGATGTGTTGTGTCCGTACGCATCGCATCGCACAGTACTGATTCATTGTTGTTTTTACAGCTGCTGGAATCAAGACAAAGTGCGCTGGCTGATGACGAGGTGGAACTCTGGAGATCCGCCACCGTAGAGCTCACGTCGGACGGAGGGGACGGCGTTGTTGGCGGGGTGTCGGGGTGGATTGTACGGTCGCCACACACACACGAGCCGCCTGCACAACAGACCTGCCTCGGAAAACACGGCGCCAGTGACGGTCTACAACCCCGAGGAGGCAAACGGACAGTTTACTGAGCTGTAGTTTTTAAACCGCCGTTACCCAAGTGTGGGCAGATCCTCACTTTGTATGTAGTTGTTGTTTGTGTGTTGTTAATAAAGCTCTTTCTTTGCATAAACGTGTGTCAAATGTTCATTTTCTCTATAAATTCATTGATGTCCTGGTTGGTATCCTAATAATAGTGTAGTAGCCTACATAGGATAACCATGGAATGAATATACAGCATAATATGAATATATAAATAAATGAGGCGGGTGATCAATAGCGACAGATCTGCCAACCAATCACGAGTGATTGAAAGTTGTGGTTTCATCCAATCATGAACAAGGAGACTCAAGCCTGGTCTGCCCACGTGTGGTTTTGCTGCCAATCACGAGTGATTTTATTTGTTAGTACGTTGTGGTTTCATCCAATAAGGAGTAAGGATATTCAAGCCTGCTCGGGCACCCGCGGTTTCGCTGCATTCATATGCTAATTCGGGCCATTCGCACCTCCGCCTGCTCTCCGCCTACGTCATGGTTCGTTTCCGACAATTTGTGGCACAGACAAACGCGACGTGCGCGGGCTGCAAATTGTCGGAAATTAGGGAGATTTACGGGCGTTTACAGGGACGAAAATCTCACTTTTCATGCAGTGCAAATAAAATTGTGTGTCAATGGAAATGAAATAACTCGCAGGTAAAACAAAGATAATGTTACAGATATTAAAGTTGTCACTCTAGCGAGTAACGTTAGTTTAAGTTAGCTGGAAGTGGCATGCATGCTGGACACATCCGGTTAACAACAAGTCACAATATCGGCAAAAATCAATACAACGTAACATTAAATTCAACACAAAATGACTGAACACTGTAATGCTGCACTCTAAAAAATGTCACCGTAAATTAACGGTATTTTACTGGCGGCAAGGACGCCAGGAATTTACCATGATTTGACGGTATCACGTCAGACGGTATAATACCGTAATTGGTTTTTACACTATGTTACCGTGAAATGGATTACTGTATGTTACCGTAAACTTGAACGAATTTTAATGTGAATTAACTGCAATTTACTGTCAGTCGACTGTCACGGTGTGGTTCACTTCATGTTATATTTTGTAGTTTTCTGCCACTTGTGTCCCCGGGTAACTTCACTTCCTGCCTTGTCCCGTTGTCCCCTGTGATTGTCTAATAGTTTCCACCTGTGTCCAATCACCTGCACCTCCCTTGTGTATTTAAGCCGTGTGTCTCCTGTGTCACTTGTCGCGTCATTGTCTTTTGCCACGCATGTCCTGTTCTTGTCTTTCGCCTCCGTAGGTTCATGCCTGTGTGTTTTTGCCCCTTGCCCCTTGGCCTTTTGGATTTTGGACCTTTTGATTATTAAAGTCTTTTGTTTTGGAATAGTCTGCGTTTGAGTCCTGCCTTCCACCCCCATCCCTGACAGAATGACGCGACCATCGGACTCAGCAGACCCGCTGCCAGACTACGGTCCGGACTACCTGGACGTAAGAAGTCCCTTCTGGCAGCGGAAAACGAATTTTGTTTTTGGTCCCAGGAGCTATCAGCTCGCCTGCCTCGAGCTCCGGGACCTCCTGAACCCTAGAAGGAGGAGCAAGCGGAAGAAGCGCTCTCCCGTTCCCGCTGGGCCGCCGCAGCGATCTCCCGCTCCGAGACTCATGGCCCCGACGCCCCCAGTCCCCGCTCCGAGACTCATGGCCCCGACGCCCCCAGTCCCCGCTCCGAGACTCATGGCCCCGACGCCCCCAGTCCCCGCTCCGAGACTCATGGCCCCGACGCCCCCAGTCCCCGCTCCGAGACTCATGGCCCCGATGCCCCCAGTCCCCGCTCCGAGACTCATGGCCCCGACGCCCCCAGTCCCCGCTCCGAGACTCATGGCCCCGACGCCCCCAGTCCCCGCTCCGAGGACTCATGGCCCCGACGCCCCCAGTCCCCGCTCCGAGACTCATGGCCCCGACGCCCCCAGTCCCCGCTCCGAGACTCATGGCCCCGACGCCCCCAGTCCCCGCTCCGAGACTCATGGCCCCGACGCCCCCAGTCCCCGCTCCGAGACTCATGGCCCCGACGCCCCCAGTCCCCGCTCCGAGACTCATGGCCCCGACGCCCCCAGTCCCCGCTCCGAGACTCATGGCCCCGACGCCCCCAGTCCCCGCTCCGAGACTCATGGCCCCGACGCCCCCAGTCCCCGCTCCGAGACTCAGATTCCCGCCCTCCCGTTGGTAATTTGAGGGCCGTCTGGGATCCGGCCCTTAAGGGGGGGGTTATGGGGGGGGCTGAGCCGCCGACTGCGGAGGTGTTCCGTGTCCCCGAG